CTATCGATTGGTGATAAAATTTTTTGGAAATAATGAAATAGAGGGGATAACGCCTTTTTTCCAGAGGTGATTTTCCAAAAATTTATTCAAAAAAAAGTACTAACTAGCAAATGTTTTTTATTAGCTCGCAATTTTCTTCAAAACTACTTCAATGAGGAAAAAAATAAAAATTTGGAATATCTATACATGAGGGGCTAATTGATCGGATCTGCATTCGGCAACGCTGGGGCCCGAATGAGACGGCGGGGAATCCCCGCGGAGACCACCAATCGCAGGGTCGCGTACAGTGATCAGAGATGGGCAAAAACATAATTTAGAATTGAAATGATGTCATTACATACAAAATTAGTTGACTGTATTCTACAATTTTTCAATTTTTATTAGTTCTCAAATTTTATTTAGTAATTGATTTCGAAAAATTGACAATTATTTGAAAAATTGAAAAATCACATTCAGAAGTTTAGAATTAATTTAGAATTGTTCAATAATAATTGAGTATTAAAATGATTTTCAAAGTTCAATAAAAATTAGTGAACGTTAATTAATTTAAGGTAAGCTTCTCTGAATATTAGTAAAGTAGTGATTTTTGCCGATCTCTGATAGTGACCAGACTAGAGTTAAAACTTCCTCTTGTTTTTGACAATTTTTTATATAAGATTTCGGAGGTTTAATAGAAATCGACCAAAAGCTGAAATAATTTCAAATAAAATGTCGATAGCTTTCCGATAGGGTTTCCTAGAAAATGCGCTAGAATTTTCTCTTGAATTTCTTCACACGTGATGTTATTGACAGCGCACTATCGACGACGAGGTGCATGCAGATTATTGCTGGTGCATATTTCCCTGTATCAGTGAAGGGTTCATGGAGGCGCAGATTCACATACCAAGTAGCACTTATGCAATTGGCGAGCAGCTTGAGGTTTTTGTGGAGATCACAGCGAGTTCGCCGTCTGTGGATATCCTCGGAATTGAATTGCGATTGAAACAGGTGAGGCTCCAAAATTTTTCACTTCAAGGTATTCCAGAACTTCAGAATTTATTTCCCGATTAGAAGGGCAAAAGTTATTGTAATTTTGTGCTACAATTTCTCTCGAACAAACGATGCGATTCAATTCTTTTCATGCAATCGATGTGTTTTCACGTAACTTAGAACTGATTAGATTCTGAACAACATCGCCTCAGCGGTTCTTTAGATTTTGTAATAAAACTTGTGAAAAAATGTCGCAAAATGACATTTTTTACAAATTTGTTGATTCTTCTGAGAGAAACGATAAGATGATTGAGAAGATGATTAAGAGAAATAAATGAAAATACAAAAAAAGAGGAAAAAAAATCATGTCCAGAATCTTCGATAGAAAAACGAAATCTACCGACTTTTTTTCATGAAACTACCGGATTTGAAAAATCTGAAAAACCAGATCTCCCCTCACTTTCATCCGATACCCATTTTATTATTCGATTTCACCAACATCATGTATATTTTAATCATTAAATTGATTCGCACAACTTTAATTGCCACTTGTATCAGTTTAAACTCTACATGTCTCTCATTCGATTCCTTTCAGATAATAGAGTTTCATGCTGAGAGTAAAACTAAAACTACGAGTGAAATCGTACAACGAACTGGCAAGAACGGTCCCTTCCAAAACAATATCCATATTAACCTTGGACTGCAAGTACCATCAGTCCCTCACTCTGGTTTCCAACACTGTAGCATTATGAACATTATATATCGTCTCGGTGTTAAATTCCTCGTTTCTGGCTGGTATGCATTATTATTCGTATCATACAAACAAAATGACTACTTGCAGTGACGAAATTATTCGTTTCACAGCCATTGTGATACTAAAAAGTACTATGACGTTATGATCGGTTCTAAACCAATCGCCCCGGCACAAGACGTCGCGAGGTCTCTTGTACCTCCGACTACTTCGACTGAATTCCCTACAGGAGGATTCGCAATATCGAGAACATCTTCCATTCCTACAGCACCGATTCCAGGGATGATGGGGGATTTGGCAACAATCACGGGGACATCAAATCCACCCCCTTATACTCCAGTACCATCGATAGGCTTCCGAATCCCAAGTCCCTCAGTACCTGTAGAGCTTACCTCAGCGACAGGTGAGTAGAAAATTCATAGGCAAAATGAAATGATGGGGTGAAAGGCATGTTAACTTATCCTCTAGTTGAGTTCTCGACGATACTGGGGATTTCCTTCTCAATTTTTTTCCGAACAAATGGCGATCAGACAAAAATTTTGAAAATTAGTCAATAACAATGATGCTATTGACTAATCATTGAAAAATCTAACGCTCACTATTAAAAAACGTCAGACGTCCAGCAGAGTACGAAGAATCGTTATTTCCTTTACATTCAGAGATATTTTGTAAAAAATGATGATGGAGTGGAATCAACTCAGCGTATTCCACCACTTCACTAATGGATAGAATCCCAAATGCCCAGCTCTAATCCATTCTTTATTATTTGATTCTCAGTGCCACCACCATCTTACGAGTCTGTGATGGCCGAAGACAGCAAGAAGTGAACACTACAGAGTGAAGAAAAAGCAAAAATTTCGATATTTTCGATATATAACTCGAGTTAGCCTACTAGCCCTCCACGATAGGGTGTTATTTCTTCACTTGGCGGAAAAGAAGTGCCTCATGATTTTATGTATTCAGCGGTGACTGAAGATTAGCACGAGAGAGTTTATCTTGGACGGAATCTACTACTTCCCTCACAATGTGCTTAATTGAAGATTATACATTCTTTAACGGAGCTATAATTATACATTCTGGATGCAGTAATAAATGCGAATTATATTTTACATTTGGATTTGATTCATTATCAATGTTACTACTTATTCTTCACGTTTTTATGTGAGACTGTGGGGTTTATCCACACGTCGTAACTCTTATCTTGAAAATATTTCGCTGCACTTTTTCCGATTGTTTAAATTGCAATGAAGTAAAGCCTCAGAAAAATTTGAAAAAATTTGACATCTCATTTTGAAGTGTCTAGAATCAATGAAAATATCCGCCAGAAATATCATAAGTAGTTAAATTTTCGAATTTTTACTCCGAAACTCCGGGCCGTGTACCGTGTACAATGCGAATTTTCAGGATAACATGGGAATTTTAAGCTTGAATATATAATTAAGGGTGACACTGAACATAAAAAATCTCACGGGACTTCTTCAAGTATACGATCTAGATCACTCGTCATTTTTTTCAGATTTTTCCTAGATCTTTCAAATTTATCATTATGTGGATTTATGCTGAAGTGTTGAACGTAAAAATGGGAAACGTTTTTCGTTGATTCACGAGACAAAACGGAGTGTAGTCATTATTTTTCCGCTTTTTAACATGTCATATATCAAATCATCTTATATCATATATCAAAAGTTGGAGACTTCACTCCGGTCTCCCCTTAAGGTGTTTCGTTTGTTGATCACCGGCGGGTGAAACGGAAGGGGCGTCTTATTCTTCTCGAGCCCTGATTCAATCGCTGAGTACGAAATTTTCCAATTTTCAAGTAACTATTTAATTGTGCATTTGAACATTTTTTGAATATTGATTTTATTCACCAGATTGATTGATTTTTTTCTCATCACCTACGGGTGTCAAGTAATTGTTATTGGATGTTTCTCTAATTATTGAAATAATATTAAAATGCATCTCGAGTTGGTAAACCTGTCGAGTGCTTTCTCTCACTCAGTTTCATGGTCCAACCCATACCTTTCCCATGATGCTCACTGACATTCGAATCACGCGCCTGCGCGTGAGGTCGTAATTGCCCCGAAACTCATAATTTTCCGAATCATTTGTTCAAATAACTTTCTTATGAAATCTGAAAAAAATCTGAAACTTATACATGTTCTCAAGAAAGATTTGATTTATCACCCACTAGTTTTTCCTCAATAGTACACTATTTCTTTGGGTGTCATGGAAATTTCCCTAATTGAGAGTGGGGTAACCTTGGATAGGTTACAGCTGAAGGGGTTACAAAAACATCCAAATTTCATTATTTTTTTTCTTGAAACTGAGACCTGAAGAAAATGTGCAAAAATTCTCAATGATACATCATACTTAGAAATTTCTCCCATGAATTTTCCAATTTTTTTTCATTATTTTGACTTTTCAACCGAAACACCTTAATAATTAAATCAGGGATTCGAAGGGAGATACGCAACATCATAAAACCCGCATATTCACCCGCTATTCTGAAAAAAAAATCATCTGGATTCAAGGAAAGTAGAAAACAAACGCAATTAATGAATAATCTGGAATCCATATATTTCCTCAAAATTTATCCGAAAGCCCATAATATCTTCCTTCTCCTCATGTTACTCTCCATTACTCCGGTATCTCTAACCCATCCTCATCATCACAACTAAATTTGATAATTCATTTCTACTCATCTCAACCGTCTCAACAATAATCTCCCACCAATTACTGTTCGTACATTATTCCTCATCCTATATCTTTAAACTGTCAAGCATTGTTTTCGTCATTCGTGAATGAGTCGTAAGCAAAAATAATACAATTCGTGTTTGTTCTATTAAAAATGAATCATTTACAATGACTCAAAGTATGCAGTCCAATTTGTCAAGTAAAATTGTAAGAAGCATTTTACTCTAATCATCAGATTTTACGTTTCACATCAGATATCCACTGCCTGAAAACACCTGAATTTTCCTCATTTCCTTTCTCTCTTCCCAGTTACACAATTCGCGAAGGAAAAAATTCACTCTCTCTTTTTCACGATTATCTCCTTTCCATTAATTAAATGATGATTATACCTTCTATGCATTCACATTTGTATTTTTGCAACAGTTTACGCAATTTGCAGGCGAACAGAATCACAATACTAGCAACTGTTTCAGCTCTACTCTTCACTACCAACATATTCCATGATTCCTGGTATGTATTGTTTGCACAACAATTTCACGTACCCTTCACAGAGGAATAAACAATTTATTTATTGTACGTGCACAGTCTCGAAGTCCACAAGACACTCCAGGCCCCCTCGCACCTCCCATTTTAATACTTCTATTGTTTTTATTCTCCTCCCCTTCACTTCAGCAAATTATTTCCATTTTTTTCTTCTCCACTCACGATTTTGCGAGCATGTCCTCCATTAACACTATCGACCCAAGTCACTGGTTTTTTAAAAAATAAATATAAAGCTTTCACATTTTCAAATGATTTATAATCAGAAAAAGGGGATGTCACATTTATAAGTAATACCTTTATCAGAAATGTTGGGTGAATTCAAACAAGTCATTTATACAATCAATTTTTTTTCTTCTGTTCGCTGCACATATTTCTGTCCTCTACTATGATTATTTATCCGCTTTGAGCGAATAAATAATCGAACATCCCTAAATCATTTCGTCAATTATTTTCCCCTCTTTTTTTGTTTCTATAATCATGCTCTTTACGCTAATCGTCACAAAAATAGATGTCACTTGCTTATATATAATTTGTTTAATTTACTCTCCTCGTTTACCATTTTTCCTTCACTTATTTCTTCCTCTACAAAATCATATAATAAACATAATTAACGATTTGCCTGCGAAACATTGAAATTTTATAATACATATTTTTTTTTTACTTTTTCGTTTGGATTTTTTTACTGTCCTATCCTGAGGTATTTTTCAGCATTCAGGATTGAGGGTGTAGATCAATCGACTTTATTCATTTCTCTAGTGATTTTTGGGAGAGGGGGAAGGGAGCAAGATACTAGGAATAATTATCACTGAGACCTAAGGGAAATGAGGCGCCTTAGGGCGCCCCAATTTTGTTCTTCGCAATAATAAACGCTAAATGTTATTATTCAATCGAATATATCATATATTCATCCAAATACACACACACATATATACGTGTATATACGGGTATAAATATATATAATATATACACATACATATGCGTATCTACAAATTAGAATTGTGTTTTTCCATTATTATTATTTTTTTTTTCATTCATTTTGTTCTGCTCTGGGCTGTACGTGACGAAGGAAAAAAATATTATTTGTTTCATAGTTTATTTCTTGCTCATAACGGCGTCATCATCTCTTATTATTTTCTTCAAATAGAAAATAGACGCTCTATTGAATGTTCTTGTAATTCTTTCGTTAAAATGGCAAAAGGAGATGGTGAAGATATTCACGATTATGTTTTTGCGAATATCTTTGGAGAAGTGGGTTCAAAACGAAATATTTGTCTTATAAAATATCATGAACCTCTTCACAATAAAAGTCCAAGAATTTTTCAGGCAGATTATTATTGAAAATATCTGAAAATCTAGGAGATTTAGCGAAAAATGACAGAAGGCATTTTATCTAGCCCCTGAAATTTCCTACAAAAACAATGTCTTGATATTTTTTCGTAAACCTCTTCCCTCCAGAGTTATCTGCAAAATAAGTTGAATAGCTTTTCAATTTCATCCCTTTCACCAATTAATCGAAGAACTGTAGAGTTTGTTGATAATTCTTCACTTCAGATGTGACAAATTTTACGATTTCTATGAAGTAGTCGGAAATAAGCAGATTTGACAAGCTATTAAGCGTAATTATATTGGGAAATCAAAGTATTCAGCTAATTAGCGTTACTCCAGTGACAAGCAATTTCTAATTGGATGATGAACTACAGTGTTTTGATGGTTATCAATCAGTAATCAACAGCTAACTTTCTATCACCTAAAAACATTTAAATGCCATTAAGATTATCTTGCCTGTGGATGCCAAATAGCTCGGGGTTTATTCAAAAACTGTCAATCACCACAAAAAAATTCTCACTCATTTCTCGCATTTTTTCCTCTCTCTTTTTGTGATTAAAATCTGTTGATCTGCATCATGGTTTTCATCAGATAAAGCTAATTGTGAGTATGAAACTACATTTCCCAATATAAATACGTGATATATGTTTTCTATACATTTACATAATCATTTTTTCTTTCATTTTCACGAATGGCCGTTTTTGAAAATTAATGAATGATTAATGAAAAATGCTACAATTTATACGAACAAAAATATCATTATAATCTTTAGAAAATTAATTCTAGAATTCAACAATCATGAGAACTAAAAGAACTCGATTCATGAGTGATTGAGTGTTGATAAATTTTTTTTTCATTCAATATAAAACAATGAATTTTACCGCAAGATTTTGATTAATTAAAAGTAACAACTTTTTGTCATAATCTGAATAAATGGGCCATTGAGGGTTTATCTGGGGGAATTTTTAAGGAACTCATCGCAGTTCCAAGTCAGACGAATCATCCACTCACGAAATAAACGAAAAATCATATTTTTTATGGTACAAATATTACCTGGCATTTTATAATGAATAAAAAAAATGATTGACAGCGGAAAAAAAGAATTGAAAAGAATTACTATCGGTTACAATTGATCATGAAAAAAGACCTATTATTAATAAATTCCTACATTTACTTTATCACGGCCATTTAAAGACTTTTTCTCATTAATTAACATCTAAAAAAAAGAGGGGGGGGGGAGAANGGGGGGGGGGAAATAAAGTAAACAATTCTAGCAAAAGAAAGGAAAAAAAACATATTTTCTCTCTGACAAATGTCCACCATTAAATTGTAAATTGATTGTGAAATCGTAGCTCATCGTTCGCATCGGTGCAGAGATCGAGCGGACGATTCGTCTGACGATTACCAAATTGTAATCATAATTGTAATCATAACAATGTCCTACTTTTTGCATCATATTTGTTTTTTTAATGAGAAAATGTGCAGCCTAGTGGGAGTTATTCAATGATCGTCCGCGTCGTGAACGCGCTGTCGTTTTTGCTGCTGCTGTTGATGCTCTGGGGGCTCGGGACTCTCGACAATTGCAAGCGGTGCTGGGGAGCCTGGAGAACTGTCTGGCTCCTCGTGGGCACGCTTTGTCGCCCCAACGCCTGCGTCAGGGCCAATGAATGTTCCACTGGAAAAATAAATGTTGTTAGAATTTTTTTGTTAAAGGCTTTTTAGAATGGAGAAATTCAATTGAGATAAAATCTACAATTTTTAAACAGTAGACTCTTGGTTTTTTCTGTTGATCACGTATTCTATTGGAATTCTCAAGAAACTCTATTGGAATTCTATGAAAAATCTAGGGAATTCTCGTTAAAATTCTACTTGTTTTTTGCACTGATTCTATGAGATATTTGATAGGAAAAAGTCAATAGATTTCGATTTTTCTATACGAATATTACCTTGGAATTTTTTCTATAAGAATACTTGAGCGTGAATTTTCCAAGTTTTTTTTTTACTCGGATTCTGCAATGCAAAACAAAACAAAATATAGCGGAAAAAACTTGGAAAATCCGTGCCCAATAGTTTTAATAGAAAAAATCTCAAGAGAAAAATTCAAACAGAAAAATCTAAATCTATTGACTCTTTTCTGTCAAAAATCTAATAGAATTTGCGCAAAAAACAAATAGAATTTTAACGAGAATTTCAATAGAATTTTACAGTGAATTCGCTAAAGTTTTCTATTGATTTTTTTCACACGTGATATGAAGGATCACTTAGGGAATTCATCGATTGATATGATGTTTAAATAATCGATATCGATATCGATCTGGGAAATAAAGGGGTAGAATAACTTTTTCAAAGTCCATGACGTTCTCAGGGATATTTCCATAATTAAAGTTATATTTGTAGTGATGTTATTGGGTCAATTGAAAGAAATGACTGCAATTTAATTCAAGAGTAACTGATCAACAGATGAGAAGAGCGACCCAATTCTGAAAGTTTCTCAATTGCTGAACATTAAAAAAAGGTTCTTTACATTCAATGCAGATTCAAACCAATTGAAAGTAGAAATTACCCAAAATATTCGTAAACTTTTCAGTAAAGATTAAATTTTTTTCTATCAACTTGGTTAATTTGTCACGTGGAACACATAGTTTTTCGGCAGAGCTATTTTTTCTCCCAATGTATGAAGAATTCTTGTTAAAAATGAAATTAGCATTTAAGCAAAATTGAACATACATGTACATATGCTGTAAAATGATATACTTATTCTGTATTCTTTTTTCCTTTTTCTCTTAACTATTCTTTGCTGTGCTTATAACCCCATAGAGGGGTTGAGAAAGCGTAAAATAAAAAAAAAATGGATGGGGAAGCCACATAATATTTACCTGTAATTATATGTTGTTTGTACAATAACTGGAGCTGGACTGTACTGGCCAGCTGGTGATAACGATTGCTCTTCTATTACATTTCCAGGCACCAAATATTTTTCTGAAAACGATTAACAATTAAGGCCCGGCCCCATTATCTGCCGAACGTTATCTACATTAATTTTTTGTTCAATTTTTATCTGGAAATTTCAACTCGATGCCCTATCACTCAGGGTACTCAATCACCTGAAAATTCTGAATTTAGATTTTAAAAATTTTTTAAAAAATTCCGAACATTTTCAAAGAGCGTTTTTAATAAATATTGAGGAATGATTTCAGTTGAACAGATATGAATAATGCATACTTACCGTGGCCAATACCGGCCTGCCAGTCGCCACTGTGGGGGAGACAAGAGGAAATAATAAATCTTTTGGCACCCTCGTGACTCTCATTCTAACCCTCATTATCTCCCTCGTGACCCTTATTTTGACCCTTTATTTCAAGCACCAAATTTTCTTTACCAAAAGTCGATGTGGATTTTACAATATAGAGAGATATTGAGACCCTTATTTTGACCCTTGTGACCCTGAGTTTCTGCCCCCTATGACCCTTCTTCAGACCCTTAATCTGACCTTTCTGATTCTTAATCTGACCCTTGTGACCCTCATTTGGATCCTTAATTTGACCCTCATTATAACCCTCCTGACCCTTATTTTAACCTTGGTGACCCTTTTTTTACCCCCCCGTCCCTTATTTGACCCTTACTCCGACCCTTGTGACCCTTAATCTGACCCTTGTGACCCTTAATTTCGAGTAACAAATTTTTATCACCAGAAGTCGATTTAGATTTTCATAATATAGAGATTGACATCTCCTCTATTGAACTAATTCCTCAATACCAATTAAAAAAGTTCAGATTTTTAAAAATGTTCAGATTTTTTTTTACTTTTTTTTCAATCCAAATTCATGATTTTCGGGGGTCTCTGACGGGGCATCGAGATGAAATTTCAAGATGAAAATCGAACACAAAATCAATCTAGAAAAAGTTCGGCAGATAATGGAGCTGGACCTTAAGTTCAATAAAGAATAGAATATTTACATGTTGTGAGTATTGTGGATTGCACATATGCTCGTAAATTTATGAATTATCAATCGATAATTAATTCTGTTCATAATGTTATCCCCTCCCATCGAGCTGCACTAAACTACTCACATAATTCATCATCCCTCTTACAATAAAAGGACTGAAACACGTCACGCGAGAAAAAAAAATAGTAAAAAGAGTTCAACCGAAATAACAGAGATTAAATCAAAGTCGCGGAGCTGTGCTGTTCATATCGCAGACATTTTAACATGTCGACCGAACATTAATCTCTTTACAGCTCACTCTCAATCGTTTTTTCGTTCGCGTACGACACTAAATGTAATTAACTTGCAGCTGCATTACTTATATTGTAATGGCCTTTCTCACGAAATGTGTAAAATGAAATTCAGAAAAATGTAAAATAAACAGACGCGGCAGAGACTAGATTACGAGAACCACGAAACAATTGATTGATTTAACGGGTTTACGAATGAAATGTAGAGTGATTTGAGTGAAGAAGATAATTCCACAATTTCTGCAGTTTATCTCGTAAAGTTGGTGGGTTTCGGTGAAAATGTGACTTTCCAGCAGAGAATGTTGTGGTCTACAAACAAAAGTCTCCTTCAAGACAATTTTGTTTGATAGTTTGTCAACTTGAGGAATAAAGGAGCTAGCGAGATAAAATTTTGTATGATCCTGGCTCTTATAATACTAAAGGTTGCTATTTTGGATAGACGCAACCGACCGAGCAGTTTCGGAGATATTTAACCTTTTGTATAAATGTTTCTCATTAAAAGTTTAATATTTTCTCATTAAAAGTTGAATATTTTCAACTTTTAATGAGAAAGATTTATATAAATATTGTAGACACCCTGTGGCATATCGTTACGGTTCAATGTCTGTCACGAGGACAGGGAATTACTACGCATCCACTCGGAAGCTTACTACCAATGGAATTAGTAGAAATAAAGAAAGGCGACTAATGACGCACGAAGTAACGAAAGCTTACTACCAGGGATGGCCATATTCATAAATCAGAACTACCGTTAAATTTTGAAGCCGTTAATTAGTTAACATCACTCTTAAATTTCTAATTTTTCAAGTAATGATCAATTTCAATATTAAAATTCTGAATTATTTCATTAATCAATAATTTAGATACGAAGATTGACGATTATTTCGTTAATCGAAAATCCCTTTTACAAGATTAAAATTATTTATTCAATGGAAAATAAACGGTTCCATATCAAATATTTAATTCCTCATCAACCGGAAATTTAAACTATTAATATTATAATATTCTTTAATTTTGATGAGAATATTTAAACCTTTATCAATCAAAATCGGAAACCCTTTTAATATTGAAGAAATGTAATATTGATGGCTATCCTTGCTTACTACCAGAGGTAGCCATGTTCGTAAATCATAACTACCGTTAAATTTTGAAGCCGTCAATTAGCTAACATCACTCTTAAATTTCTAATTATTCACGTGATCATCAATTTAAATATTCAAATTCTGAATTATTTCATTAATCAATAATCTATTTAGGAAGATTGACGATTATTTCGTTAATCGAAAATCCCTTTTACAAAATTAGAATTATTTACTTAATGGGAAACTTACAGTGCCATATTATCAAATATTTAATTCATCATCAATCGAAAATTTAAATTATTAATACTATACTATTTTCAAATTTTGATGAGTATATTCAAACCTTGATCAATCTAAATCGGAATATTGATGGCCATCCCTGCTTATTACCAATGCAATTGGTAGAAATAAATAAAAGAAATAGACTACACTGAGAGAACAACAAAAACGTTGTCAAACAAGTCTTGTTTGGGCCAACAAAATCGCTAGTTGAAAGTTGCCAAAGAAGAATTTGTTTGGTTCGAATTTGAAAGTTTCAAACAATAATTGTTCTGCTTTCGACAGCAACGAAATATTTGGCTCAAGAGGCGGATAATTCACACCAGACGGTGCCTTTTCAGGATGAAAATATCTCATATAGAGGAAAATTTATCACCAAATGACATTTCTTGCGTGTACAGAGAATGCAATTTTTTTTGAACTACTCAATCTATTTTTGCGATAAAAATTTTTCATTCCGGCGCACTCTCTGCATGTTTGACACAAAAAAAAATCCTTTTCTGATAATTTTCAAAAAACTATTTTCTTGTCACAAGTAAGACTTGTTTGAGAACTTTGTCGTTTTTCTCTCAGTGTACTGATGCAAAAACTAAAGGTCACATGCCTTCTCTCGAATAGGCTCGAACCCCTACTTGTTTTATCTTCGTAAATGTTTACCTTCTCGTGGAGTATCGTTGTTCACGCCATTTGTAACGACAGCAACCTGCTGAACGAGACGACCTTTGTGAGTTGGCGGTGCTGGAGAAACGTAGGGATGCCCTGGTGAGCCAGGTGCTGACTGACTCGACAATTGTCCAGCTGGTGATGGTACAGAACTATCAGGATACGATTCTGGCCCTGGTGAGCCTTCTCTGCTCAGACACTCAGGGGTCATTATACCACTCATGCCCACGTGGGAGGGTGATGCTGGAGCACTCCTAAAAGTCAATTATAATTTCTCCATTTAAATGAATACAATAATTGTTTCTTGAAATTCATGTGATGTCAGAAGCGCGTAAAAAAAATTAAAACAGAAATAGGGGCTTGATAGGGGTCAGAGCTTTTTGTTAGTTCGGAGTACTGAGAAAAATTATCATTCTCCTCAATACTCCGAATAATTAAAAAAAAGTTAATAGACAAAAATTAATTAAACAAAAAATTGTTGATGAAAAAGTTTTTTTTTGCTTGAAGTGCCTCGAACAGTCTTTTTTCGATTGTTTCATTTTGCCCCGCTGCCTCACTCTCCCCTAGGAAAAATTCGTTTTTTCGCATTTGAAATCAATATCAAAGAGAAGGTCGCTAGGGGCACGAATTAATATTATTACATTTCTTGTATGCACAGAGAATACATTTTTTTTGAAAAAAGTAAATCTATTTTTGCAGTAGAAATGTTCAATCTCGGCGCAACTGTGCATGTTTGGCCCAAAAAAATCTTTTTGAGATAATTTTTAACAAAAAATTAATTATGTATCTAATTTAATACAACATAATTAATACATAATTTAATTAAACATAATTAACATAATTTAATTTAAATGTATTTAAATGTATTTAAATGTAATTAAATTATGTTAAATTTAAATTAATTTAAATTTGATTTTTTTCTCAATATTTTGGGAAAACTTATCAAAAAAAGATTTGTTTGGTACAAGTAAGACTTGTTTGAAAACTCGGCTATTTTTCTCTCAGTGTAATCTTCCCTCTAACCTCGAGAAATTCATTTTCTCATAAGCCTACGTTACTTTGCCGCTTGTAAATTATTATCAATAATGCAAGACCACCAATTGAGCACTAATTCAACCAGAATATTTTTATTCACATCAACTTCCCTTCAGAATTGATTTCCTCTTATCTTCAAAATTTAAGTTACGTTTATACTTCTTTAATCTGCGAAACATCTCGGAACCTATTGAATTCATGGAAAAATCTCGTGACCATCTCATTACCGAGATAATAACGATGTCATTCGCATAGACTCATTGAAACGACTTTAGACCGTGAAAAACTGCAATTCATCTGATTTTGAAGTAAAATACTAGTTGCCAAAGTGTTTGCGGAATAGTTTTTTTACGAGAGTGAATTTCCACTCGGTTTAAAGTTCAAAATATTAGAATGGAATATTTGCACCAGTGATAGCCTTGACCAATTTTCACGACCTGAGTGATGGAAAAGTTCAAAAATAGTATGTATGAATTGTTTCTCGGTGTATTCATTGGCGACGAAAACACTCAAATGCAACAATTGCCTCTCATGCATGACAAAAGTACCATTTAGATCAAATATATATGTGCACTTCCACTTTCATGTTATTTCTCCTTACGCGAATAAAGGAATGATTATTGGACAATTTAGGAAAAATCCAGGAGAAAGAATGCAAACGCGGACAAACCTGGATGAGAGTCCAAAGGGAGCCCTGAAGCAGGGTACTCCCCTCTGCCTCCGCCTTCTGAAGGCCTGTTCAATGAGTTTCGCCTCAGACTGTGGATCTATCCTCCAGAACGAGCCCTTTCCCGGCTCCTCCTGGCTCCTGGGTACCTTGATGAAGTACCGATTCAACGACAAATTGTGTCGTATTGAATTCTGCCACCCTTTATCAGCAGTGCGATAATAAGGATAATTCTTAGTGATGTACGAGTAAATGCCAGACAGCGTCAGCTGTTTATCTTGGGCCGATGCAATAGCTTGTACAATTAATTGAGCATATGAGTATGGTGGCTTCGAATCGTCCTTCGGTGGACTGTAGTGTGATGATGTGCCATTAGCCCCCTGACCAGAATTATTACGATAGCGTGAGTCAGGACCTGGCTCTGGGCTCATCTGTTTACTTGTACTTTGTCCAGCTTCTTGATGTCTGTCACCAGAGTTTGGCTCATTGGCAACAGCTGCTGCATAGGCAGCCACCATTTGCAAATCAGCTGATATATTACGTCTACTCTGGCCAGCTCTTGGACTTGCTGGACAGGAATTAGCAGCGCTTATTGTACCTGTTGGCGATGGAAATGGACTGCTGTAACCAGTGTCTGGTATGTTAATGCGCAGTGGTGGTAATGGTGCACGTTGCTTTGGTGGTGATGCCATACGCACGTTCGTCTGCTCTTGCTCATCAACCAGAGATTGAAATACCAGGCGTATGTTTGTACTTGGAAATCTGAATGTACATCTGCAAAAATTGAGAGATTATTTTTTAGATTGAGGGAACATGGGTAATTGCAAGATAATAGCATCACTCTCACAGATTTTTATCCGTTATCTGTAGGTTTTTGCGGGGGTGGGAATTATCCAGATATTCATTGGGTAGTAATCGAATTTATTATTGGGGTCATCGCAGGAGTATCATTTCCGTTGATTCATTCACTCGTTATTCGGGAATTCACATCAAGATGTGGATTATTAACTGAAATGTGTGTGGGATTTTTTATTGGAATAGCTAATTTTTTATTGGGGTCAACTCAGCAGGAAAATTTAACTATTTGTGAGATTATCACTAGCTACGAGGAATTATCACTCTTTTTACGGAGGTACTTAAATATTTTCTATTAAAATCCTTCATTATGGAATTTAAAAAAAACATCAACATAATTCGCTTCTGAAACGATTTCCAAAATTCTTTTGTGTGAGATTTTTTTTTTAACAGGGGTAATTCCCAAATGAATAGATCATTTTTATCATTTTCATTTATACATCAATTTTCTGTGAGTTCATGTGGATTATCAACAGATTGAACAATGTGGGCTATTTTTAATTGCAACACCAAATTGATTATTGGGGTCAACTCAGTGGTGAAATGAAGCGATTTGTGTGATTATCGAATTATCTTGATAATGACTGATTTTATGAGAAACTATCAGAATACCTTTCTTAAAGACGAAGAAATTTTCTGTAAAAAAGTCTCCGGACATTTTATCATAAAACCCTTCATGCTCGACTGAACGTGCATCCACAAAATTCAGTCAGGAATCGATTTCTAGATTTTTTGTTATAAAAAAACAGGTAATTCAAAGATGAATCGATCATTCCTATAATTTCCATTCATTCATTAATTACTTTTGAATCCACATCTAGATGTGGCATATCAACAGATTAAATGATCTGTGTTATTTTTAATTGCCAGACCAAATTGGTTATTGAGGTTAACTCAGTGGAGAAATAAAGCAGATGACTTTTATTTAAGCTTAAGAAATTTCCTAAAAAAAATTCCTAGACGTTTCATTCTAAAACCCTTCGTTCTCGAGCAAAAAACGTCAGGAATTTTTTATTTAAAAAAAAGTAACTCATAAATGAATAGATCATTCTTATCCTTTCCATTTATTCATTAATTCCTTGATAATCCACATCTAGATGTGGATTATCAACAGATAAATCAAATTGATTATTGGTATCAACTCAGTGGGAAAATTAAGCAATTTGTGATTATCGAATTAGCTCGACAGTGACTATTTTATGAAAAATTATCAGATCTTCTTTCAAGATCAAGAAATTTCCTAGAGAAAAGTCTTTCGACATTTCATCCTAAAACCCTTCATTCCCGAGCAAAAAAACGTCAACACAATTTGGTCTGGAATGGATTCCAGAATTTTTTTTTATGAAAAAACAGGTAATTCCAAGATCAACAGATAATTCTTGTCTCTTCCATTCATGCATTAATTGTTAATCCACATCTAGATGTGTATTATCAACAAATTAAATGATCTTTGTTATTTTTAATTGCAATATCAAATTGATTATTGGTGTCAACTCAATAGAAAAATGAAGCAATTCATATGATAATCGAATTATCACATAAATTTTAAAAAATTATCATCCAAATTTTACGAAAAATTAATCGACATTTTTTCAAGATCAAAAATTTTCCTCGAAAAAGGTCTCCAAAAATTTCCCCGAAAGCCCGCAACTCCAGCTCTAAAACCGTCGTCAATCCCCTGCCGCCTCGATTCCCAAAAATCACCGGCAAGACATTGATTACCACCAGACATTTAATCGTTATCAGAAGCCATCGATTACGTAGATATTGATTAACCAATTTTAAAAGTGTCCCAACGACCAATAAACCCATAAGAACCCCCACCCTTAATTCTCAAACTTGGACTCAGCTCTCCCAGCCAGAATTATCATCTCCATTCATGTCTACAAGCCCACCGTGCAACATTTCCACAGCGAGCTCACCGCTTCTGTTTACATCACAGAGTCAACAGCCCAGCAGAGGGGGGAAAAAACTAATGAAGATAAATATAAACATGGCAGACAACACCAATACCAATATTTCCCTGCGAACTCTCCACCATCAATCAAAAATCGAGTTTGAAATTGCTTCAGAATAATCCCCATTACATCTTATGACGTAATTCCTCGGTGATGTTTTGGCAATGCAGCAGTGGCTCTCATTGTCAATCATTAATAATTGTTTATCGGAGTAGGGATGTCCACAGGCAAATGGAGCATTTGTTTACACTCGATGATTAATAATAGATCAACGTCACGAGTATTGGCAGACGAGCGATCTCATCATCAAGCCAAACATTGATTTTAAAAAATACAATCAATAATAAATGAGCCACTGGTACTCACGTCTTGGGGAGCTGAAAAGCCGGTGCTCCTTTTCGCTGAAAGACCCCATCAACGAAAACTCCATTTTTGCCATTGCAAGTCATGTAGAAGTACGGATGATCGTAAAATACTTCCAAATGTCGTCGTGATATAAAACTCGAGTGTCCCATATTAACATCAACCTCACCCTTACTACTATTACGTCCAATTGTTATTCTCCTCTGTCTAACCATATATTCAAACTCACGTCCCTCTAGTCTAGCTATTGGTGCACCCTTCGACTCGGGATTCCATTGCATTTTAGCTGGACTTGCTGGTGCTGATTTAAGGGCAAGTAGCGCCCACGCGTCACTCTCCTGTGTACGTGAATACGTTGATGACATCTTGATGAATTTATATTGTAAAACCACCCAGATTTCTGCCTAATTGTCGTGAAAAAGGCTGCTGAACAGGGGAAAATCTTCTCGAAGGGAACTCAACTCTTTTTCTCGTTTTTTTATCTCCTCAATTCACCTCTCGATCTCTCTCTCACTCTCATCCACTCACTTATGTATTTGTTTTGTTTATTTTTAACATCAGATCAATTGTTCATGTGCCTTAACCCCTCCCTCGCAGGCGGAATAATGTTTAATGTGCACGCGTTCACGCACACAGTCGCAAACAGCGGGGAAAATAAGAGGAAAAAATAACAAAAATGAGGAAAAAAAAGTGCGAGATACCGACTCTCTTGGCCACACTTTATTTCTTTCACGTAATATGGCCGGCCCACCCGATTTATTCAGCCTCTTCACTGATTGTTATTGTAACTCATTGATACAACTCCGAGGTTATTTAGAATTCACTGATTATGATGCACTCGTTACCTTGTATTTACGATTTATATTTCACGTATTACACGGGATCTGTGGATCATCAAAACTCTATTGCCTTCCACCACTTCCTTCACCCCTCTGCGCCGTCTTGTTTGATATCTCTTTTGCTCTTTAGAACGTCGTTACTCTCTCTCAGTCACGCACACACTCACTCGCGCAATATTACACGTACTTTCTCACTCCCACTCTTGTTCGAACCGCTCAATCCCCCGGTTTGATGTGTATTTTCGATTTTTTCAGTGGTGAGGGGTGACTGCTCTACACCGGCTGTTTTTTTTTGCAATTGTGGATTTTTTGGAAACACACACACGCACGATTGCAGGCGGAGGAGATGGGATTTTTGGCCTTTGTTTACCCACAATAAACCGAAACGTGGGTGGCCACCACGTGACACGAGACACTGGGTAAAGCGGTATTTATGACGTATTTGAATTGGTTTTTGGAGTTTTTGGGGGTGGTTTTAGTTGAATGTTTTCGGTGGACTTGTTTGACACCAGTTGACGAATTTTTCCATTATTTTTTGGGGTAAATTGACGATTCAGGCTGACGCCAGTCCCTCGTGTTTTAATGCAACTGTTGCCATCTTCGTTTCGTGTCGATGAGATTGGAAAGAAACCGGATGTCGGGGGGACGCCATTGGTGAGTCTGTTTTTGTGGGTTGGCAGCACCGCGAAGTTTGAAATCGTGGCATTTTGCAGCACGAAAGGATTTAAAATGAGTGGGGACGGATTTTTATTGAGTTTTGCGCGAATTTTGGGGAGTTTTTTGGGAGTTTTTGGACGATTGGGCAGTTGGGGGGACGGGCGGGGGGAATGACGAGGGGAATCGATTGAGTTCGTTATTGAACAAACATGGGTGACAAATGTAAACACTTCGGTTGCGTAACAACTGGTGCAGAGATGCGGGATTAGTTATGAGGTTTTTGAATATTTATTGGAGAATTATTCGGCGGTTTCTTGCGGCGAGGGGAATGGCGGAGGGGTTTTTTGGGGGATAAGGGGTATCTTGGGGGAAGCGGAAGCGGAAGTGAGGAAAGTTCACTTCCGGTGGTGGGGATATTTGAGTTGTATGTGAAGTACGAAGTATGAAGTTCAGTACTCGGTGGGAGATTGCACGTATGAAAATATTTAATTTTAAGTTTGATCGCACGTGTGAAAATATTTTATTATAACAATCTAGCACTTTCTTTGACAAATTTTATTGAACGTCTATTGGAACTTCATAGAGATTATAGTGGAGTTCTATTAGAAGTAAATTAGGAAATTGGATTTTTTCAGGGAGATTTTATTTAAGATTGCGCATTCTTACCGCGTCATTTTGTTGAGAGATATTTGGTGGAAAAAAATAGATCTGATTTTTTTAAATTCAATTTTTGGTATTAATTTACCAAGTTTTTGCTGCTGTATTTTCAATTGTTTCTGATAAAAAAACTTCTGAAAAAGAATTACAATAGACTGAATGATATTTCAAAATAAATTTTTGTCAATTCTTTTCTATCAACGAATATCTGTTCAAAAAATTACAGGAAAATTGTAGAATTTTTAATAGACTGGTACGAAAAACAAGGAGAATTTTTTCATGATAAAAAAGAAACAGGTAAATAGTTCTGATGTTTCTTTTATATTAATTCTTGGCATAAAATTTCCAAGTTTTTTCCGCTGTATTTTGAGTTGTTTCTCATAATACAATTTTTTAAAAATCCCAACAAACAAATCAGCTTCTGGATTTTTTTCTATAAACAAATATCTATTTGGAAACTCCTGAGAAAGTTGCATAATTTTCAATAGAATTACCAAAAATAAACAGAATTTTTTTATGGAGGTATATTTTTTATATTATTTTTTTTTCATACGTGTGTTGCTGTCGTTGTTGTATTCAAAATCTTATTTCGAATTATTCTGACTTGGATGAAATTCGACAAATTTTATTATTTGAATTGTAAAAGTTCATCGTTGTTCAATTTTTTTTTCATTAATAAAATCTGAAGTTAGTTTGTAGAAATTATCAGGGCTTAATTTTCTTTTGGAATTTCCTCTTTGCGAATTTTATTTTTAATCCTACTTTTTCATTGAAAATACACTCCAAAGAAATATCCACACTAAATAGAACTCAATCAAATGAACAATTAATTAGTTGAAAAATCAATTTCAATTTTATAATAAATATTAATAAATATTAATTATTTAATGATTTAATAATTCGAAAAAAACCAATTATTCAATAATTTCTGACTCATTTATTCGTGACATGATTAATTAATTAATTAATTAATTAATCAGTTTGTTGAAATTAAATTGTTGATATAATTATTTAAATTTAAAAAAATCAGTCATCAAGTTGCGTAAGACAAGCAACACCTCTATTGATCCAATGAGACTCTTGCATTCTCGTTGGAATCAGTATATACATCACAAAATTGGATGAGTGACCTGTGGTAGCTAGAACTCCTCGTCTCGCGCTGGTTTTGTACACCGGACAGGCATAACTCGGTGGCGGTCTGAATTTCGATTTTTCGCCCGGCTTCAGCCACAGCACTGGCAGGATGTCGAATATTATTTTCGGTTTGGATTCATCTAGCTCATTGACTTGTTTATTCCAACGTGCACCTTCTAAAAACAGTCCCTAGAAAAATAATGTAGGAAAATCTAGAAACCGATTTTTTTCAGACAAAAAGTCCAATTCTAAACGAATGAAGACATGATGAAGGAAAATATGATTGACGATCTGTTTTCTCGAGAGAAATGAAAATTCTGTAGCGAAGCAGTAAAAAGCTTCAAGTGGATTCTGATAATTGGCCAGTTTTCAATGAATATCTCGAAATCTAAGGGACATAGCAGAATTTTTGTCAAAATCTTTTTTGTAGTCCTCAATTAGCTCTAGAAAAAAACTTATTACGAAAATTTCGTTATCTTCTTTAAATTCGGAGATATTTCTCGAAAACTTAGCTAAGAGCCAAGTCGACTTAAACGGTTTTACTGCTTCACTACTGAATTAATATAGAGTGCTCTAAACAAATTTATAGATAAACCGATTCGCTAGAAAATTCCCGTAGACTTCTATTAGCTTTTTTTTCAATAGAAATGTTCAATGAAAAATTTTCTATAGAGAAAATAACATTAGATTTTTCTTTACAACTTATTCCATTGAGATAATTTCTGTAGAAATCCAAGTTTTTTTGTTTGATTTTTTCAAGAGGATACGTCGGTGAAATTTAAAAGTCTTCACTAGGCCTTAGGACCCATTGAACAGTTTGTGATATATGACGGAATATGGGAATAACTAGGGAAAATTGCGGACCCGATCGATTTTGTCCCGTACAATCACGAAAAACTTCATTTTTTCCTGTTTTCACCTTTAAAATGCTCGTTACACTCCAAAGAATAAAATAACGCATCCGTTTTACTTTATTCGCAATAGATCATGAATAAATGAATTTTGAATTTCATAAATTTTTCGCGTCTCTTGAGTAGAATAGAATCAGGGCAAAAACAAGTAGAATTTTTCGAACCCCATAGAATTCCTATAAAATTCCAATAGAATTTTATAGCGAATTCGCTAGGTTTTCTATTCAAATTTTTCATACGTGATTTTTCTTCATTTTTAATCAAGAAAATCAAACAAAAAAACTTAGAAAATTTGGGTGTAGGAAATTCTATACAAAAAATATCTCCATAGAATTCCAATAGAATTTTCTAGCAAATTCGCTAGGTTTTCTATTGAATTGTTTCATGCGCTATAGTGTGCATGAGCTGCCGTGCTTTACTTATGGCACACTACACACTGACGGCCCCCCACTTCTCTCACACGTAGACGATCGTAGACGTTGGTCGTTCAATGGGTCATCCATTTAAAGTCTTGATCAGATTTCGCAATATACTCAAAACCAAGCCAGAGCGATGTAAAATAATGATAACAAAGAATGGGTGCTGGGCGTCAAAAAAAGAGCGCCATTCAAGTCCCCGATTCAAAAACTTTCTTACATGAGTAAAAACCCCAGAACTTGCTGCCTCCCCCACCTCCTCCACGTCCCCCATCACCTCGAACTCAAAGTCCAGATGATCGATCGGGATCTTATGCAGCCTGGCATAATTCTGCATAACTCCCGTCAAGAACGATTGCGTGAAGAAGAACCCAGACAGCCAGTAAACGTTCGGTGCATCGTGATCAATCCAATCTTGGAAGAACTTGATCCTCATCATCAGATCGCTCACATAACTCCCCAGTGGCTTTAAGGAGGGGTACGACTTCTTGTCCCAGGCCCCAGGCACCTTTCCAACGCTCATGCTCAAGAACACCTCCTCCAGCTCCGCGGACATCACCACCTGTCCCTTGATCGCCTTCTGGACATTCTTCAACGATCCCTTGATGACTGCAGTCAACCTATTGAACCTTATCAACTCTTGCCTCAAGACTGTATTCATGCTGTTCATGTACAGCACAGGATACTTCTGAGAGACTTCTTCAATGTTAAACTGCTCCGGCATTTTGGTCAGAATATCACTCGCCAGAAGCGAGACCATGGCATCAGCGTCTCCCTCGGCCCCACCGACGCTTATCTGCGTCTGGGTGAGAAGAACTCCCCCCAATAGCTGCATTGATTCATTATTATCCTTCGTGATATCAGCATTGTCATGAAGCCCAAAGACCTCCGGCCATACACTGATCGGCAGAGTCTTGATATACTCCAAACACCCTTCATAATCTGTGTCCGTCGGAATCTTGAACTTTCCACTCGGCGAAAAAGTGTAATCCTTATTGCTGATCACTTCAGGATTGTAATAATTCTTCAGCAAGGAATTCAGCAGTCTTCTGTCCTTGTCATCAGTGACTCGACCTCCGTAATTGCACTCGCCAGTTAAATACAACAAAGCCTCGAAGGGAACCTCTTCATAATCGTTCAGGAACATCTGAAGCTGAAGGACACTGATCCGAAGATCGGATTCATTGAACTCGTAAGGGATGTTCCAACCCAATGGTCCGAATTGTCGTCGTTCTTGGACTACTGCATGGAAGAAGCACAAGGAGAAGAGGAGAGACTCCCACTCGATGATTCGCTTGCAGCTCCTGAAGAACTTCTGGTCCGATATTGGATCGTTAAGATAGCTTCTCAAAAGGTTCTGCTTGAGTCCTTTAGGTGGTTCGTTTGTCATCTTCACACCGTTCTGTAGGATTGACACAGGGAACGCTTTCGACGGATAACTTGTCAACCAGACTCTAAATTTATCGTGGGTGTTCTCCGGAATGATGGTCTCGTCACAGATTCTGTCTAGTTCCTTCATCCAAGACTCGGCGAGATGACAATTTTGGAGGACTACCCATTCTCCGGACTGGATGCCCTTCTTGATCATGTCAGCAGCGAGGGGACCCTGCCCCTGACCCAGAGAGATCGTCATGAGATTTTTCTTGAGGATCCCTCTTGTCTCAGCAAATTTGATGAGGCCCGCCATCGGGTCCGATCCGGGGGACAGGATGAAAATGAGTGGGGATGTCTTGGTCGAGTCGTCGTAGGAGGCTTGAAGGTCGAAGGGTGGGGGTTCTATGAAGGCCTGACCCATGTTCAAGGAAATGAAGCTTTGAACTGCTGACACTAGCTTGTCTGGTCTGACGCAGCGAAGTATTACTAAGCTTCTTAGTTCTTCGCGGCCGACCTTGTTGAAAGGTTCGGGAAAGAAGTGATCCTGAGGGTTGGACAGATCGTAGTACTCCTTCCAGGATGAAAGGTTCTCCTCGAAAGATCGTCTGAGGCCTTGGAGACCTGTTAAGGCGTCAGCTCTAGTGACTTCAGACCAGGATTTATCTGTTAACCAGCTGGGATCAGGGTTCTTGTGAGGGTTGTGAAGGGCAACGCCTCCGGTCAACAAGAAAGACCACAAGTCTTCTTGAATTCGCCCTTCGGCTCGGTGAATGCCAGCTGACAGAACCAGGGAGAAGATCAACTTGTCTTTCTCGAAGAGCGATCGACAGACGTTTCTGTAGATGCTTCTTGTAAAGATTGAGTTTAAACTCTCGATTCGAACGTTCAAGTCTTCTGACTTTTCGCTGCTAACGATCGCAGATATATAGAGGTTGATGAACCAGGGGAGAGAGTACTGGTACATCGGGTCGATATTCGCCAATTCTGAGATGCAGAAGAAAAGAACGGCTCCGTGACGTGAAACTGGCTTGTAGCCGTCGCGAGCGTCATCGATCTCAATAGTCGTTTTGGCAGCAACTTTCTGCTTCGCTTCTATGTCTTCCGATAATAGTTTTGATGATGATAGGATTTTTATCGCCGTTTCGTCCTCGAGGATGTTCCCCTCGGACGACGACAAAACTTCGAGGATCTTGTCCTCGATTTCTTTGAGGATTCGCTTGTTGTTCGCTCCTTCGACGATCAGCTGGTTCTTCTTCTCCTCGAGGATTGGGAGATCTTTTGCCACTACTATCCCTAAGAGTTGATCTTGAAGCCCCTGAGGAGTGATCATGAAGTTTAACAAAGTCACCTTGACCGCGATTTCCGGGAGATAGTGAGGGTTTCGAAGTCTCGTGGTGATGTAGAACCGAAAGTTTTCATTGTACTCCAAGACATTCTCCCCAAACTTCATGTACATTACTCCTCGTTGTTTGTAGATGTTCTTCAGGAGAACAGGCTCGAGAATCGCGTCTAACTCCGTAAGAATATTCTCCAACAAGACCGGAAGTCCCAGTTGAATAGCGTTTTCCATGATCCTGACGTAGTTGGGATCAGTAAGTTTGATGACGTTCAGCTTATTCTGCTTTTCCATATTCTTAATCCATTTGTTCGCCGGTCCCTGCGGGTCGATCATTAAGGGCCACCTGTCCGCGTACTTCACGATGATTCCATTTTCCACAGAGAAGTTGTCAGCCGGCAAGCCATGAATCATCCAAGCCCTGATTTCCACAGCTTCTCCTAGGATGTCCGGGAGGCTAAAGTGAACGCTGCATGGAATTTTCATGTCTCGACAGGTTTTGTGCCACTCACTGATCAGATTATTCCGATACTCAACTGTGAAGGCTCCCAGATAGGCGACGATCCCAGAGGATAGCAGGACATCACCTATGACATTACCGAGACTAGCGCCAAGATTCGACGCTGTCTCACTCCACCTGGTCTTCTCTCCGCCCAAACCACCAAGAAGCTTTTCAGCTCTGTCCAATTTCTGCATGCAGTGGTCAATCTGATCCTCGAGTTTCTTCTTCTCCCTCATGCACTCTGCGAACTCGTCGTTCAAAGTCTGCAATTTGTCTGTGACTTCTTGCAGAAGAGTTCGCTTCGCATTCAGCGTCTCCATTTGCGCGGCAAGTTCAGCCTCAGCCTCCGCAAGCATGGCCTTCTTAGGAGCCACGACCTTGATCACTCTATCGTAGACCTCCATCGCCCGCACCCACTTGCACAAGCCCTCGCAGGCAGTCGACACCTTCTTGATGACTTCGGGCTGAAAGCTCCTGTCGTTCATGAATCTCTCCCTGATTCGTTTCATGTAAGCCGGAGGAATGTTGTCTTTGTCGAAGGTCTTAAGACTCTCCAGGAACTTCATGTCCCCGAGGACCTTGATCGAGGCCGGCCAGTAGTCGTCTATCGTCACCCCCGAAGGGTCCTGAACCCGTTCTGGTTTCACTCCTTTCAGAACACAGACAGCTTCCATCACTAGACGAACACCGGCGGGTGGACTCTTCATGGACTTCACTATCGTTACGTCAGCAGGCTTCAAGGTGTCCAGGGCTGAAAGTGCAGCTTCCAGGGCTGGGGTAGCCTCCGCAAGGTCGCTCTCGCAGTCGTCTTTGATGGCTTGTGCGGCAGCTGCGGCTTCGTTCGCTAGGGCTTCGTCCGCAGCCACGACTTCTTTCTTTGCTTCGACGTTCACAGTATCTTGCTCGATCCTAATCATCAATTTGTCACTCAACTGGGATTGAGCCACTAGTTTTGGCTGCAGAGCATGCAGCTCCTCCTGCATCACTGCGACCTGACCTGCAGCAAAGTCCAACTTTTCCAAACCCACTTCATACCGGTTCTGCTGAGACGTGATCTGGTTAACTTTCTGACCGTACAATTTGTACAATGACTTGATCAGCTCTAAGAAGCTTGTTGGCGTGACGTAATTAGTTCGGCCTTGAGTTCGTTGGTAGTCTTCGCTCGATCGTTGAACGGTTTCGTGGAAGTTCTTGCAGACAACGACGCATTTCTGTTTGATTTTGTCGTCGATGTCTAGGTCTTTCAGGGAGATTGTCGCGACTTTTTCGAGGGCGTCGGGAGGCCATGGCATATACCAATCGATGGTGCAGCAGTTGATCAGCGACGGGAACATGCGGATGCGATTGCGGAAGGCGTCACCAATAGGCGACATCGTCAGCACGATGTGGAGGAACTTCTTTACGCGCTCGATGAAGAGATTGTACAAAGCCATTGGGGTAGTCTCAACTCGTTTCGCGGAATCCTCTCTCGCCGCATTCGTCATCTTCTCGAGGATCTCAGCTTTCTCCTCCGTTCCGTAGAGATTTGGCACGTCTCCAGTATTGAGGATCATGTTGATATCCTCTACAAATGATTCGTCCTTGATCTGATTGTCGGCAAAAAGGAAGACTGTCGATTTGCCATCGCAGCCGACTTTCAGGAGGAGATGTTTCAAGTCGTCCCGCCATTCTGATGGCCCGTAACTCCTGGTGATCTCGACTTGGTGAAGAATATACTCGCAGATCCCCGTAGCTAGCTTCGAGCAGGAAGATCGTCCCGAGCCACCGACGCCGACTAGCAATGCGTTGCCGTTGTCCTGCATCAGGACTCTTGAAATCCTCGAGATGTGCTCGATCGCGTATCTGAAGAGAACTAGAGACATTGGGGTCTTCGACATCATATTGTACTCGGTTAAGTAGTACTCCATCTTCTCTTGAAGATCGTTTAGATCGGTCACTTGATCGTAGATCTTCGGGTCCGCATCGGGCTCCATGTACATCCCGAAAAATAGATCGCGAATGTGAGCACTTGTGATCGTCTTCTCGTCCTCTTTGAGGTAGTCTGATAGGACTTTGTCCAAGGGTTGACGAAGCTGATCGTAAGTGACTCGTTTCACCATTTTAAAGAGGATTTCTCTGTCTTGATCGTCCACCAATCGATCGTGGAAAACTCGGTAAACCTCGTGGATCCAGAGTTTAATGAGCTTATCAGGGTCCCGCATTCTGGAGGATGGAACGAGGACGATTCCACTGATAACTCGGCTGAAATCTCTCAAGTTGAAAGTGTAGTGGCTCTTCGCAGGGATCGGGAGGAAGTTGAGGATGGCGTCCTGGAAAATGTCCATCGTTGCCGAGACCAGCATTTTGCCGAACCGAGAGACACTGGAGTCGAAGCCCTTAGCGAAGTGCCAGTCTAGGATTGACGTGAAGATCTTCGTCATCGTGGCGTCCTCGAAGGCGTCGATTCCAATTATGTGCATGTGACGAGTTAAGCGAGGGGTTACGACGTTGGAGCCGCCTCCTGGAGGACCCATCGCAGCTATCATGAGGATATCCATCAGATAGATGATTGTTGTATCCTTTGGATCGAACCAGTAGCCGTGGTCTATCCACTGACGGAGGAGTTCTATCGGGGGCTGGGCTCCGTAGACTTCCTTCTGGGGCATTGACAGGTCGTCGACGAAGAGGATGCACTTCTTGCCCATTGTCGGGCCGTAGACTCCCTTCCGACGTCGATCCAGCTTCGACATTACGATCTCCTGGGTCTGCGCTGCGCTGGTCCGAGCGCTGAAGTTTACCACGTTCTGGATATATTTCTCCTTGGGGAGGTTGACCAGGTAGTCCAGGACTATGGCGGACTTTCCGGTGCCTGTAGGACCCACGAAGAGGATCGGGATCGACCGGTCCAGGAGCCTCTTTATGAAGAATCGCTGCATCGAGACCTCATTCGTTTGAATAATCAGATCACTCACTTTCGCGGTTGGCGGAAGGGTCACCGGAGGAGCGGTGTCCATCCACGAAATCCAACTTCCGTTGTTCCTCTTATCGTATAGCCAATCATAAATGGTCCCTCGATCGGGGAACAGTTGTTGCTTGGATAGCTTGAAAGCCTTGGGCTTCGGGTATTCATCTATCTTCCCGTCTAACAGCTTTCGAAAAAACAAGTCGAACTCCTTTCGACTGTCGCTTACTAGCGTCGATGCGAATCCCCAGATCATGGAGAAGAGCATGACACATTGCAGCCAGACCGTGCTCACCTGTGTCTCCCCCTCCAGCATCGTACTCAACATTCTCGTGAAAGACAAGAACATATGCAGTTCGGAAGTATCGACAAACGTCCGACAGCTTACTTTGATGAACCAGAAGATCGACGGCGTGAGCCACTCAATGAGTTCTACAATCAACTCAAACTGTTCCACCAGGATCCTCTGCCTCAAATCCTTCTTATAACTCTCCAAGATCGGTTGCCACCCCAGCTGGGAGGGCTCCATGTAGATCATCCCACATCTGCTGACCGTAGCCGGTGAGGCCTGATCAAGGTCAGCCGGCTCAAACATCATATTCATCTTATTTGACATGATGATGATCTCCCCGGACATCAAACAAAGCTTCTTGTTATCGTCTAGTACTGTGTTCATGTTCTCAATCCACACGGCGTCAACAGGCCCATCAAAAACTATCCACTTTCGGTCAAAGCTGAAGGACTGCGCGTACTCTCGGAAGGTGTTTGCGAGGATTCCATCGCTCCACTCGTGAGAAATCGGATCGAAAGATCCGTAGAGTAGCCCCATGGTGATCGCCTTGGGATTGATGATCCTGTAAATCGTCTTGAATTCCTTGATCACAGCTTTGCGTTTGACCGAAAGCTCTCCAAGAGCATCGGCGAGGGCTTGATACGCCTGGGTTTTTCCGCCTAAAGTATCTCCTACGACCATCAATCCATGCCTGACCAAGATCATTTCGTAGATTTGAATGACTTTGTCGACATACCACTCGGTCGCCTGGAGATTCCTCTTCTCCAGATTTCCTTTCAACAGTTCAATCAGTTCGTCCCTGTCGGGATTAGGAAGGTCCACTCCCGGGAACAGATCGCTGTAGATTCCTTTGAACAGGGGAACATCCTGAGCCAAGAACTTGGGGAGGTTGACATCCACAATAGCTCTCAGGACAAGAATCGCTTCGTTCTGATTCGGATACTTGAGCTTCAGATTACCAGCAGCTGTTAGTACGGTCTTCACAGCCCTCATACCGTAGTCGTAATGGCTCTGGGAGCTCAACTGTTCAGAGCACAGCTTATAAGTGTGAACGATCTTCTCAGCCAGACTCCTGGCGTCGATGAACCCGTAGGAGTACAGAGTGATCTCTCCAATCATTCCGTAATCGGGGACCATCATAGCGACGGTTCTGAACAGAACTTTCAGATTATCAGGAAGCTCTTGACGCCCGGCATATCCAGGATTCATAGTGATGAAGACATTGCACGTTGGATTCAACTTCAACTCGGTCCCTTCAAAGAGGAAACGTTCGACCTTCATGCTAATCGCCATTTGGATCGTGTGGATCTGCTGAGCGATTACGGACAGAACTTCCAGCTCGATCCTATTGAACTCGTCGAAGCAGGCCCAAGCGCCGGATTGAGCTAGACCTTTGAAGAACTTCCCCATGGCCTTGTAATCGAGACCTTCCGAGCAGTTGAAGACGACGCACTGTTTGGCAACAGCTTTCGCGAGGTCCTTAGATGTCTCCGTCTTTCCGGTACCAGCAGGACCCTCTGGCGCTCCTCCCAGGTTCAGTTTCAGGGCGCCCATCAACGTCCGGTAACATCTGTCAGTCAATGGCGTGATGACGAGACGAGGGGTGTTCCCCAAGTACTCGAACCCGTAGATGACATCTGTTGTGATCATCGATACTGTGATCGCCCCTTCCAGCCAGTAATATCGGAGCTGACAGATCCAATTGAAGTCTATCGCGTCCTTCACTTCCCGTTCCACCAGCATTTTCACGACGTCTCGGGCATGGACGTCAATGACAATCAGAGCGTTTAAAGTTATCCTGGTCCCCGGGTCTAGCTTCCCTCGGACGAGCGCCACTGTTCTGTCAATTTGATCACTGCATTTGTGTAAATAGTTCGGGGTGGAGCCGTCCTCAAAGCTCTCGATGACTTCGCTTGTCCAGTGGATCTGGCTTCCGCAGAGGACTATCTGTCCCGGCCAGGAGAGGATCCATTCTTCCCTCACTGCTGTGAAGTAAGCAATCACACTGTCCTGCGCGATGTCTCGTAACGACGTGATCATCATTTCTTCCACCTGGCAGAGCCACTTCTCCACCATTCCCTTCGCGTCAGCCGGGTAGATCTTTCCGCTCATCGGAACGTACTCATCTTCATCTGACAGCATTCCTATGATCTCCTCCTCCTTCGTGAATTTGAGTTTACTAATCCCTTCGAAGCATTTCTTCAAGTGGGGCTGCACCCTCTGAGGGTCTTTCGTCTCGGACAGAATCTCCAACAATTCGTCATTCGAGAGGAAGAAGAATCGTGGAAAAAACAGGCGCTTCTTCTCGAGATAATCGTTCAATCCTTTCTGGATTTCGTCGAGGAGCGAGTTACAGAGTCGAAATTGGTCAAGCATGTTTGGGATTCCTGTGGCGGTGGTGACCTTCTTGTCCTGAGCGACTGAAGTCATCATCCCACGCCACATTTTATCGACTTTTCTGAAGTTGTTGGCTTCCGTCGGCATCTGTCGCATGATGTCTTCACTACTGAAGATCGGTTCTAGGTACATCCAGGTGGCTTGACACGTCAGCCATTGGTCGATGATGTCTTGCATGGTGATCAGTTTGTTCTCCCAGCTCTCCATCTCGTGTTCGAAAGCTTTCACGAAGGGCGAACCCCTCATCGTTTGCGCCTTAAGAATGTGATCATCGAGAAGCATTTGGATGTCGTCAACAGCCGACAGAATCTGCACTCCTGTCTCTCGATATGGAGTCAAGTCAAAGTAGATCTGCTCCCACTCGCCCTTCATCTTTTCCAGATTCTTCTCCAACGTATGCTCTTTCGTAGCTGCCGACGAGATCTCTTCGAGCTTAGTTATGTGCACGGGCAATCCGTACTCAATCATCTGGGAGAGACTGCTCTGTTCACTCGCAACGATGGTCTCTCCCACGACTTTACTGATCTGGTCCCAGTGACGGGCCTGCAGACCAGGATTGCAGATCGTCTGAAGAACTGGGATGAATTGCTTGAACTTCTCGACCTTTCCTCGTATCATCTCCGCGATTCTCCTAGCTCCGGGGATGTCCGTCAGCGCTCTTCCTAGCTTGTACAATGTTCTCCAGGCGTTGTCAGTCTCCTCTCTGACTTCGTCCGCGTCCAGACCTGAGAAAGGACCGTAGTACCACTTCTCATAGTTTCGGTGGAAGTGGAGGACTGTGTGCCAGAGTTTGTCGAAAGTCTCCACCGTTGATGTCATTCCAGGGAGAGGCAAGTACGGACTGAGTTCCATGTCCAGAAGGCCTTCCTCCTCGTTTATTTGCTCGGCCTCCTTTCTCATCTCCGCCATCGTAGCCGACAGCTGTTCAATCTCCTCGGTCGCTTGCTCCATCTCTTCAACTGTCAAGACTGGCGGATCTTTCTTCTTGAATTGATCAATCGCCAGTTGCATTCGGCTTATCTTCTGCTCGAAGTTGTCTCGTCTCGTTCTCAGGACGCCTTCAACGAATTCCTTTCTCATGTTCAGTCTCGTCGTTGCCAGCTCCATCACCGTTTCCATCTCCTTCGGCCATGTTAGGGTTCGGGTGTTCAAATTTATGTCTTCGTCACTCGGCGGCTGGTAGTCAAACAAGAAGAGGATCAGTTCTGCACATCTTGCTAGTTTACTTCTCAGACTGAACATCGTGTTGTCACGACTGTCTACCAAGAAGTTGAAGAGATCGACAACTTCTTGAGTCGTCTCCGGCATCCCCGATATCTTGTCCGCGATCTCATCGAACACGTGACATAATTCGCGGTTGTTCGATTGTAATTCTTCGAGGAAGAAGTCACAGATCGATGTTCGGAGGTCGTGTAAGATTGTTCTCATCGAGGCGTTGACGATCGAGCAATCGATTTCGATCAGGTTCAGGGGGATCTTGTTCCGGAAGAGGCAGATCTCTTTGCTGAGAATATCGTAGCCGTCGATTCTGTTCCCGAATTCACGGAGAAAGGGGATCGGATCGATCTGGAAGTAGCTGTCGAGGTTCTTGGTGGCTTGGCCGTCCAGAATGTAGGACAAGTCTTTGTAGTGTTTTAAGTAATCGTCAGGGCCCTTTTGATTAGATTTTATGGCGTCCAGGGCTTCGTTGATGATTTTGGAGACTGATGACTCGGATCTTGAGACTGGGAACATGTGACCGGTGTTCTTGAATTCCGGAAAGATGATGGTCTCGATCTTTGGAACTCTTGATCCCACTTGAAGGATTTTGTTGAAGCATCGAGAGACTGTGTCGTGAAGTTCGGTGATGCTGGGGTTTAGACGGAGTTCAGTGGTGCCTAGGATTGGTTCCACGGAGATTGTGATGAACGGAGGTCGGATGAAGGTCAAATCCTGGTAGTCGCCGTCAAATGAGTTTCCGTCTTTGTATTGGATGAGGAAGTCTTTGAATTCTTCTAGGGTCTCGAGGAGGATGATGCGGAGCTGACGGGAGAGGAGGGTGTTGACGGATCGGAAGTACTTTTCGATGTGGGAGGTAGGGGTCGTGGGTTTTTTCTCGAAGAGGGAGCACCAGGCGTGCTTCTTCTCGAGGAAGAGCTCTGCCACGTCCGCCAACCACTGATGCTCCAGTTTGTCGATTGCGAGGGAGCAGAGGGATTCTACAGTCGGCTCGAGGGCGAGGGCTGGAATTGGGAGGGCGCCCAGGTCTTGCACGTGAATGATTCGCATGGAGCTGTATCTGAAAGTCGGGTGGACGTAGGGGAGTCATTTAAGAGACCATTCAACTTTAATTTTATGACGATGCTTGACGGCCGGGGGAGGGGGGTCGCGCAGGTTTTGACGTCACGCTCATATTTTTATTTCTCATTTGATTAACCCTCGATCACTCGCTCAACAAGCGCGGCGCCGCCCGTTTTCGTTTTTTTTTATATTTTAGCGTATTTCTCGACGAATAAAAATTCTGAAAATATTAGAGTTCCTAGTTCAATCCTTTTATTAACCGTTGGCGTTGTCCGTTTTTTTCTCGGAAATTTTGTTCAGCTAAAAGAGAAAAGAAACGTCGAACGGACAGAAAAACGGCGCTACGCCACTCGGTACGAGTAAGTCCCTATCGACCCTTCGAGCGACAATGTTGCTACTTTCACTGCCACACTTGGAAGGCGCGCATAGCAGTAAGCGCCAAGGTGGCAACAGCGCGGCGCTGCGCTAAGCGTGTGACGGATGAAGACACACGCTGAGTGCGAGTAATGGAGGATTAAAGAAAAAAATCAAAAATACTTCTTTCATTTTGAAACGAAGGGGAAATATGAAAGTTAATATCTATAAAAATTCATAGAATCTGCAAGTTAAGTTTGCCCATAGTCTCCCCTGAATTGAAATATGTTTGTTGAAAACTATTCACAAAATTAAATTGACTAACTCTTTCTTTACTAAGGAATCAATTACGGATGGATCGATTTTCAATTTTTCTGAAACTATCACTTGATCGAATTTTTTATAGTAAAAAAATTACCTCGAAAACCACAGATCTCTTATCTCCCTGAGAATCTCATTACTAATGAACAAATTATGCTCGTTAAAATGGGTAGCGATGACAATAGACTGATGCCATGGCACAGGTGCACGAACATGAAGCACTGGAAACTCAACAGGAATTACCTCCACCCCCAGGCGTTCCTGCTCATCTTCATCCAATAAAATGTAATCAAGAATAGCTATTCGAACGCTCCTTTTATAATCATCGATAATTTCCTGCTCCAACTCCTTCAAAAGTTCATGGAAACTGCGGAAAAAGAAATCCATTCGCTAAAAAAATTTGCAGACATTTCCACGACAGACTGTCAGAATTTATTTAGTATTTTATTGGAGTGCTATTGAAGGTCTATGAGAATTCTATTAAAAATTCTATTTGTTATTTACCGCTTCCTGGAATATATAAGTCAACAAATAATGTTAATTTTCCATGCAAGATGTTCCATTGCGATTAATTCCAATAGAATTTTTGAGGATGCAAAATAAAGCGTAAATTGCCATACCATGCGTTCTTGAATTTAATTTGTAATTTTGAATTCATAATTTGTAAAATGCCTCTAATATATACCTCTTGAAGGGAGGAGCTGGTAAGGGATGTTCCATACATCTACCTGAGCATCCATAATTATTACATAAGGTGTCTCAAGGAAATTAAAATTCATATTACTTGCCCATAATTTAAAATCCCGAATTTTTAGTTTCACCAAATATTCTATAGAGTCAATGGAATCTGATTTTTCTATACAACTTACTCTATTGAGATATTCTCTAGAGAATTTCCTTGGCTCAGATTCTGTAAATCTTTGTCATTGTACCTTTATTTTCTTTTCATCAAGAAAATCGAACAAAAAATTAGAAAATTTGAGCGGAGGAAATTCTATAGAAAATACCTCAATAGAATAAGTTATAGAAAAATTGAATTCTATTCAGGTTTTTGTACAGAATATTTTCTATTAAATATTTCAATAGAATCGCCAGAAAACTAGCAGCAAATTCAATAGAAATCCAATAGAATTTTCCAGCGAATGTGCTAGCTTTTTCTAAAAAATTATTTCCGTGACTTCTTATTTCTTCATCCAATCCCATACGATACCCACTCTCTTCTTCTCCTCAATTTCCCCTCTATTCGCGCCTCCGCCATTTCAATGTTGAAACAATCGTAAGGCTCCAAGTGATGATCCCTGATACCCGAGTTACACAAAAATCCAATCTTCTCGATATCCTCAGGCTTCACATTTTTAGTCCTCTCGATCTCCTTCGAGGCCAACAGCTCCGCTAGTTGGGACTCCACAGACCTCGGGAGGTCGGCCTCACGTTTCCTCAAGTCCTCTCTCTCGAACATTTCCCTTTCAATCTCCATTTTTCTTCTTTTCGCAATTTTTTCCTTCGTCTCCTGAATCTTCCGATCCCTTTTCTCGGCCTTTCGCCTGAGCCAGGTGCCATCAGCGAGATCAACGAGGCTGATGACGTTTTCAGGCACAGACTCCAGCAATTTCGCTTTCTCTTCATTTCTCCGTCGTACTTCTTCCTCATGGGCACGAACCAGGGAAATCGGAGGGTAACGGAGCTCTCCATCGTCGCCTAGAAAATCTTTCGTCTGAGGCTCAACTTTACGACGTCTCTTCAACGTTTGAAGTCGAAATTTCAAGGCAGTGGGGGTGTAGAAACTCGCGATACTCTCGGAAGGTTTCACGTACTTGAAGAAGTGCTTGAAGGGCACGGTCTTCGTCCAGGAACGGTCTTGGATCAGTGGCTGAATTTTTTGGTACTTCAGGGCCTCTGGAATATGGGGGGTTGGCTCAGAGTCGACTACCGGTATCCAGGGAACTGACGGCTTGCACTTCCTCCCTCTTGATGACATCTTGCAGAGAAGTTCATTGCTCTAGAATGGGAATTTCGAATTCTAGTGCAACTTCAGATCAATTCTATTTCATGAGAGAATTCCGACACTTTTTTAATTGTTTGCAGACGTTTCGTACATTTTTCGGGAGATATTGTGGATATTTAGCTCAGCGGTGGGTGCGCGAGGGATGTTTTGTGTCCATAGCAACAGTGCAGTCCTAGAGTCACTTGATCAGATTTGAATGAAGTGGTTGAATAATACGTATGAAAAAATTTAATAGGAAACCTTGGCGAATTCGCTAGAAAATTTTATTGAAATTCTCTAGAAATTGTATGGAGATTACAGTCATCTTCAATGAAAATGATTTTATTACGTCTTATTAATCAACTCTGGTTATGGTCTATTCGATAATACAAATACTTTGGCATACATAATTGGAAGACTCGTGATACAAATACAGCATAGAGTGAGCAAGTGATCTGCAGCAGATCGATAATTCATGATAATTCTCATGCACAATTTCAATACTCGTTATCGAATGTCACGTAATTCTTGGAACAATTCGGGGAAGATGCCTCGAAGTTCGTGGAGTCACGTTTGTCACTTGAGACCTTCTGGTTCAGACTGGCGGACTGTCGAGGAGACACGACGCTGCGACGATTTTCGTTGGCTGTCCTCCTTTTCAACCACTCTAGAAATGGATATGATAAACATTAGGTAAAATTATGAGAGGAATAATGTGGGATTTACTTTCATACTCACCTTCGTCAGCTACTTTCGAGAATTCATTCAGTAAAAAGTCTTTATCTCTGGATTGTAATACTAGCATTTCCCTGAGTATCTGCACCATTTCTCTACTGGCTTGAGCTTTAGCACGTAAACAATAAACTGTCATTCTGAAATTAAAAAGAATTAGGATTTGTGGTTGTTACCATTTCCTAATGTATGAAGAAATTTTATAGAAAAACCCTAACGACTTCTTTGAGAAATTGAATTTCAATTCTATTGGAATTCTGTTTTATTCCTATTGAATAATTCTATTATTCTTTTGCCAATTTTTTTGAAGATTATGTTTTTCGAAATATTTAATTAAAATAAAATTCAATAGATTTCGATTCTTCTACGGAAATTCTTGGGGATTAATTTTCTACGGTTTTTTTGACAGTATTTCTATGCATTTGTCATACTGATATACAAGTTAAAAAACTTATAAAATTGAATTCGCGAATTCGCTAGACAATTCTATTGAATTTCTATTGAATTTTCTGTTAGTTTTTGGCCGATTCCATTCAAATATTCAATAGAAAACGTTCTATAGGAAAAGTTAATAGAATTCAATACAACTTATTCTATTGAGATATTTTTACTTTTTTGTTTGATTTTTCTTGATAAACAGATAAATTGGAATCGAGGAAATTCTAGGGAAAAAAATCTCAATAAAATAACTTATGTAGAAAAATCAAATTCTATTGACTTTCTATTGAACATTTCAGTAGAATCTGCCAAAAATTAATAGAAAGTTCAACAGAAATCCCATAAAATTATCTACCAAATTCGCTAGATTTTTGTAAAATTACGCTGAAGAGCACCCAGAATCAGGGTCGAACCGTCAGTGCTATTTGACATCTAAATAATAAACTGACCGATAAGGAAAAAAAAACGATCACTTATTGAATAAAAAGTACGGCCGAAAAATCGTGGAGATTTTTCTACTAAATTGTTTCGTATGTGCCCCTCACTTTATCTGTGAAATTTCTGGACTCACATCATAACAATTAAGATGGCAGCTCCCACCCCAGGTCTCGCAAAATTCGATATAACAGTCCACAATCTGCTATCCCTCCCCAAATTCAGCACTTCCTCGATGATGGCATGCCACGTGTAGTGATAATTCCTGAAAGGTCCACAGCTGTTGCTCTCCACACTGGTGATGACGTATCCCAGAGCAGTGAGGGTACCAGTCATCCCCAAGAACGCCAGTGCCAAGAACAACGTGTGAGTCTGGGCAGCTCTCCAGGGGGTCGAGGGTGGTTCGCAATGCCTCATAAGTCCAAATTTCTTTATATAAAACGTCAAAATCATCTTGACAACCATGACCAACGACAAAGGTGGACTGAAGTAGAACGCAACCCAGAATAAAATTTGGTTGTAGATGAGGTTCAGGGTGTTCAAGGCAATGTCGAATTTCGGGGCAGAAACTTCACTCCAGAAAGTGGACAACTGATATCTGAGGGACTCCATGATGAAACTCCCCAGGGTGAAGACTAGAAAGTCGAAGATTATTAGACGATAGATCTCTTGGGCGAGCTCAGTCTGCCAGCAGTAGTACATGCTTCGTGTCAGCCAATATGCCAGCAATGTTCCTATGATCACTACTGTCATTGTGTAGGTTCTTATCATGTTGACGAAGAGGGATTTACGTTTCGAACTGTAACGTTCTAATTTTACCTGCAATGATGAACATAATTTGCATATTATAGGATTCCATATGACCCCCATGATCCTTATTCTGACCCTTGTGAACCTTAATCAGACCCTCGCGACCCTTATTTTGACACTTCATTTCTGACCCTTAATTTCGAGCAGTGAGAGGCATACCAATCAATCATAATTACCGTTAAATTGTGGAGTTGTCAATTTTTAACATAAATCTTGAAAATTTTAAATATTAAAGTAGCCATCAATTTGTACATTCAAATTTCGAAATATTATATCAACCAATAATTTAGGTAGGAAGATTGACGATTATTTGGATAATCGGAAATCAAGTACCTAAAGTGAGAATTAGCTTGTCAACTGAAAAATTACATTTCAATATTATCAAATATTTTATTCACCGTCCATCGAAAAATGTAGCTTATAAATTCTATAATATTTTAAATTTGTTGAATATATTTAAACTTTGAACAATATAAGGAGATAATCCCTTTTTAATATTGTGAAAATCTAATATTATTGCCTATCCCTGATTTCGAGCATCAAATATTAATCACCAAAAGTCGATTTGCATTTTTACAATATAGAGAGATATTGAGACCCTCTAATTCAGTAGCGAAGTGGTGAAACGGAACAAGTCACTTTAGACTATTGACCAGTTTCTAATGAATATCTCCGAATCTAAGGGAGATAGCAAAATTTTTGTTAAAATCTTTTTTGTAGAACCGATTGAGAGCTACAACAAATGTGATAACGAAAATTTCGCTATCTCCCTTAGATTCGGAAATATTCCTCAAAAACTCCAGTAGGAGATAAGTTGACTTGAACCGTTTTACCATTTCGCTACTGGATTTAATTGCACACTTAACAGAGCTACAGATAGCAAAATTTTTGTTATAACCTTTTTTGTAGAACCGATTGAGAGCTACAACAAATGTGGTAACGAAAATTTCGCTATCCCCCTTAGATTGGGAAATATTCCTCAAAAACTCTACTGGGAGATAAGTCGACTTGAACCGTTTTACCACTTCGCTACTGAATTTAATTCCACACTTAACAGAGCTACTGGTCTTGTTAAAGGCGAAGATGTTATGAACAGAGCAGAATCTTATCAGAGGTGAAAAAATGTTGTAGACAGAGCGTAATCTCGTCTCTTCCAGTTAATTTCTGGAACTGTCTTGTTTCTATTTCTTATTTTGCTACAACGTATTCTATTCTAAACGGAGGAAGGGGAGCAATAATAATTGTTGTTATTCCCCGAAATTATTGAATAATGCTGATTGAATTGAACTTACCAACTGTGAAATAATCACAGGAAAAATATTCATGATCCCAGTAACCACAAGAGGTACTATAAGCAGTGAGGCAGAATCCTTACTATGAGGTTTATGATTTTGCAGGAGGTAACCAAGAAGATAACTCGTGCCTCCCATGGCACCCAGTACCCCTGCTGTCATTGAGAATTGAATAGATAAAGCCGTCAGTCGTTTCACGAAGTTTGAATTCTTCTTGGTGATGGACTCGGCTAGAAGCTCCTTGAGCTCTCTGTAGATGGATTGGTGACAACGATTTGCTGCCTTCAATGAAGCAATGCTGTAGTCCCATCCACAGAATATTTTCGTTGCGTATAAATTGTGAATTCCACCGGATGTTTCAATATAACATTTTCGGTAGGATCGAGCAACCCTGAAAATTCGTTTTCTAATTATTGTGGAATAATTGATTTCTATTCAAATGCACACGTGTGAAAAAATTTAACAATTCTATTGGATTTCTATTGAAATTTCTATTAGTTTTTGGTCGATTCTACACGTATAAAAAAATCGTATAGAAATTTCCTGTACGGATTGCGTATAGAATTTCTATAGGATTTTCGTATATGATATTCGGATATTTATATACGGATATTTTTTATAAATTATTTCTATAGGTTTGATCCTATACAACCCACTGCCACATGTATAGAAACATTTCGTATGGAGTTGCGACATCTCTCTACGTTTTTCTGTGGAGCTTTTAGACATCTTTCGTATGAAAACAAAAATTTATGTAAAAATTTATGTATAGAAATAATTCGTATAAAAAATATTCGTATAGAAATATCCGAATATGATATACGGGAATCCTATAGAATGTCTATACGCAATCCATATAGAAAATTTCTATACGATTCTTTCATACGTACAGTGAAATGTTTAATAGAAAATATTCTATAAAAAAGTCAATAGAATTCAATGTTCTATGCAACTTATTCTATTGAGATATTTTCTATAGAATTTCCTCGGCTCAAATTTTCCAAGTTTTTTAATTTGATTTTCTTCATGAAAAAACATGAAAAATAGAATGATAAAAAATTAGAAAATTCGGTGAATATACTTGTGACAACTATAATTATCTCAAAAATCAGAGATATTGAGAGAAAGCACTAGGAAAATTTTTGGAACAGCTGAGATTTTTTTTTATAAATTAAAGGCTTGTAATATTTTCTGCGAAATGGCTCATTTGCAAATAAATTCTACATTCAACTGAATAGAATTCATCTAGTTACTATGTTGGAATGCAATACTGATTTTTCAATTTATAATGCAAACTGTAGCATATTTTAAAAGTAAATAGTAAATTATATCGATATGATTATCCATTCTATTTCCATCACCTGAGTGGAGTCGAACATTTAGGAGAACCAATGGATTTCAGAATATAATTGATTGTGATTATAGAAAAATGTGTACTTACTTCACAGACAGAAGGATAAACGTAAAAATGTAACAGAAAATCATGGTTAAAATATAGGCCGATGGTATATTATACTGAAGTCCAGGTATTGCTTCAATTGTAAGATTTGTGTAAAAACCATAGTAAAAAATAGTTTCCTCCATGAAACCCTAAAATGAAAAGAACTAAAAACAGTAGTACTAAAAATATGAAAAATAAATAAACAGGCAAATAATGATACGTAATAGATAATAATAACGATAGTTACATTTCCGATGAAAAAATCCCCGAAATTAAATGTTGAATCTCCATACGTAGCGAACAATGACTGAGGGAGAACAATAAAAAACATACTGGAAATAATAATCGTATTAATGACGTGTTTTAGGAACATTCAGGTGTCAACGAAAAAAATTTATTCAAAAGAAAAATCGATTTTACCTAAGAACACAATTGATTACATTCAAAATGAGCAACCACCGCAGAAATTTGAAATATGTGGCAACTCCACTGCCAAAATGTCCCTCGATTGACTTAATTGCACCGTACCACAGCTCAATAGTTGATGAGACTTCCCTCATCGCAATAAATAGCTAGAAAATCGAGAAAGAAATTGAATAAAAAATAGAATTATCAAATTTAAGCATTTCAACGTTTGAAAATTTGAGACCAAAAAGAAAGACGTTTAAAATGTTAAAAATAGTCCAGGGCGTCCAAATTTTGAGCTACAGAGATTTTTTTTTTGGAAATTTATAAAAAAATGTGTGCAATAACAATTACGAATTAGTTTTTTCAAATTCAACTCCTACACAGCTAATTTCGTTATTTTTTAAATGAAATATTGCAACATTCATGTGAAATAACCCGAAAAATGTTTCTGAAAGAATCGAGAATATATTTTAAATATCTTAAGGCCCGGTTGCGCCAAGCCCTGTTATCTAAATGAACCCCAGGGTAAAAGTAATCCTCGGGGTCATAATTTTTCAATATTTAACCCGAAGAATAATTTTTTAATTATCCTGCAGCCCCATTTGGATTAACACTGATTTAACCTTCGGATTAAATTTTATTTTTTGTTCCTGGGATAAATTTGAGATACTCTCCCGGGTAAAATAATCCATCGAACATCCAAATTTACTTTTTTCCTTATTTGATGTTTTCGTTACCCGGAACTGGTGCAACCGGGCCTAACGATAATTTTTCATGCTTCAAAAAATTAGGTTTCCGAAAGTTTAAACAATTTCAATGATTTATTTATTTATAACCAACGAATATTTTAAAAAATAATGAAGATGTGTAAAATGTAATTTGAGTGACGCTGAATATTCATGATTTTTTCAAAATTTTCTCACGCAATTTAATCGGCAAATTTGACTAAATTGTTGAATTTATCGTGGATCGGCTCGTATGAAAAAATCGTCTGGAAATCCTATAGGATTTCCGTATATGATATTCAGATATTTCTATACAAATACTTTCTATACGAATTATTTCTATACATAAAATTTTTGCGCAAATTTTTGTTTTCATACGAAAGATGTCTAAACACTCCAGAGAAAAATGTAGAGAAATGTCGCAACTCCTTACGAAATGTTTCTATACATGTGGCAGTAGGTAGTATAGGATCAAATCTATAGAAATCGTACAAAAATAATTGTATAAAAAATATCAGTATAGAAATATCCGAATATCATATACGAAAATCCTATAGAAAATTTCTATACGATTTTTTACACGTGTGTATCAAACTGTCAGATACTTGGATATCCTCAACGAACTCTCCCTTGAATTTGGGGAGAGTGGGGTAAAATGGACACTTTAGACTTTTGTTTTAATATTACTCATAACTCAGAAACGAATTTATCAATTGAACTCAGTTTAAGCTCATCACAAGGGGAAAGAATTGCTCTTTCCAACGAAAGAAAAACTATCAAATTTTATCAACATTTCAACCCGTCATTAACATTAAAAAAAAAGTCTCCAACCGCCCCTACCTTCATAAAAAAAATACTCATAGTGTATTTCATCCTCTTCCACCTGCTGAGGACCCTCCTGGTCGGTTTGAGATTGATCGACCGAGTCAATTTGGCTCTGATGGACCTCTTGACAGTGAGACACTGGGGCATGTCCCTCAGAGCCTCCAACCTCCTCATCTCAGACACGGGATCATTCTGCATGAGGTCCTCCTGCATCTCGAGATGACTCGCAATGGTCTCAGCATTGTCCTCGATCTGGGATCTGCTGCCAATCGGCGAAGGCGACACATCCTGGGGGTTGACAAGCTTCAAGGTGGCATTACTGGCCTTTCCCAGAACAGCTATTGCCCTGGACGGCAAATGCCGGGTGTGTCTTGACTGATAACGTTGGGCCGAGGCTCGTCGAGTTGCTGCACCGCCTCGTTGAGCCACTTGACCTTCGCTCCAGGCAGAAGAGCCCTCGGAGACTGTCAAAAATCATTGATCGATTGATCAATTCCCAGATTTGATCGAGAAAGTGAAATAAAAAATGGTGTACCTTCTGATCTGATGCACACGTCCTCGTCCACAATCTCCATTTCTCCCTAATACGCGAATTGATTTGTTCGGGATGAACGTCAACTACTCATCAATCGGCGATAAGCATCGATCGCTATCACGTTATCAGATAACAAACACTAATCAATGGCAAATCCGTTTGTGTCATGCTGGTTTGACAGCTACGTCTTCACGTGGAATAACAAAACTAATTTTATGATTCATAGATCTTTCATCATATATTGGTCTTGGAAGGTTATTGGGGATTCAGGTCGATACAACAGGTCGTGGTTACTCCCCTGTCGATAAAAATCTTTCATCGATCATAGGATTAATTTTTTGCTGCCGAATGGAAGCTTTGTAAATCGTTTAAATTCACGTTTTGCATTTCGGCCTGCGAATGGATGAATACAATAATATTTTTATTATTTTTAGGATTATCAATTCCATAATGAAAACACCTAGCTCAATCGTTTGGATATTTAGTTAAATTTTTATTGAAAATTCGATTATTTTTGCAACGATTCTGTTGAAAAATTCCCGTTTTTAGCGTGTTTTTTCTTCAATAAAAATGTCACGCAAATATTTAGTAGAAAAACCTAGCGAATTCGTTAGACAATTCTATTAGATTTCTATTGAATTTATTCTTTTCAGATATTTTATTAGAATTTCTTCGGCTCAAATTTTCCAAAAAAGTTTTTTTCCTTCTATTTTTCTCGTCTTCTCATCAAATCTCAAATTTTCACATTTTTCGACAGAATCAATAGAATTTTTGAGAAAAAACACTTGGTTTTTCTACGATTTTTTTTGCAATTCGAATTGATGATTTATTGCTTCAATACAGAATTTTTAATAATGCTTTTACGAAAATATTGAGAAACCTGTTATAATCTGAGGAAAATTTCTCAATCAATTTCTCCTGAAATCATTCATTAGCGACTCATCATATTAAAGTAGTGGTCTCACGGCAAATTGCAAATCTTCATTAATTACGCAACGAAACTTCCGATTGAAAATATTGAAGAAATTGTCAAATTCATTTAATTTAATTCAATTAATTTCAACTAATTTCTCACTAAAAAAATTCAATTGAATAATCCCCTCAATTACCCCCACAAATGCTCCCCAAATAAAAACACAAATTTTCGAGATATACAATAGTTTCTCAATTTTTATTAAAACTTATCATCACAGAAAATCGAGAAAAATGATATAATTTCATGAATACAATTTTGCATTATTTTGCTTCATCAGTTGCCATGATTCCACCATTTATTCCTGTAAAAACTGTTCAATTACATAATTCCTCACTCTAATTTCTATTCCATCACTCAACTGAATACGAATCCACTGATTTCGATTAGAAAAACTATGAAAGAAGAGAAGAAAATGCTGAATACAACTGTAAACATGATTAGTACAGTATACGAAAAATTAAACTTCATGTCAATTGAACAACGAAAAAATGTTGAATCGTCGTGAAGACAATTGTCGTATACAAACTATGCGACATCTAATTACGATCTAACGTACAAGAAAATCATAATTGGATAATTCCTCCTTTTCATTGAACCTTCACACCGGTATTTATATTTATCCATTTGTTATCTATTTTTTAGTGTAATTAAAAATTAAAGCGTAGCCATCAGTCAGTGCTTTTCGCGCAATGTTTTCGTTTTTAATTCGTACAAAATAAAGGAGAAAGAGTAAATAGTATGAGTACACTCGTGGAATCTCGGTAATGCCTCGATTATTACGGCGAAATTTTTTCTTATTCGTCTTTATCGTTTGCTTCAGTTAGCTTTCTTTTATCGAGTGTCATCAATATCTTACCATGGAAAAGTAAGTACAGTTGGACTTGAGTCCTTCACCACATACTGTAGTCTGAGTCGTCTTGATCGAATGTCATGAAGAAACCAACGAGCGTCGAGTACACTACGACGTTACCAGCTAGGGTTAAATAACAGGCACCTGGTTTAATCTGAAATTTGAGAAATTGATTCATTTGGAATTATTACGATAGACTCGAGTTGGGTCGTTGAGTGAACGTAAAAACATAGAATCAAAAAGCCGAAAAAATCATCATCGATCATTTTTAACATGAATTATTACGTATGAAAAAATTCAATAGAAAAAATTAACGAATTCGCTAGAACATTCTACTGGAATTCTCTCGAAATTCTATTGGGATTTTATTCACATTCTAGGGAATTTTCTTTAAAATTCTACAAAAGTGAAAAGATTTCAATTTTTCTGTTTGAATTTTTCTCTTCAGATTTTTTCTATTAAAATTATCGGGCGTGATTTATGAGAATACTTAATTATACTTGGCTGGAGGCCTTCGGGCGATGACCAGTTGTACGTTCTTAGAGGAAATTGCAACAAATTTCGTTAAAAATTAAAAAAATAAGATCTCTGTTAGATTTGATACTGAAGGTTTCAGGCGAGTATAAAGTATAAAGAAGGTAATTGAAGAGTCCTCGAGTTACTGGCCAAGAGGCAACGAATTTACACGTTTTTATTTCCCCGTGGATTCGATTTTATCAGATCATTGTTCTTCGCCGCACACCTGTGAGGCATCGAATATACGGGGATTATATTCAGGAGTATTCGACGTTATTTTATATTTCTTCATTCCCTGTTTTGTTTTGAATATGGCCACTTTCGTGTCCTCATATTATCCACATCAACAGAGGAATTCTTTCACGTTATCTTGGGGTATAACAGTATCGATCAAAAAAAATTTCATTTCTCAAAATATCCCATTCACACTGTTCTTTAATAACTTTTCAAACCTAAATTCAATTATTTCTTCACATAATTATTGAATTCATCATTGAATGTTAAGTTACATTATAACGTTCAAATTCACTCCGACAAATATCTTGGGTTTTATCAAGAAGAATAATAAAACGAATCGATTATTTTTGGTTTCATTAATTGACGAAGAAATGAATGATTTTGAATTGAAAAAATGAATCAAGCACTTACCGTTCCTTCATCAGCTGGAGCTCGTGCTAAAACGATGGGAAGAGCAAACGACGACACAACAATACCCATTGTTATGAATATGGCTAACTCCAAACACGGATTACTGTTACTACCCGAGTCTTCAGTGTATTTCCGCGCTATCAGAGTTGGAATTGGTGCGAGTACGTAAAATAAAATGACGAATAATGGCCACCATGATCTGAAAGCAATGGTGTTCACTCATGAATTGTACATTTCCGAGAAAATTATTTAATATTGTTACCTGTCCCCCTTCGAATTGTAATTCAATTGTCAATGACCTGAATGAGGCTTTGATAACGACTGTCTTTTGGGAACATGATTCTGTCATTCTCTTGGGAGCTCTTGTACTCGACACATCGCATTACCTCGTTTGTAATTAATAAACCGCCCCAACTATTTAATTGACCTGAGTCTCCTTTATTCTTCGTTGGATATAACAATATTGTCATTCTGTGGTCGAGTGGTGCACCGAGATAAGTGGCATAGCGATCCTATTGGGCTTATCGCGGTTCACCACTCCTTCAATTCAATTAAATGCCCAACGAGATTCGATTTTAACTATGATAGATCCAAAATGATTGGATCCTGAGGGGAAATATAATGTTTTCACTTACGCATATGTAGGAAGTGCGCATCCCAGAATGACAAATGTCATTCCGATGGAACCAGCAAATGCCAATGTAACCAATCTGCAAAAAAAACGAGAAAAACTTCAATTGAACGACAATTAAAGTTCAAAAAACAAATTCTCTGTTTTGTTTCGAATGTGGCCACTTCCGTGTCCTCATATTATCCAGATCAACAGAGGAATTCCTTCACGTTATTTTGGGGTATAACAGCATCGATCAAAAAAAATTTTTTATCTCTCAAAATATCCCATTCAAAACGTTCTTTAATAGCTTTTCAAAGATAAATTCCACCATTTCTCCAAGTAATTATTGAATTCATCATTGAATGTTAAGTTACGTTAATTAGTTAATTCGTCATCACAAACTTAACGTAAGTTTCCGACGAATTCCGTTGAAAATAGAAATAAATAAATCAAATCGACCGGGATTACTCAGAAAATATCTTTGAAAACTTCTAGATTTCAGGTTTTCATTGAAAAAAGACAATAAATGATTTACATTGAATATTAGTTTAGAATTTACACATTGTAAATTCAGTAGTGAAGTGGTCAAACGGTTTAAGTCGATTTTGGCTATTGGTCAGTTTTCAATGAATATCTCAAAATCTAAGGGAGATAGCAAAATTTTTCTCATAACATTTTTAATAGCACTCAATTCGCTCTACAAAAAAGGTTATTATGAAAATTTCGCTATCTCCCTTAAATTCGAAAATATTTCTGGAAAACTCGACTAAAGACTAAATTCACTTCAACCGTTTGACTACTTCGCTACTGAATTATATCCGGCATCGGTATAATATCTCGTAATCTACGTCCTTCTAAAAAAATCTTTCAAATACATTTGATCCTGTAATTGGCCAAGTGGCCAAAAACATGAAAAATCTGCCTTAAAATTCCTCTGTGAACCCACTGATGTCCACGCTATTTGCAAAATCATCGGCAAATAAAGTTTATATTTCCGGAAAAATATTGCATGAATATGTAGGAGAGGGTGGGGTAAAATGGACACTTTATACTTTTTTAAAATTATTCATAACTCAGAAACAAATTTATCAATTGAGCTCAGTTTAGGCTCGTCACAAAGGGAAAGAATTGTTCTTTGTATTGAAAAAAACTATTGAATTTCATCAACATTTCAACACCTCATTAACATTTTTAAAAAAGTCAAGTGTCCGTTCTACCCCAACCTCCCCTAATAAAAACATGAAAATTCGCTTTAAATTTTGAGGGGCTTTTTTCGAAGTTTGATCTGACCATTTTTCAACTGTATTTTATGAAATTTACGAAAAATATGCTCGAAACTTCCCTCCAAACCCCTTCTATCTCTCGATGAAATTACAAAAAAATATCAGTGCATCATAATTTGTCAACCCTCGTCCTCTACTATTCTCCACTATTACAAACAGAAAACAATAAATTAATTCAATTTAATTTAATTAATTTACTCACGCTGTAGTTGTGCAATCAATCCACCAAAACAGCGCATGAAAAATAAAAAGAATACATTCTGTTAGTGGCATCATCAAGACCTGTGAAACTTTCGTAATGAAGTTTAAGACTAATAATGAATGAATGGAATGTGTCCTAGAAACAATCATCAACAATTATGTAATTCTCCACTCATCGAATGGCCCACAAAACCCCTGGAATAATTTATATTTGGGTACATTTCATACTTCTCATCATACTGCGAACAAAACAAGTGCTTTCAATAATTAAAAAAAATGAAATGCTCCAAGCAGTAAAGAGGATTAACTCTTTGGAAACAGTAAACACATGACACTCAACAATTAAAGTAAACAAAATCTCAAGCTATGACTAAACAACGGAGAGTGTATCTAATCCCCCAGGTTATGTTGTCATGAATTCTTGATTGTTTTCACTATTAAATTAACTGCCCGCACAATCCATAATGATCCTCGTAAAAATGGAGAATTGCACAATGTCGTCACAATATGTTTTTTTTTAATCTCTCTCGTTCAGTGAGAGGTAATTGTACCGAATAACCTTTAATCCCGGCCATTGCAGATGAATTTGACAATCAACGACGAAAATTGACTCATCGACAGAGTCACGAGAAAGTGGCGTAGGTAAACTCAAAAACAGCCTCCAGCAAGCATTGTTTCTGAAGTTGACACTGAGGGAGAAAAAAGGGCGGCTTTGCATGGAGCGACGGCGAGAAATGCGGGACATTCGAAGCAATAGGAATATTTCCTGATTTTTGCTTCCGAATGGAACCATTGGAATCGTCCAATTTTTACATTCTCTAATTTTAATTGGAAACGATGTAGAATTTTTCATCAACCGTTACAATTATGAGTTCATATGTAAAATAATAAAATAAAACAAAACAAATAGCCATAATGCATAAGAAAGTTCTTTACATAGCATTCCATTCAGTTCAGCAACAAATGATTTGTTAACGCTCTAATTCAAGTTTTTCCCTCAAGTGAGGCTTTTCCTTGGCCCTCGGCAAATACGGTACACCCAGGGAACAATTTTTACGGACGCCACCTAAAAGTCCCCTGCAAGACCGGTAAATATCCAGAAATTTGGCGATAAATTCTTAGCTGGGCAAGGGGTTGGGGGGTGGGAAAGGAGCAAATCGTAAAAACCCGATTTGGAAAGAACAAAAACATTTTTTATTGAATAATATGGAACAGTAATTTTCTATTAAGTAAAAATAATACTAAATTTCTTATGGAGGACGTCTTTGGGCTCGTCGTCAGCGTGCTGGTCCTATAAACCAAAGCATCCCAGTAGCGCAGGTTCGAGTCCCGGTGATGAAAGATTTTTTCATCGCCGGAAAACGAACCCAGTGCATGTGGAGTTAGTTATGTGGAGTTAGATACGGTCATACCATCTGGCACCACCCAATTTATTAAAATTTATATAAATAACATTAAATTATTAAAAAATTATTTTAAAAAAAACGAGAAAAACGAGAGGCGAGACGAGAGTCGAGAAAGCCTTCCCCTCTGCCCCTCTGTGAATTTTTTTCCGTGCAAATTGGATTATACAGACGAGACGAGAGAATCTCTCAATTCTCGACGAGACGAGAGAATAAATTGCTCTCTAATTTCGATACGCAATGAGACGAGAGAATAGTTTCCTGACAACGAGACGAGACGAGAAGATGCAGTTTCTCGTCTTGTCTCGTCTCATGGCATTACTGTTCCCTGGGGAGCAATTTTGCTCGTTTTATGTCGACATAAAATCGTAAATTTCAACCAATGACAGTCCTGGATTCGGAATACTCAACTAGGATTGATAGAAATTTATGATTTTATGTGGACATAAAACGAGCAAAATCGCTCCCCTGCTCTAATTGCAACAATTCAAAAAAGCTCTGTCGCTCATCATGAAAACTCCCCCGAATCCAATTGGAAGCAGCCACATTGCGCCACATCAGCGACATGGCAACACTGCCTTATGCCATGACTGTTTAGAAGCCAGCCTTCAGCTTGTGACGTTGGGACTCTAAGAACAGCTCTAGTAAACTGTGCATGTTGATCGTGAATCACGTTGAGTCTTTAATAAACTAGATTTGTACATTTGAAAACCACCGATAATAGTCATGGGTGATCAGAAGAGGTAAGTTATTCCCTGATTATCATATTGAATCATTAATTTCATTGTACCTGCAATGATTTTCGGCATTTTCCCCTGTGAGATTCCCCGGCGAATGTGATTCGTGCACGTAGGACGTTTTCAACGCTACATAGGCGCTCTACCCCCTCAATTCTACCTTGTCATCATGTCGACTCTGAGGATTTTTCACAAACTTTCGCAGAAAAATTATTCAAAGACGAAAAATATGACTAAACGATTGGGAAAAAAAATCTTAATAATTTTTTGAGTAAACATTGGGGATTGTTGCCAGGGGCGACCGATCGTCTTGTCAAATTTGGGGTCATTTACTCATCGTTTCACTTGGAGTACCGATCATGGCCGTTTCTGCCTCCTCAGCAGTACTAAACCATGACAAAGGAATTTTCACAGCTGACATGATATGAATAAAATAAAAAACTCTGGAGTGAATCTTCAATTGACATTAGTATCTTCTCTCGCCTTTTTTTTTTGTTGAGGAATAAGTTCATGAGGGGCTGGAAGACCTCGACTTTTTCGTGGGCTTTTGTGTATTTTTCAGAACAGGAAACAAACAAATGGGGCAGATAATTAGAATTCATTCCCCTCTGTTAAATTTCAGGAATGGTTCTCGGTTTTATATTGTGAACGAGTGATTTTAGGGGAAAATGGGGAAGGATATTTTCTAAAGCTGATGAAATTCGGCATGAAAAGGAGGGTAAACAGGCCAATTTCTGGACGGGGTTAGTTTCTGGACGATCTCAACTTGCATTGAATATTTGGATAAATAATAAAATGAACATTGTACTGATTATTTCATCTTTCAGTAATATTACTCGTGTATAATCATGTGATCAATTACTTTTCCTATTGATCGACATTTAATAAATAAATGAAAACATGGCCCAGTCGTCCAGAAATTAGTGGATTCGGCTGCATTCAACTATTTCTTTATTTAATAATTCTTCGTTCTGTTATTTTCACTTCAAATAATTTTTTTCTGCCAATTAAAACATTCTTGAAGGTGTGGAAGCCATCATATCCCCATTTGGGTGATTCTTTTAATTCAGATCCTACCACGAAACTCGAATTTTCCTTAACCGTCCAGCAATGGGCCTGTTCGTCCTATAATAATGTGATCAATTATTTTTTCTATTGATCGATATTTGATAAATTAAAAAAAAATATGGCCCAGTCGTTCAGAAATTAGGCGTTTCGGTTGCATTCAACTATTTTTCAATTTAATTATTCTTCGTTTTGTTATTTTCATTTCAAATAATTTTTTTCCGCCAATTAAAACATTCTTGAAGATTGAAAGCCATCATATCCCCATTTGGGTGATTCTCTTATTTTAGATCCTACTATGAAACTCGAATTTTCCTTAAAGGTCCAGCAATTGGCCTGTTCGCCCTATAATAGTGTGATCAATCATTTTCTCTATTGATCGACATTTAATAAATAAATAAAAATATGGCCCAGTCGTCTAGAAATTAGGGGTTTCGGTTGCGTTCAACTATTTTTCAATTTAATTATTCTTCGTTTTGTTATTTTCATTTCAAATAATTTTTTTCTGCCAATTAAAACATTCTGGAAACTCGAATTTCCCTTAACATCCAGCAATTGGCCTATTTACCATAGACAAAATTTCACAATACTGTAATTCCATTTCATGAATTTGCAGTGGTGATTTGGCAACAGCAATCCTTCGAAAAAAGGACAAACCCAATAGGCTCCTCGTGGAGGAGGCTGTCAACGATGACAACTCAGTTGTTGCCCTGTCACAGGCCAAGATGGACGAGCTGCAGCTTTTCCGTGGTGACACAGTCCTCCTCAAAGGAAAGAGACGCAAAGAGACTGTCTGCATCGTACTATCTGACGAGACATGTCCAAATGAAAAAATACGAATGAACCGAGTTGTCAGGAACAATCTTCGTGTTCGTTTGAGCGACGTTGTTTCTGTTCAGGCATGTCCCGATGTCAAGTATGGAAAACGCATTCACGTGCTGCCCATGGATGATACTGTTGAGGGTCTCACTGGTAATTTGTTCGAGGTTTACTTGAAGCCTTACTTCCTGGAGGCTTATCGTCCCATTCATAAGGACGATAACTTCATTGTTCGCGGGGGTATGCGAGCTGTGGAGTTCAAAGTTGTGCAGACTGATCCTGGCCCTTACTGCATAGTTGCCCCTGATACTGTTATTCATTGCGAGGGAGATCCTATTAAACGAGAGGTGAGTATCAGGGAGAGAACAGGGGAGGAATCCATGTCTTTTCGACTACAAAATTTTTCAACTGCGACACTTCAACTATTAACAGCGATTGGTCGACAATCATTACACTTGTAATATTTTGTGATACTATTAAAATTTGCACCTTCCTGTTTTTATGGTTTTTTTATCGTAATTGGAATTGAAATTGAATATGAATGAATATGAATTTGAATATGAATTGAAAATAATTCATAATTTACATTTTCTGTTAATTATTGAGTTAATAATTCTAAATTTCATAAAAGGATTTTTCGATTAGACATGCAATGGTCAATCATCTGACACGATTACTGTTGATAGATTATTTCGGAATTTGAATATTCTGTTGATGGTTAATTGGAAATTGTTGGGTAATTATTATCAGTTAACATGTGCTAAATTCAACTTATTTTGAAATTGATGATTGTTCTAATCCCTGACTACTAAAACTTGAATCAATATACTATAGATAAATGATATTCTTAGAAAATTTACCCCGAAATTTCTTCAAACGTGAATGATCAAACAGAATATTTGTGTGTTAAAAAATTGGTGATTTCCATTTATATGTGCATTAAGGATATACAAGTATCTTTTACAGTTTGGTACAGGCCACTTTATAGATTCAATCATTTTCAATCAAATATATCAATTAGATTGCATTTAAAAAATTGAAAAAATAGGGGATATTCAACATCATTCAAATTAAATTTCGTACAGAATTATTATTTTTTAAAAATATTCATTGTTTATAAAAAAATAATGGAAATTGTTTAAACTTTCGGAAACTTAGTTTTCTTAAGCATGAAATCGCTTTTTTAAAAATAGTTAAAGAACTTGGGTGTCCTCAAGTTATTAATTGGAGCAATAATTCTTTTTTTGTTCTGCATTATTTATTGACTTCTCCGTCCAAACACTAATCGAAATATAGAAAAACATAAGTCAATTACAATTCAATTTTTAAATTCAAATTAAATTATCAAAAAAGGTATTGACATTAAATTGTTATTAAATGATTAATTTTTTCCAATTATTAATTGAGGGAAAAAATCTTCTTTATATCACATTAATTATTAACGCGTCAAAAAATAATAGTAAAAATTGAAAAGTTTTGGCTAATTATTGAAAATGTCCTAATTTAAATGAGATCAGTTGGCCTGTCGTAGTTGAAATGGAAAAAAATGTCTCAAAATTTTCTCCCATAACCCCTCATCACCACAATAACTCAATCAACAAAATGTGAAAAATCACCTTACGCCTAACCCATGTTCGTAAATCTCCCCCAGGAAGAGGAAGAAGCCCTGAACGCAGTTGGCTACGACGACATCGGAGGTGTCCGCAAGCAGCTTGCCCAGATAAAAGAGATGGTAGAGCTCCCCCTGCGCCACCCATCCCTGTTCAAAGCGATCGGAGTGAAGCCCCCGCGTGGTATTCTCCTGTACGGACCCCCAGGAACCGGAAAGACGTTGATCGCTCGTGCTGTTGCCAACGAGACCGGTGCCTTCTTCTTCCTCATAAACGGTCCCGAGATCATGTCAAAGCTCGCTGGTGAGTCGGAGTCTAATCTTCGCAAGGCCTTCGAAGAGGCTGAGAAGAACTCCCCAGCTATAATTTTCATCGACGAGCTCGACGCAATAGCCCCAAAACGTGAGAAAACTCACGGTGAAGTCGAGAGGCGTATTGTGTCCCAATTGCTGACCCTCATGGACGGCATGAAGCAGAGTTCTCACGTTATTGTCATGGCTGCCACCAACAGACCGAACAGCATCGATGGAGCCCTTCGAAGATTCGGTCGTTTCGACAGAGAAATTGACATTGGAATTCCAGATGCCACTGGACGCCTGGAGATTCTTCGTATTCACACCAAGAACATGAAACTTGCTGAGGACGTTGAACTGGAACAGATCGCTGCTGAGAGCCATGGCCACGTGGGGGCTGATCTTGCCTCTCTCTGCTCAGAAGCTGCACTCCAACAAATTCGAGAGAAGATGGATCTCATTGATCTCGAGGATGATCAGATCGACGCTGAAGTGCTGGCTTCACTCGCTGTTACCATGGACAACTTCAAGTATGCCATGGCTAAGAGCAGCCCCAGTGCTCTGCGGGAGACCATCGTCGAAGTGCCAACTGTCTCCTGGGACGATGTTGGAGGATTGCAGAATGTCAAGAAGGAACTGCAGGAGCTTGTGCAGTATCCTGTCGAGCATCCTGACAAGTTCTTGAAGTTCGGAATGCAACCGTCCAGGGGTGTACTGTTCTACGGACCTCCTGGCTGCGGTAAGACACTGCTGGCCAAGGCCATTGCTAATGAGTGCCAGGCGAATTTCATCTCGGTTAAGGGACCTGAATTGCTCACTATGTGGTTCGGAGAGTCTGAGGCTAATGTCAGGGATGTCTTCGATAAGGTGGGTTGAAGATTATTCTCATATTTTTTTTGGGGCATTTGTTTGTTCTGGATAGGTTCTCTGTAGGGGATTAGATTCTAAGGGAAAATATTTCTTCAGATTTTAGAAGAAATTTGAGTTTACTGCAGGGATAGCCATATCCATAAATTATAGTTACCGTTAAATTCAGTAGCGAAGTGGTAAACCGGTATAAGTCGATTTTGACTATTGGCCAGTTTTCAATGAATATCTCGGAATCTACGGGACATAGCGAAACTGCTGTAATTTTTTTCTTTTTTGTAGCTCTCAATTTTCTCTACAAAAAAGGTTATGACAAAAATTTTGCTATTTCCCTTAGATTTTGAGGTATTCATTGAAAACTGAGCAATAGTCAAAATCGACTTATACCAGTTTACCAGTTCAGTACTGAATTGTTAAGTAGTCAAAACAAATTAAATTAAATTGTCGAGTAATGAATTGTTGAAAATCGCGAAATTGCCTGGAGGAATAGGAGGAATTTGAATATTAATGTAGTCAATTAGTTAATATCAATCTCAAATTTTAATTATTCGACTAATTACCAATTTAAATATTCAAATTCCCAATTATTTATTAATGAGTAATTTATTTAGGAAGATTGACGATTATTTGGATAATCGGAAATCCCTTATAAGAAATTTAGTATTATTTACTTAATAGAAAAATTTACAGTTCCATATTATAAAATATTAACTCATCATCAAGTGGAAATTTAGATTATCAATTATTTTACTATTTTGAAGAATCGAAAGATTGATGGCCACCCCTGGTTTATTATAATATGATAGTAGTTTTTATTTGCTCATTATCTCGAGAAAAAGTAGTTTTGATTGAGAGAAAATTTCAAGAAATTTTCTTGCAGCAGATGGAATGGATGGCTTTACCTCAAAAGATTTGGCACATTTTTTTCTATTATCATCTTTTAGTGAGATAGGACGAGTTATTTAGATCCAATTTGATTATCTGAAAAAAGTCACGAAGAGAAAAATATTGAGGTTTTTTTTTCTGCAACTGATGCAAAAAATTTCGTTACATATTCTCCCAGCATTATCCTTCACTGAATTATCTAAAACTCAAGAGGATGAATTGTTTTGTATTGGTGGAAGCATATAACTCCCTAATTTTTCATGATTTTTCAAAACAAAAAACTCCGTATCTACGATTTTTCATTGATTTTTCCTATTTCATAATTTTATTGAACAACAACCCAATCTAACATCATCAGAAAGAAAAAAGTGTGTCGATTAACAAGATGTGATTATTCCTCAACAATTGAACCAATTATTATCCCGTCCTAGGCAAGATCGGCAGCCCCCTGTGTTCTCTTCTTCGACGAGTTGGATTCGATCGCAAAATCTCGTGGTGGATCAGTGGGTGACGGTGGTGGTTCAGCTGATCGTGTTATCAATCAAATTCTTACGGAAATGGACGGAATGGGAGCTAAGAAAAACGTGTTTATCATCGGTGCAACGAATCGTCCAGACATCATTGATCCAGCAATCCTTCGACCAGGTCGTCTCGATCAACTCATATATATTCCACTGCCCGACGAGAAGTCACGCGAAGCTATCTTCAAGGCCAATCTACGCAAATCGCCAGTAGCTAAAGACGTTGATCTGACATACATTGCTAAAGTGACACACGGATTCTCGGGTGCTGATTTGACTGAGATCTGTCAACGTGCCTGTAAATTAGCCATTAGACAGTGCATCGAGACTGAGATTCGTAGGGAAAAGGAACGCATGAATAATCCATCGGTGTCCATGGACACTGATGATGACGATCCAGTTCCGGAGATTACGAGGGCTCACTTCGAGGAGGCCATGAGGTTCGCTCGTCGCTCAGTGTCGGATAATGATATCAGGAAATACGAGATGTTTGCACAGACGCTACAGCAGTCACGAGGCTTTGGCACCAACTTCAGGTGATTATTTGTGCATTTGTGATTAATTTACACTATTTTATGTTATTTTCTTTCCATTTTCGTATTCACAATTAGATTAAGTTAATTTTATCCATTCTTGTTCTTATTATGCATATTTTTCCTTCATTCACAAGTTCCAACGTTGAATGAAGAAGAATTATGTTGAAGATCAATCGAAAGTGTTTTTTTGGGACCAAAACGAACACACGAAAGTCAGAAGTGTCAGATTTTTTTGGCCAGAGGTCATATGTTATCTTGTTTTTTAGTTTTATCGTGAATGAAATTCTGACTCAGTTTGAAACTTCTACTGAATTTTCTCTGCCACCAAAGAAGAATTGGTAGTATAAACCAATTGAAAATGTTTCTTAATATTGTTTATTTTAATGTATGGTTTTCAGCCAAAATGTCAAGGGTTGCGTGAGACAAAATTTCAAGGGAATAGATAAATTTCATAAATTTTTTGAGTTCTCTCTTTCTCTTTCTTCCTTTTTAGATCAAAAACATTTATTAACGACTTATCTTCAAGTTTAGCTTATTTATCCCATCTTAATAGTTTACTCTTGAATCTTGCATTCCTCTTAGAAATTAGTGTTCTTGGATCTAAATATAAAATGATTGACTTCAAACATTCCATTTAATTCCTCAAAATTTTTGTAATCAACGAGTAATGTCGTTGATTTTATTTCCAACGCTTTCAATAAAACTAATTTTAATATTGATTTTTCTATTGTTAAAACTAACGATTCAAGGAGAAAATTTATTGGTCATAATTTGTTGATAATGTTTCAGATTCCCCCAAAATGCTGGTGGTGGTCCACAAGATTCAACGCAGGGTGATCAAACCTTCCAAGACGATGGTGACGATGATCTCTATAGTTAAGTTTTCGTAACTGTAATGTTCATTGTAGTGAAACGCACCACAAAAGGGCCTGTCTGTATCCTCATTGTTTACCTCCCCCTCTTTTTTCACGTGTAAGTTTTTACACCTGTCACGATTTCTAGGGCTATGATTACTCATAAATAAATATAAAATACGAGATGAAAAGTGACAATTGATTGTGGTCTCCTTCATTATTAATTGGATCGAAGAATAAACGTCCCTTATCACTTCTCATCTCAGAGATCATAAATATAATCTGGGCCCAGATAACTCATTAAGTAATTAAAGAAAATATGAATGAAATAAATAAATAAGAATTCAATAAAATCATTTTTTAAAAATGAAATAAATATTAGTTTGTCGTGTTTTTATACCGAATTTATGATTGAGTGAATTATAAAATTTTTATATGCCCCTGAAACCTCATCTCGCATTCCATTTCAATGAAAAAATGAAAATATTTCGAACATTGCTACCCCAGATTATTCTATGACAGACCCTTTTGTTATGTCGTTACACTGTCAACTTTTTTCACGAAAAAAAATCGTCACAAGTAGGTTTGAAAAAAGAATTGTCGATAATTCAGGAGTAAAGATATTAAAACGTAACAGAATGAGTTGAATCTTCATATTTTGTTGAATCTGAAGTGATCTCGATAACGAATGATTCAAGAAAAAAATATCGGGAGATATCTCTTGCAAATTTCTTCACTTTCAAACAAACTTCTGACATTTTCCCCTGGAATATCTCGGTCTGAGATGACTACAGAATTAACAAATGTGGAAAATTCCACTCATTACGTTTTTCCTTTCACTACATAATTCATACTGCGTTAAGGATAAAATAATAACAGATAAATAAATGAAATAAACAGAAATGGAAAAAACAGTGAGGCTATGCATTGATTGAGTGAAATAAATACCTTTTGGTTGTGCCAATTTGGTTGAAGACATTCAGTTTTGCCTTTTTTACATTTTGAAGACATTCAGACTAATTAATTAATTTGATGACTTTAATTTTATGTGCAAAATGTGGAATTCGTCGAGAATGCTCTTCCGCAAATTGAATTTTCGAAAAAAAAATTCTTTTACTGAATGGCATAAGCCATTGGTTGCAAAGAATTTTCTCTTTTAAGATTCCCTTCTCATAAATAAATAATGGTATCCAATCCTGCTCAAATTCTGAATATAAATAATTTTTCTACGATTTCGAAAAAAAAGAATTTTTTCGTGTGGAAGATTCATTGTTTATAAATAATTAATCCAAAAACATTACGAACTGAGAGAATCGCAATTTCTCTGTTTTCCAATGAATTTTTTTCCATACGTTTCAAATGTTTTTTAAAGTCTGAAAAGAAACAAATTTAAACCGTCACAGTTTAAACGACGAAGAACTGTTCGGAAAATCAAGATGAAGTGAAAGTCTCCGAGATTCAACAACAAATATTGGATAAGGATTTCAAACAATAGAAAAAAATGCTCAAATATCATTCAACGAACAAAATTTTTTCTAGTCATTGGATTCCATATATTTTGTTACAATCACCCCTCACTTTCTTCTCTCCTATTTTCATTTTTCGTTCATTTCACTTCAGTTTCTCAACAAATCATCCTGCCCCTCATTTAATTTAACCAAAACTATCACCTTAAAAAAAAGTGGGAAGAAATTATTGAGAATGGAAAGTAAATGATGAATATCCACAAAAAAAACAACCACATAATCACGTATATTCACGTATATTCATTGGATTTGTCTATAATATATGCAATTAACGACAATGCACAAGCATTCGTAATAGTATTTACATTGGATTATTTACGCATTAATTATTAATTATTTACTTATCCACATAATTTTTTTGTCCTTTTTGTCTCTTTTTATTTTCTCATTTTTATAAAAGTAAAACTATGTCGTTTTATTTTTTTTATTCATTTTTTTCATTCACTAAACAAAGACGCGTTAGTATAAAACTGTTGAAAGGACACGTATCGTGGATCTATTGACTGTGGCCAGGGCTATTAAACCACCTCGTTCATAACCATCACACTTTTCACCTATTTTTATCACCATAAAATGACAGAATTTCATTTCAAAAATTTATTCTCTTGAATTATAAATCCTGCCTTGAGTGCACGTCTATGAGACATGCACATTCATTCATAAAAAAGGGAATTCATTGTACAAATGAAAGATCATTAAACTCGATTTATTCATCAAAGTGATAATTCTTGAAATGATACTAGAAAGAAAAAGTGCGTCGTTGTTGCTAGTTATCATCAAATCCTCGTGGATCTGCGAACAAATTGGCACCGATCGTGACTCCACGGATTCTTTAATGATAATTCATCTAAGTATTTTTAAATTAAATAGACAACAAACGTCTGAGTTAATTCTCTTATCAATTTTTTTGTCATTTTGCATTTTTATACATTTTTTTGCCTTTTATTCAGCATGGAGAGTGTCCCTCATTAGGCGCGACGTTGATTATAAGAAAAAAACGTCAAAATAACCAGTTGAAAGGGAAATACCTACTCCGAATAAGATTAAACGTACGTTCATATTAATCGTTCTGTTCACTCTTTCATTCAATTATTTTTTCATAATTTTTTTCCTCTTTTCGTTTCACTTTTCGCGTGCATTTCCGTCGGATCAATCTGTTTGATTGAACTCTTGCAATAATTCCCTCATTTTTTTTCGTTTTGCCTTTGATATGTTTCGAAATATTATCGAAGCTTTAATTTCTTCAATCCGTCCTCTGTGTCACTGGTGGAAATTCAGTGTCATCGTCCAATCGGAAGGTCCCGCCTCCCTTCGGTGGACTCTCCGTAGCTGCTATCATCTCGTGGTATTTTTCCGACTCTAGAATCCATTATCATGGTTAATAATATGGCTTAATTATGGAGTAATGAGTAACTCATTTTTTTACGCACACAATTTTTAACGAGAAAAAAATCGGTGTGAGCATGATTTAGTTTTGCTTGATGGCTATTGTTATTGTCTCGGGATTATTTTCCGGGGATGATGAGGGGGTGATTATTTGCGATTGTCTAATGGTTCTCATGAGGTAGAGTGGGGCAGAATGGGTAGACAGGAGGAGTGGATTTTTTTTTCAGTGGACTTGGGAGTGAGTTTTTTCTGAATATCTCTGAATCTGGGGGAGACGGCAAAATTTGTATAAGAGATTTTGTATATTCCACATGACCTTTTGCAAAATCAATCGTATGAAATTTAAAATTACTCAATTCTTCACACCAACATGAATCGACATAAAGATGTATTTGAAAGATCTAGGAAAAATCTGAATGAGTCAAGAGTGATTTAGATCGTGTACTTGAAGAAGTCCCGTACGATTTTTTATGTTCAGTGTTACCCTTAATTATATATTCAAACTCAAAGTTGCCATGTTTTTCTGAAAAGGCGAATTTTCAGAAAAACATCGAATCATTTTGAAAAACATCAAAAGCTCTGGGACCCAGTCCGGAGTTCCGCAATGAAAATTTAAAAATCCAACTACGGACGATATTTTTTCCGGATATTTTCATTGATAGGGTTTCTATACACCTCAAAATGAGATATCAAATTTTTTCACATTTTTCTGAGGCTATCCTGCAGTGTAATTTGAAAAAACGGAAAAAGTGCGGCGCGAACAATGTTATAGCAAAATTGAAATTTTCTATCAAATACTTCTGGTACTTGAAAAGTGGTGTGACCTTCCCTTAAAATACGCCCTTTTTCGTGCGATTCAGAGATATCCTTTGAAAACCCATCGTGATCTTCAACTTTCTAAGAAGATGGATTGTCTATAATTTTTTCATCTCCTAAATTAACGATACAATTTCCAGCCAATTCGATCTTATGAAAGCACACGAAATGAGCTTCAAAATCAACTTAAATTTGGTCTATTTCTACTCAGCATGTTCATACCTAGTTATAGAGGATGAAAGCATGAATTATTTCAGTATCAATACATGAAATAATGTCTGAATTTGAAGAATATTCTCATGGGTGAAAAATTTTAAAATACTTTTAGAGCATCTCTAATGAGTAATTTCAGGATTTTTCCAAATTATCCTAAAATTGTCGATTGGAGATATCTTGAATTTAGACACTGCAAATATTAAAAAATATTTCAACTTCGAATGTTCAGAAAATTCGTAAAAAATTCCGTAATTGGACGAGGACTCATCAGGAGGTCTCGGCAGGACGCCGTAAAAGCTAATTCCGTGTTATTCTCCATTAATTGTCAACATTTTGTTATTGGTTGGAATCATTTGAAGGGCAATTTAACGAACTATGTACAATTAAAATTAAGGATACAATAATTTCATTTCTGAAATCGACGTTTGTGCACTGGGTTTTTGGAATGGGTTTGAGCCCCAGGAGTATCGTCTCCTCCTCCTCCCCCTCCTGCCGCCCAGAGTCATTTTCTCATAGCTGGTGAATTTTGTTGATTTACCGAGCAAAAAATTATCTGGTGCTCAAAATAAAAATAATAATTTTCATCCTTCGTCACAACATCTCTCTAAGAACATTCAATTGGCTTCAATATTTATCTTTCCACAGTTCCTCCTACTTCTACTCATTCCTGAGGTGATGACGGAATAATGCTCATGTAATTTTCGAAGTTGTCTGCCCCCACAATTTCATTGCGGACTCTACACATCTACAAAAGTAATTATTTTTTGTAATAATTACGTCAATTTAAGTGGGTTGAATGATTCGAGCCTATATATTACGTCCGAGTGATTATCAAATTGTCTTAATGACGAACTTATTCACGAGAAATTGTCACAAGGCTTTTTTTATGACAAAAAAGGTATTTTGAGATTTCGCTGTGAAATCACTAGTTGCAGAGATAATTGCATAATCAAAAAATATGGGGTACACTGTTGAAAATTTTTGGCTGAAACTTCCGGTACACTTCTTGGAAATTTTTATCAAGTGGTAGTGCCACTAAAAGATCGAGGAATTCCGTCACAGAAAATTCACAATTTGAGGAAAACATTAATGGAAATTGTGAATTCCAGTTCAATTATTCTATGAAAATTGATGGAAACATGGGAAATTATAGCCAATATATTCCTGAATTTTCAATTAACTCAAAATTCAGCATAATTGCCAGTGAAATCTCAAGGAATTCCGTCCCAGAAAATTCACAATTTGATGACAATATCAAGAAAAATTGTGAATTTCACAATTTAATGAATACATCAATGGAAATTATGAATTCCAGTTCAATTATTCTATGAAAATTGATGGAAAAAAGGGAAATTATGGCCAATATATCCTTGAATTTTCAATCAATTTAAAAGTCAGCATAATTCCCACTCAAATCTCCAGGAATTCCGCCACAAAAATTCACAATTTGATGAAAACAACAATGAAAATTGTGAATTTCACAATTTGATGAAAACGTCAATGGAAATTGTGAATTTCGGTTAAACAATTCCATGAAAATTGATGGAAACACGGGAAATTATAGCCAATATATTCCTGAATTTTCAATTAATTTAAAATTCAGCACAATTTGCTGCTGAATATTTATGGTTTCATTGAAAATCCACTTTCATACTTTTTCGTTCCTTCATAATAACTGTCCCTGAAATTTCAATTTTTTTCTCGCAGTGTAGTTGTATTTTGTAATCTAAAAACAATAGTTACGATGGTTCTACGAGACAAGTACAGTTATTCAACATCATGCTATGTACATGCATGCCACACATGAAGGTTTTTTGTTTTATTTTTATCTATTTCGCTGATAGTTCCGTCATCACTGTCAAATAGTCTCGAATTGCGTATTTTGAGACGTGAGAAATAGAAAAATATGAAAACAAAGTGATTGTTATTTATGTTGAATGAAACAGCAGTCACTGTGAGGAGACTCTGAGGAATATTGAGATTTCGCAGTTTTTTAATCTTCATTGTGAAATATTGCAAACTAGTGCAAATAGTAACTAATGAGATCAAGATTTTTCTATTGTTCTTAATTGAATTTTCTCTTGATATCATTTTTTAGATGTCTCATTAGACGCTCATTTTATCTCAGTGATGATAGTGGAGTTATGAAACGAATAATAAACAATTTTTTTGCACTAATTATTCGTTTTTAGACATCTATCATCGCTCTTCACTCTTAGCTGAGTTTTTGAGGAATATCTTCGAATCTAAGGAAGATAGCGAATTTGTCATAATAACCTTTTTTGTAAAGCGAGTTGAGTGCTACAAAAAATGTTATGACAAAAATTTTGCTATCTTCCTTAGATTTCGAGATATTTATTAAAAACTGGTCAATAATCAAAATCAACTTAAACCGCTTTACCGCGTCGCTACTGAAATAATTTTATGTTTAGAAAAATGATATACGTCGACAAATGAACATTTAATTCTGGTAAAAATGGTCCTGGACAAAATTCAAAAACAAGAAATCTCAGAGAATTCCTACAAATTTCCTCACTAACTAAGGAAAATGATTAATCATGTTAATAACAAAAATACAAACAAATAAACGCAAAGTTAATTCAATTGGACAACGTGCATGCTTTAATTTAGTGTCGATCATGCATTAATTAAAAACCATGATCCACAGATTTCCCGATCGTATTTAACTTTATACGTAAACTCGCACGTCAGAATATCTCAATACCCACTACTGAAATAAAAATATTAAAAAAATAACATGACGATTAGATCCCTCATCAGAGGCAACAGCATTGAGTGGCCGATTGTACAGTTGTGCTACTCCCCTTGAAACCCGCAAAATACTTTTTGACATCAATAACAAATTTTGATGTCAAAAAATCTACATTAATAATCGCGCGTGTGTGTGTGCGGTTAAATGTTAATAAAATAAATAATCATTAAATCCATTTGCGTCAATTCACAAGAAATTCGACGAGAATTGAATCAATTTTTTTGACAATTAATAAATAAAATGGGGTAAAAAATTAATAATTTATTATCAGATAAATTATCAATGATTCGTGTAAAAGTTGAATGAACTTTTACGAATGAGACGAATTATATTGTTTAAGGCCCGGCTCCATTATCTGCCGAACGTTATCTATATTGATTTTTTTGGTCGATTTTTATCTGGAAATTTCGACTCAATGCCCCGTCATTCAGGGACACCCACAAATTCTAAATTTATTTTGAAAGAGCGTTTTTAATTAATATTAAAGAATGATTTCAATAGAGGAGATACGAATAATGTATAATTACATACATTGGGGAGAGGAAAGACGAAATAATAAATCTCTTGGCACATCACCAAGTACCACTACTAAAAATCTGTAATTTTTAAGAATTTTTTCATCCGACTTTTACAATGAATTACTAATCACTTACGCCAATCTCCTCTATTGATAATTGTACTGGCGATCAGCTGTCACTTTTGTCGGGAATAGGAAACTCGCATGAAGCTCAGTTCTTTAGCATTCCCCTGTGCAATCATTCCTCATCAGGCACAAAAAAATTTAATAGAAAAACCTATTGAATTCGTTTGAAAATTCTATTGAATTTCCATTAAACTGTCTATTAGTTTTTGGCTGATTCTATTGACATGTTCAATAGAAAACATTCAATAGAAGAAGTCAACAAAATTCGATTTTTCTATATAACTTATTCTTTTCATATATTTTATATAGAATTTGCTCGACTCAAATTTTCCAAGTTTTTTTCATTCTATTTTTCTTCTCTTCTCATCAAGAAAATCAAACGAAAAAACTTGGAAAATTTGAGCCGAGGAAATTCTATAAAAAATATCTCAATAGAATAAGTTATATAGAAAATTTGAATTCTAGTGACTTGTTCTACTGAATGTTTTCTATTGAACATTTCAATAGAATCGGCCAAAAACTAATAGAACAGTTCAATAGAAATTCAATAGAATTTTCTAACGAATTCGATAGGTTTTTCTATGAAATTTTTTCGTCCGTGATAACATATAGATAGCTAAACGTCGAAAATTATGGAGGTATTGCCTACATGTCTTATGATAATTAATTAAAAATCTGTCGTTTTCGAGAGCAATTTTTCGGCCGTGGCGTCGAAAAGACGGTCAGGTACCGCTTCATTGGTCGAAAAAGCAGAGAGTGGGGAACTGTCGTCCTCCATTGGCCCAGGCGCACCTCAAGATTGGGTTAGGTCGGCTCGAGCCATTCTGTGATTGGTTCAGCACCCGACCGTCTGTATGACGACATTAGCCATTTCAAAGCGTTTGAAAACTTTTAACAATTATTAATTAATGAACAATATTTCGAACGTTTGTGAATGAAAAATGAATTATTCAGGTCCCGAACTTGAGATTAGAAAATTGAAAAAAAATGCAAGTTCCCTATGTTCCTACTTTTGCGCCTCCAACAAAAGTGACAGTTGATGGACAGTATAATTTTCAATTGAGGAGATCGCTAAGTGATTATTAGTTCATCGGTAAAGTGTGATTAAAAAATTCTTTAAAATATTACAAAATTTTTCAAAGAGCTGTTCGTTTGGTTGCGCTGTGCCAAAGGATTTATTATTTCGTCTTTCCTCCCCCCATGGTGGACATTAACCGGCCGCCATTTGCCACACTAATTACACATTGTTCATATCGCCTCAATATTAATTAAAAACACTCTTTCAAAATATTCAAAATTTCCTTAAATTTTTTTCAATCCAAATTCATGATTTTCGGATTGAGTGTCGGAGTGACGGGGTATCGAGTCGAAATTTCCAGATAAAAATGGAACAAAAAAATAAATCTAGATAACTTTCGACAGATAATGGAGCCGGGCCTTGATATAATTTTTTTTAGAGATGAGAGCGAATACGGGGGTGAATTTGAATAGTGGACATACCAGTACCTGACATGGAGTCTGGTGAGCGGCCGCGCAACGCACCCGCGTAGCTATTTATGCAGGCTTCAGCGGATAATAAAAAGAAAAAATAAAAAATCACATCAAAAGTTGAGGTCATAAACTAATGAAAAAGAAAGGTCTCCGGCTCCCACTACCCCACGACAGAGATTGTTTATTCATTTATTATTCTTTTTTTTTTTTCATCAGTCAGTCTCATTGCGGGGGTTAAGAAGCGAAAGAATGAAGCATATGCTTTTCTCTGATATTCTTACAGAATAATAAACAATTTGATGATGAGAGAGTAGAAGAGCGCACACACGCACCCACATGGGTAATGGGTAAATAAAGTAGATGAGGAATTCAATTATGTGGAATCCAGCGGCAGTGGAATAAATGTAATAAGTCGATTCTCCATGTTTTGGTAGATGTGGAATTGTCTATACATGGAGAAGAGATGTCATTTCAAAAAATATTCTATAGAAAAAGTAAATAGAATTCGATTTTTTTATACAACTTATTCTATTAAGATATTTTCTGTAGAATTTCCCTGGGTCAAATTTTCTAAGTGTTTTTCATTCTATTTTTTTTTCTTTTCAAAGAAACTAGATTATTTCAGCCGAGGAAATGCTACAGAAAATATCTGAATAGAATAAATTGTATGGAAAAATGGAACACTATTAACTTTGTCTATAGAATATTTTCTGTTTTTCTATTGATTCGATTCAATATAATGGACCAAAAACTAATAGAAAGTTCAATAGAAATCCAATAGAATTGTCTAGGGTTTTCTATTAAATTTAGTCATGAGGCCCAAAAATACCCCACAAAAATACCCAAAATACCCCACATTTCAGTAGTTATAGCAGAAATTTGAAGAAATTTTCCACCGAAATTTGTCATTTGACCATGAATCATTACCAAAAAGTGTCTAATAGAATAATTTCACAGGTTAATTCTCTCCAATTATATAAACGACGTGTGGTTTTAGGCGACGTGTCAGAAAACTTTTTTGCAGCTGAAAGAATTTTTTATTAAAAAAATCTTTCGACATTTCCTTCTAAAATCACTCTTCTCCACGCTGAGCACATAATTACCAAAAACTAAAAATTCTACTTATTACATTTTACCACTCCGCTCCAAAATGACTCCTACGATTCCTACGATTTGACGAGAGCAAGCAACTAATAAAAACAGATTCTTTGATTTTCTTCATCAATGAAGACGAAAAAATCCATTTTAATTCTTCTACCGTAATTAAATTAGCAAAATAACAAAAGAATAATACAATTATCTATTCATTATTTCTGGCGGCAAGTAACGTATAAACTAAATTCGATAAATGCTCATACATTTTGCAAATGTGTGAAGATAATTATTCGTAAATAAGTGTAATTCTTCCGAGAAATTACAAACAAATTCAAGAGAGTAGTTTATTCATGCATTACAGTTACTTTTCCGCTTTTAAATCGAAATATCATCTTTATCATCTTCAATTCGGAGGAATGTTTGTAGCGAATGACTGGTGATACGACAAAAGTTCCCCTGAATTTTTCTATGTGAACAATCTTGGGAATTTTTCAAGCGTATCAACGTTCATTTGCTTGTGTGCGTGTGTGGCATTAACACGAGGGAACGACACTTATTTTAATTGTATCGCTCGCCAGTCCCCAACGATGCGTGCGATAAATCACGTAGACAATGGTGTACGCGAATATTTAGCTATAACAATTCAGTAGTGAAGTGGTAAACGGAGATAAGTCGAATTATCTCCCAGTTGAGTTTTTGAGGAATATTTCCAAATCTAAGGGAAATAGCGAAATTTTCGTAATTACATTTGTTGTAGCACTCAATCGGCTTCATAGAAAAGGTTATAACAACAATTCTGATATCTCCCTTAGATTCCGAGATATTGATTGAAAACTGGTCAATAGTCAAAATTGACCTGTACCGTTTTAGCACTTCGCTACTGAATTCAGGAATCATGCGGTAAAACAAGGCAGAATGGGTTGATTTTCCACAGTTTGTTATTGAAGACGAAATTATTCAGATTGCGAGTTTTGAGAAAGAATGGGAGATTACATTTTTTGTAGGAAATTTATCGAAACATGGAAGAAAAAGGCTTTTGACGTTTCCAATTCATGAGACTTTTTTGGAGACGAACGGGCAATTAATGAAGAGGTGTGAGATGTCTGTCAAATTTTTGGTAATTAGACATTAGCCTTGACAGAGACTGATTTTTGCCGAAAATGACGACGTTTTTTTTGTAACTGACGAAATTATATCAAGTATCGCGGTAGTGATACGTGCCAAGACGTATGCGTGATTGATATTTCTTCCTAAAGTAAAATGCCTTCGAGATAAACCGGCAATCTACAAAAAAATCATTTAAAAATGAAAATTGTTCACAAAATTATTCAAAGTTAGAGTTATTGAAGAAAATATTGGGAGACATTCTTTGTAGAACATTTTTTCAGCTACAAAAATGATCTTCTGACATTTCTATTTTTGCGTTTTATTAATGCGACTTTTTTCAAAGACGAATGGACAATTAACAAAGAAGTGGGCGATGTCTGTCAAATTTTTTTTTAATTAGATATTCGCCATGATAGACTGATTTTGGGAAAAAATATTTTTTGTAACTGACGAAATTTCTAACGAAATTCTATTGGCATTTCTTCCTAAAGTAAAACGGTGTTCGCGATACATGGGGAATCAACAAAAAAACATTTAAAAATTAAAATTGGTCAAAAAATTATTTAAAGTTAGACTTATTGAAGAAAATGTTAGGAGACATTCTATGCAGAAAATTTTTTTAGCTACAAAAACAGTCTTCTGACATTTCACTCTAGAATCACTTATTCTTAAGGGGAAAATGGACAAAAAAATCGAGATGAATTCTCCTGTTGTGCATTAATTTTAGTAATGATTTATTTGAGCACAAGATGTCCAAAAACACTTTTGTATGACATTTTACCAGTTAAAAAAGAGGGTCTTGATCATTTCTTCTGAAGTCACTCGTTCAATCGAATGGAAATGTCAATTTTTTGCTAATTATGGATTCATTCTCCTAAGAAGACATTTTCCGATTGAAAAAAAAAAATAAGTCAGACCGAAATTTGGTTCGAAAATCAAATCTCAAAAGACTTTTATCAAAGCAAAAATATTTCCCATAAAAAAAGTTCTCCGATTATTTCTCCTAAACCATTCTTTTTCTGAATAATTCCGGCATTGCATAAATGTGAAATTTCGATTGAAATTGGTTTACCACTTCCCAAGTGATGGCAAACACTCGTGATTTATTTTTGCACATTTCATTGGTTCCTTGGGTGTTGCCAAAAATTCTTGTTTGATGACAGATTTTCATTGATTCTCATTGTCATGATCATGCGACACAAACTTACTTCGCAATCTAATTTCAATTAAATTAATTGTATCGACGTAATTGTCAAGGATATTTATTACCTGGATTTTGTACTATGGGGGCTGCAGGTGTCACGTTGGCTGTGGTCTCACCTGCGGTTGACACACTGGCGCAGTCTACTTCGTCCTGTTTTCCATCTAATCTGATTTTTGTTGGACATGAACCGAATGCATGAAAAACTCCAAATTAGTCGACTTTTCTCATTTTATTAATCGTTAAGACCCGCCTCCATTATCTTCCGAAAGTTATCTCAATTGATTTTATTGTTCGATTTTTATCTCGAAATTACAATTCGATGATCCAGCACTTGGAGACAAACGAAAATTCTGAATTTAGATTGAAAAAAAGTTTTAAAAAATCTGAACATTTTGAAAGTGTTTTTAATTACTAATCACTTACGCCAATCTCCTCCACTGATTATTGTACTGATTCAGGTATTAACAAACTTGATTCAAGTATGAAATTGAAAACTATTATTATATTTTACTGAAATGAATTAGTATTATTTCAAATAATTGATTTTTCAGTTTTATAATTATTACATTTCATTATTATTAATATTATTATTATTCGTATTAATACTATAATATACTTGATTCAAGTATATTTTATACTCAATTCAGGTTTTTTTTCGCTCTTTCGAAATGTTTCGAATTTTTTTTTACTTTTTTTCCATCTAAATTGATCATTTTCGGGGGTCTCTGAGTGACGGGGCATCTAGTTGAAATTTCGAGATAGAAATTGAACAAAAAAAGCACTCTAGATAATGTTCGACAGATAATCGAGCGGCCTTAATGTGAAAATGATTTGAAAAGAATTGTATTGGAGCTGATTAAATTCTTCAGAAAATATGATCTCGTATTGACTTTAGAAAATATTCATTTTCGAAATGATTGCATGATTATGAAGAAGAATTCGATTCGCCTCATTAAGATCAGCTCCAATCCGTAATTTATTCAATTTTCTAGGGAAATATGAGGAAAAATGAGCCACCTTAAGTCATCCATGTCTCTTGATTAAATCATAGGATTGGAATAAATCGGGATTCATCAAAATGAAAAAGAACGTTGTCAAATTTAATTTTGCCGAACTCGAGTACTTGATGGTTGAATACGGTTCATTTTACCCCTTTCTGTCCTAATAATATTTCCAAAGGTACCTGTGCTGCTTCAGAAGTGTGCAGTCGCCACCCTCATTGGGATCCAAATTGTAGACGTAGAGGTACCCATCTGCATTTGCCACGAGTAGCCTCAGGACTTTTTGTATTCTAAACATTCGTAGTAGCGAAATAAAAAATTCCATTAAAAAAATTTCATTACAAAAAAAAAAATGAGAGGAACTGTTATTCCAGTATATGTCTAAAAAATATGAGCTTCTGCCTAAAATGAAAGAATAAGATAGAAACGATGATGAATCGAAGAGTTATAAAATGAAAGTGAGAAAACCCATGTGGAATATTTATAACGATTGAGCAACAGATGGAAACACTTACATAGTGATGGCACAGACGTTTTTCAATCCTTGAAATGGCAGGTGCACACTGGCGAATGCACGGCCTTGATTGAATACATCAGTAACTTGTGAAGGTAAATAATTTGCTGAGGCTGACACTGCCTTTGTCAGGTAACCCATCCAGCTCTGGGTCTCCTCAGGCGCCTGTTTGGGCCTGAAAAAGTTCCAGTTATCCATAAGAAATCGTTTCTTGAATTGTAATTGAAGTAATTAGTGGAATGGCGTGAGGACAGAGTGTACTGTCAGTTTATCCTTCGAACATCTCGAAATTTCTCAGATTCAGAAATGTTGACGAAAGAATTTCTCAATTGAATTTCTTCAAATGCAACATGAATTTGTTGATTATTTTGCAAATATCTTTAAGTGGTTTGGAGAAATCATTGAAGGACTTTTTGAAAGAAAGTCTGCCAGGGATTGCCAAATCCATAAATTATAATCACTGTTAAATTATTAAGTAGTCAATTCGTTAATATCACTCTTAAATTTTAATTACTGAAGCTATCAATTTCAATATTCAAATTCCGAATTATTTATTAATCAGTACTTTAGTTGGGAAGAGTGACGGTTATCTGGACAATCGAAAATTCCTCATAAGAACTGTAGTATTATTTACTTCATAGATAATTTACAGTTCCATATAATTAAATATTGAATTCATCATCAATTGGAAATTTAGATGATTAATTATTTTACAATTTCGATTAGTATATTTAAATTATTAAATATTATATAATTTTTGTTTATGTTTTCCAAGTTCTTTTTCTTAGTAATTCACATAAAAATTTCGTCAAATCCAAAACAAAGTCATATATTGTTTCAGCATATTTTTGAGTAGATAAGTTGTAGTGAAATTGAAAAACTATCGGTTCATTGTTTTTTCAAAATTACGAAGCTCCAAAAATATTTACCAAATTATTCGAACAGATTTTTTTATCAAGTCTAATTTGTTTCACAGATTATGTTTTCAAGAGATTCAAAGAATTGAATAAAAAAATTATTGTCGTAAAATACTGTCTCACTACGAAAAAGATCTGATGCTTTTCCCTGAAACCATTACCTTCCGAGGTATTTTTTAAATCAATCTGTAAGGAATATTCAAGTGATTTATCGTCTTTTGTCTATAAAAATGATAACAGTAATTAAAAAAATCATAGAATTCTTACGGTTCCTTCGGCTCCTCCAGTTTAAATATGTGTACCGTTTCTGTATTACTGGAGCAACACAAGAACATCGAGTCCATGCTGAATGCCAAACTACTGATTGACACGCATCGCTTGACGCCTCGACGAAATTCAAATAATTTAGTTCCATCGTGAACCTTAAAGAGGATAAACAATGGGTCAATTAATTCCTCGGGTGTTTTAATGACAGACTGTTTTTGTTCTCAAAAGCCTTGGACTGTACTTACCTGAAAGACTCTAATCACAGTGCCTTTTTCTGATGCCGTTGCAACTTTGGTACCATTTGGACTGAATGCAAGCGCTGCCAGGGGACTGTCGTGAGCTGGGATCATTGTTTTTGCTTGCTATATACAGTAATCAGACAAATCAACAGTTTATCAATATCTTTCCATCAATTGGGGACGATTACGTGTGAAAAATAAAATATGATTCATGTTTTTCTTTGTAATTTAGGGGCTTTTCATTTGTTTCAAGCTTAAATATAAACCCTTCTCACTTACATAGACCTTTTCATCCGGAGAGTCACTAGATTTTCAGACACTTTTACGGAATTTACATATCAATCATAATTTTTGAGTGCTCAAATAGATATTATCTTAACTGTCAATATTTATCAGAATCTTTGATCACTTTCCCGAAGATTTGTCAGTTCAATGAACAGAATAAATTTCCCCTACATTTCCAGAATGAAAAGGTCTGATGAGAAATTTGGCAAGTGCTCCAGTATTACTAAATCCTGGCGCACTTTTCGAATAATTAAATTTCCAGAGGAATGAATCAATTTACCAAATTGATGGCATCGAATATCTGGACTTCGCCAATGGTGTTGGATCCAGGATAGGCGAGATAACAGTTGTCACTGTTTATCGACAATATGCAGAGGCCTGCAACGTTAGGCGGCGTATCCCGAATCGTGTGTAACACCTTCATGTCCCGTATATTGTGGATATACAGGGATTCCTCGAGACATACTACCAGTCTCTGCAACGAGAATGAATCATATTTTGATAAAATTCTCTAAAATTTAAACAATTGAAAGCTGTCATCGCGTACTTAATTACGCTGAGATGCAAGTGGAAAAATTGCTTTGGTCACAACAAAGTCACAATATTTTTGGTAATAAATTAGCTTCTGAATGGAATTTTTGTGATTTTAGTGACTGAACAAGAATGAGTGGAATAAATCAGAGAGAATTTACAAGTGTAAATCGCAAAGAAAAATGTTATTTACCAGTGAGATAACTTTCATCACCCTCCATTTGTTCCAATATCCACTTTTTATGATAAGGATACAATAACATTAATATTCAATAAATTTACCGCTCTATTAAGTTTCACAGCCAGAATTGTGTTTGAGTAACTGTAGTTGCAAATCTCCGTTCCCTTCCTAAAATGACAAACTTTGAGCTTTCTTGGGGATGAGTAGTTAACAACCGCCATGAGGCTGCTGCTGAACAGCCTCTCGACAATGCAAATGTCTTCGGAATCTGCAAGACAACATCAATAGTTAAGTGATAAGAAGAATAATATGAAAAACATTTACTAAATGCGTGATCATCTCGCGAATTAATTAATTTAGACAAGTGGCGAGGGAAATTTTTCGCTGTTCTTGAACGTTTGAATGGTAAATCTTTTTTAACATTTTCAACATTTTTTCTGGCTCCTGAAATTGTGATCATCTCTTGAGATTTTCATAAAAAAATAAAAATAATTTTTTCTATCAGTGTAATGCATTCGATAGAACATTGGCTTCCTGCAGGAATTCTATGGGAAATTATATAATTTCGCCCGGCGATTTTTCAATAGATATTTAAGAGAAAAAAGTCAATGGATTTGTCAATAAAACTTCCTATTCTGATACTGCTGCGATATTTTCTATAAGAGTTCTAAGATATGATTTCGCCATAAGAAACAAAATGAAATATATAAAGAAAAATTGAGAAATTCATGTCCAAGGATTTCTATAGAAAAATCTCAAGGTAATTCGTTACGAAGAAAAACAAAACTTGACCCACTTTTTTCTAATAAATATTTATCGAAAAATTGTGTGGAAAGGTGGCGGGATTTTCAGAGAGAACCCGGAAGTAAACGAATAAAATTTTTAAAGAAATCTTCTTGAATTTTCTAGCGAGAATGTCGAATTTTTCCCTGAATTTTTTCATATGTGACTTCCACATGATTATTTTTCAATTCAATTACTGCACAAAAAATGTTTTTCTAAATTTTGTTACGTCCTATGGAGAGAATTCAACGTTAAATAATTCTCATTGATTTTTCTCCGAAGACCTCTCCCGCTTTTTATTTTGACATCAGAATTCTCATTCGAATTTTCCAACGACTTCTACCGTTTATCCGTTTTGACATTCTCTTTCATCATTCATTTTCTGCCTCCCGCGTCCCCATTTCTGATAGAATTCTTATCTGTCTTGAAATGTTCTCAAATTTATGAGACCTTTTCGTTGAAGATTTTCAACTTCTACATTTTTCAATTACAATTCCTTCGCTCTATTTATTTCTCGTTTTTTCAATTCCATTAACATTAAAAATGAATTAATTAATTACTCAATTAATTCATTAATTTTCCCTGCACTTCCAAACCAAATCACACAACAGTACAAAAGATGTGGAAAACTCACCATTTTCAAATATTTTCTCCAAATAATCAACCGAGTTGAGTGAAAATAATTTGTAACCGGACTTTGATCCAACAGCCAATGACCTAAAACCAAAAAAACCCACAAATTATGAAAAAAAAAACACGTAAATCAACATTTTATTCACCTCGACCTCTGCTCAATTTCGGATAAATCCCACTCATTATCACAGCATGTACTTTCATTCCATAAATTACAAGGTCAAAGACCTTGGGAGCATTCGATTACCTCACACTGGTATTTCTTTTGTCCTCAAGAGCACCCGAGTGACCAAAACAAACTTGAAAAAAAATTTCCTCCAATAATTTTTAATTTTCAACAATTTTCCAAATCTATATTTTTCATGTGAACTTTTAGAATTGTGTTTTCTCCTACAATTATTAATTTTTATCTATGAAACTACTTCATTGACTCAACAATTCAATGATCGGGTCACTCAATGGTCGATGATGATAATTAAAAAATAGTAATTGTAGGGGAAATTACAATTTTAAAAGTTCATATAGACAGTGGTTCCGTTTCCTCTTAAGGGGTAACGGAAGCGGTCGCAAAAGTTTGTTTTTTTCATCCCATTTTTCTCCGATTGTATCCAATATAAATGGTTGAAATTTTGACCAAGTGTTGAGGGCAGCCTGAGGGAGGGCGTCTATTATTTTTCAGATTTTTTGCAAAAAAATTGCAGAAAAGTTAACGACACAGCTCACGTTACCGTTTTTACAGGGAACTGTAAAATGAGAAGCGACAAAAACCTTTTTTTAGAGACTTATTGTTGTCTCGTTACCCCGTAAGGGAAGACTACTATAAGTTTTAAAAGTCGCGGGCGATTGGAGTGAGAGATCTCATGCATTGAAGATCGATTATATATGTCTAAAAACGAATAATTAGTGCAAAAAAAATTGTTTATTGTTCATTTCCTCCACACACTGAGAAAAAAAATTATTTTTGCCAAATATCCATTTTCTTGAGAGAATTATTTATTTTTTCAAAGCCGTATTTCTCCAATGGAGTCATTCATTGCCCCAGGCAATTCTCATTAAATTTCAATTATGACAATTCTATTGCACGAGAAGATGATCGTGTTAGCAATGAACTTGAGTAAAATTTCCCGATAATTATCAACATGAAAAAATAAGTCCAAATTCTTCCCTCCAGAATATAAGAAGTTTAGAAAAAATTAATAATCAATGGAGGAGTTCCTCCTAGGTCATGTGCAACTATGTCAGCTTGTTCTAGTCATCCTCTAGAGCAAGCTGATTGTCACAATTGAAACCTAGTCAAGCTCGCTTGCAAATGACTCGATTGGAGAACAACGATTTTGAAAAAATAAATGCTTCTCTGAAGTAAATGAATATTTGGCGAAAATAATTTTCTTTTTGAGTGTATGAGAATAGTATATTTCAGGGCTAGTGCCATGGGGTTTTTTGCTCGCGTGGAGTTGACGTCCGAGCCGAAGGCGAAGACTGGCCAACCACGCGAGTAAAAAAACCCCATGGCAGTAGTCGTGAACGATATTTTTCCGTAGTGATTTTCACGTTTACGAGTTTTGGAAAGGGCTAATACCAATCCCCGCACGAGGAAAAGTGAAGAGCAGTACGGAAAATCGCATTCCAATAGCCCGCGACTTTCAAAACTCATACCAGCCTCCCCTTAAATAATAAAATCTTCGTAAAATGTCCGGAAACTTCAGGTCAAATGGCTCAAAATGAAAGCTCTGACATTTGCCAACAAAATTATAAAAGCACTGGAGAAAAAATACCCAAACTACTTGGATATCCTTAAAAAAGGTAATCGGAGGTCGCTGAGTATACCATCACCGACACACATCGCCGAGAGATTGGACAAGGACTCGTGTGGCAATCGCACTACATAAGAAACAAACAGACTCATTGAAAAAACCTCATAAACGCAATCGTGCATAATTTCTAGTAAAACCAACAAAAACAAAGCGAAAAAAACCATTAGAAAGGACAAACAGCTATCCCCTCATCAATTAATCACTGCCCAACCCCTGAATTAATCACCACGCAATCAATTAACGATCTTTAACCATTTTCAGCAAATCTTATTCCTTCATGGTCAAGGAAAATTCTATAATTTTTTGGCTGATGGCAGAGCATATGAAACTAACTTCTTTGATGTTTAAAAAAATTAATCGGAGTAGTCTCGCCAGAAATAAATGAACCAATTTTTCTTTACACACGGGCTCTTATGGGATTTATATTGAAATTTCTAGGGGAGGGTGGGGTAAAACGGACACTTTAGACTTTTTAAAAATTATTCATAACTCAGAAACAAATTGATCAATTGAGCTTACTTTAGGCTCGTCACAAAGGGAAAGAATTGTTCTTTGTATTGAAAAAAAAATTATCAAATTTTATCAACATTTCAACCCCTCATTAACATTTTTTAAAAAGTCAAAAGTGTCCGTTTTACCCCAACCTCCCCTAATTCGCCTACTAGAAGACTCTAAAAATAGAAAAAAATAGAAGGTAGGGGAGGGTGGGGTAAAATGGACACTTGACTTTTTGAAAAATATTCATAACTCAGAAACAGATTTATCAATTGAGCTCAGTCTAAGCTCATCGCAAAGAGGAATCATTGTTCTTTCAATTCAAAAATAAAATTATTCCATTTCATGAACAATTCAACACGTCATGAATATTTCAAAAAAAGTCAGAAGTGTCCATTTTACCCTACCCTCCCCTAATGTGCAAACCTATACTGAATCGAATGGCCAGAAAAAAAATTGGGGTACCCGGGCAAAAAGAGGAGATATTTAAAAGATTCTATCCCATATAAGCGCATGTTAGTGCATGCATTTGGTGCATTTGTCCACTCCGTTTCTAAATAATAAACGAGGGTTAGTGGATTGAAATTTTTGTCAAGACAAAGAGATCAACTTCATCTCTCAGTTGAAAAAAATCAATTTTTTTAATACTCGCGATTTCGGCTAAACATCCTCAATCCGCCAAAGAAACAGAAATAAGTTTCAAGTTCGGGGAGACGTGAGGACAAGCCAAGTTGAAATAGGTAGGTGAATGACGCATGAAACGAAAACATAAGCAAACCGAGGGACAAAGCGGGAGAAAGAGGTGCAATACGTTGTACCAGTTGCGCGAGATGAGACGCGCATTGATGCACTCAGTGAGGGTGACGCCAACACCAGTCTCCACTCAGATGATTGAAAAAACAATCTAAAGCACGTATGTATGATTTAATCGAGAAACAAGAGGGCAAATCGTCTGAATTTATTTGTCATGGGGGACGAGGGATGAATTTTGAGTGGAACAAAGCAGAACGGAGACAAATGAGAATAGACAACAGAGCAAAAACAAAATAGAACAAAACACAATGGAATAGAGCAGAGCCGAGGGAATGAACTTCGTAGTTTATGAAATGTCCGTTAAATCCTTGACAACAAAGACAATGACATCGGGCATTTCAAACTCACAACTCACGCGTCTTATGTTGTTTATTGTTTTGACTGTGATAATAACGATTGCATTATCAATTTACTCGATTTTCATGAATGCTGCTCGAAGGTTATGGGTTGTGATTGTACTTACGTGCAGTCCTGATTGAAATTAACAAAATAAGCACCACTCTGAGGTTCAGTTGTTCGATTTGCGAGGTTCATGAGTCCAGATATACTGTATTTAAGTCCTTGCGTCAATACATCCACGTTGCGCGCTAGATTTTGCATATATTTTCACCCAATAACAGTATTTTTAATAATTGTTTATCACGGGTATTTGAGTGATGTAATGGCGTTGCACTGCTAACACACGGGAAAATAAAAAATAATATTGTGAATGATTTTCGATGGTTTATTTGGTTGTTAGGGGGGGAGAGAGAGAGTCGAGTGGGTACGGTCACTATTCCACTGAACTGACGGGACTGGCGACTATGCTATTATTCCATATTGAGCCAAACAGCTGACAAACCGTTTGCACTGAATTGGAGGAACGATGGGGAATGGTTATATTGCGCGGAGTGTGCGATTCCCTGTTCCATTCGTTCCGTTTCCATNTGATTTGCTCTGAAATTCTTCTGCTCCGAAATTTACGAATGGATTTCAAACAGCTCCGAAATTCATTCTGCTCCGAAAATTCGTAAATTCGTAAATTTCGAAGCAGAATGAATTTCGGAGTAGTTTGTCTACTTCTTTCGGACTGGAGTGATTTGCTCCAAAATTTATTCTGCTTCGAAATATACGATTTTCATGATTTGCTCTGAAATTCTTCTGCTCCGAAATTTACGAATGGATTTCAAACAGCTCCGAAATTCATTCTGCTCCGAAAATTCGTAAATTCGTAAATTTCGAAGCAGAATGAATTTCGGAGTAGTTTGTCTACTTCTTTCGGACTGGAGTGATTTGCTCCAAAATTTATTCTGCTTCGAAATATACGATTTTCATGATTTGCTCTGAAATTCTTCTGCTCCGAAATTTACGAATGAATTTCAAACAGTGCCGAAACAGTTCTGCTTCGAAATTTATGAATTTACGAATTTTCTGAGCAGAATGAATTTCGGAGTAGTTTGTCTACTTCTTTCGGACTGGAGTGATTTGCTCCAAAATTTATTCTGCTTCGAAATATACGATTTTCATGATTTGCTCTGAAATTCTTCTGCTCCGAAATTTACGAATGGATTTCAAACAGCTCCGAAATTCATCCTGCTCCGAAAATTCGTAAATTCGTAAATTTCGAAGCAGAATGAATTTCGGAGTAGTTTGTCTACTTCTTTCGGAGTGAAGTGATTTGCTCCAAAATTTATTCTGCTTCGAAATATACGAATGAATTTTAAACAGCTCCGAAATTCATTCTGCTCCGAAATTTATGAATGAATTTCGGAGCTGTTTGTCTACTGCTTTCGGAGTGGATGGGGGACAAATTTAATTTTTTGCTTCTGAATGGAAACATTGTAATCGCTCAAATTGAAATTTTGGACTTTTCCTATTCTATCGACCCGTTATCATCCAAAAAGTCCGAAATAGTATATTTCGATACGAGTGAGACGGAATATTCATGAGTGTGAAGTTGGCGCGGCGAAGCCGATGGCTGCCAATCACACGAGGTGAAAATTCCCGTCTCGCATGTGTCGAACAATATTTTTTGACAGTGATGTTACGTCAGCGAGTGGCAGAACTGTGCCTTTTTCGTTTACAAGTAGCAAAAAGACTTCTCGTTTACTTTTCGGTTACGAGTCAATGAAAAGTCACTTTTTGCCACGAGGTGAACGTAGCAGCAGTGCCCAAATTAGTATACTGTGCATCAAGGGCGGAAAGTCATGTTTTCCCACCCGAGGTGCACATGCTATTTTTTAACACACCTGCAAAGGAAAGTTCGTATTTTGCTCTTTTATAAGCGGGAGGAAAGTGCGTACTTTCCACCCTAGTGTGGAAAGTGGCTCATTGACGACATTGACGGTCAAGGTTGAACCTCTTTACTAATCTGAAATTGATGACAAAAAACCGAATATGCACGTTTTTGTTTTAATTCGATTAATCCAATCGGAAGCAAATTTCTAATTTATTAGCAAAAAAGCTATACTCGATTTACACCTGTGCGATGGGCAACTTGTCTGCTTGTGTAGTCGAACATCAGAGCTTTCATTTGAGTCCTATTTGACCCTAAGTTTCCGGGTATTTTGCAATGACTTTATTATTTAAACTTTGCAAGCTTGAATGTGAATCTCAATATTGAACCGTTAGAAAACATTTTTTAAATTTGAAAAAAAATTAGAAAATTTACTTTTGTAAATTTGCGCGTCAGATGACCGTTATTGTTATTCATATGACGCGATATAAAAAATGACGGTCACGGTCGTTTTTCATCTCTACTCGGTATAGCTGTTATATCCCCTTATTCGTCTCATTTTCCGCTCGATAAATGTGAAAAGTTTTGCGTTGAGTCATTACTCCTCCATTCATAACAAAGAAAAAAAAATGGTAAAAAAATGTTATTCTAAAAAAATACGATATAAAATTGACGCCAACACATAAACAATTAAAACACATCACTAAATATTAATCGCAGAATCTTCAGCATTAAACAAAACAACATTAAATAAAATACATTATGACTTGAAGTCTATTGAAAATTATCGACAACTGTTTTGTACCCTCACACATATTCCAACTTACACGTACGACTTGAAATATCCAATTTTATCATTGTTGTACGCAATTTGAAATGCGCATTAGGAATTGTTTCTTTTCACACGCACCAAGTTTATTAGCACAGTAAGTATATCAATGAATACGTGACGAGAGGCTCGGAAAATATGTTCAATAAAATTCATTCGTTCATCATGGATGTAGATAAGTCCTCCTATTAGTGCACGGAATTAAATTACACATGAAAATTACGATATCTTACATATCATAACTATCCCGGAATTTATTATTATACACACGAGGTGTCACTCGAATGGAGTAACACCAGGAGGAAAAGTCATGGGAAATGATTTTTTTTTAATTTTTACCTAAAAATATGGGAAAATGCAGAGTGCAATATGAGTTTTTCCGTTTAAGTTCTGGAAATTTTCTGGTTCGAGTTCTCAAACAAGTCTTCACGCACGAAAAAATTTAATAGAAAAACCTAGCGAATTCGTTAGAAAATTTTGTTACATTTCTGATGAACTTTTCGGTACTTTTCGGCACGAGGTGAACGTAGCGAGAGTGGAAAAATTGGAAATTTCGGATTTGACGAATACAATGCTTCCATTCGAAAGCAAAACCCAAAACTCAAATTGGAACGATTACAAAATTTCCATTCGGAATCAAAAATCCCACAATATCCAATATTGAAGTAACCGTTGCGCGTTGACCTAATCGTATCAGTTCCTTATCATTCCCCTCCATCGAAACCTCCATAATTCTCTTCTTTCTGCTTCGCTCAAGAGAACACTCCCACAATTTTCTAATCTATTAGATTATAATCTGAATAATCTAGAATATTAATCTAATCGAAAAGATGATTCATTCAACCCTTAAATTTCAACAATTAATTACATAATAATAATCCAACAAAATTTTTAGTCTCCAATTTTCAATTTCTATCATTTTTTCTATTCATTCAGTCATTTTGGATTTTTTGAATTTCTTCTCGCTGAAAAACTGATGTCCCTCTAATACTTGAAGAAAAAAAGTGATTCGAAGTCCCTGGCGAGATAAAAGGAGAAAAAAAACCTGTTCTAGCCGATTATCCGTTTCTGATTCTTTTTTCATTTCCTTTTCATAATAATAATTGGAATCCGATCATAGAAATGAGGCGTGCCGACATCCTTTATAATATGAAGGGAAAAATAAATTTAAAAAATTTTCAGGAATACATGGAGAGATTTTTTTATTACCCGAATGAGATTTCGAATGACTTTGTTTTGTGTTAACTCCTCTTCATTCAATTTTGTAACTTGTGAATTAAGGAAAAAAAAAATATATATAATAAGAATAGAAACGTTTAAAATTAAATTAATCCAATTTTGTGAAGATAGATTTTTTTTTATTCTGAAGACGGAAATAGAAAGAAAATTAAATAAGATAGCATAGGCTAATCTAGTAAAGAAATATCCTCGTTAGTAATGATGGCAAAATTACTCTAAGCTGTAATGAATTAAATGTCAACTATTTTTTAATATCCAAGTGGGAAATATCTATTTTCCTCACAAGGCCGAAAAAACTTTTCTGACGAGTGAGAGGCTTGCAGACGGAGGCGAGGCCGAGGAATGTCATCACACGAGTCAGAAAAGTTGTTTTCAACCGAGTGACGAACCAAATTTTTCTTCACAATGTCCGTAAACGGCGTTTGACGGATACGAAATGTCCGCAAAACGACGTTTTACGGACAGTGTGATGAAAAATAATGGCCAATCTAGATCTGAATCTCCCGCCCCTCCCCTTGTCCCGCCGTTTAAAATCACTTCAGTTGCACGTGGCAACATCGCCCCGACCGTTTCTCTGATTGGCCCCAACAAGTTCCTGCCTACCAGCTGTTTACCTCACAACTTATCCTATTTTTATTTATATTTTTCCTTCCTTTTTTCCTTCACTTTGCAATGACGATAATATTAAGGTTGACGCAATATGCGTAATATGTAGTAGTGTTAGTGTTAGTGACCGTGGAGTCGCGGGAGTAACACTGACTCTACTGTACCGATGGCAGGGTACGCTGGGGAGTTTAAAAACCATCAGCTGATTTTCGGAGCAGATGAAAAATTTCACTAGCTGTCACTGTAATAACTTTGTTCTTTTCCTTTGGGTTTGTGTTGATGAATAAAAGAGGATAAATACAATTGTTGAATAATTGAAATGGCAGAGTGACGACGACAGACACTAATTGTTGAATTATGCATATCATGTGGAGGACTGAACGCAGCAGTTCGTGATATTATAAGGTGACGTGGATTGCGTATTTATGATGGCACGCACGATAAAATTTGATAGAAAAACCTACCGAATTCGCTAAAATTCTATTGGATTTCTATTGAACTTTTATACAAAATTATATTAGTATTCAGACAATTTTATTAAAAAATTTCACTGCTTTACTGCGCGTTTTTGTTGTTGTAGGAAATGCCTAATAGAAGCGGTTTTCTAGATAAAATGAGTAGATTTCGATTTTTCTATTGAAACATTTTCAATTGAATTCCTTCATATGAATTTTCTGTGGTCTTTGCACTCTAATTTTTAGCCGTATCTTATCTCTTTGAAAAACAAATGAAGAAACTTGGAAAATTGAAGCCGGGGAAGTTCCCGCCGACATAAAAGAAGAAAAAAAAAATTTTTAGCCGATTATCCCTGTCTGATTCTTTTTTCATTTACTTTTCATGATAATAATTGGAATGCGACCGTAGTAATGAGGAGTACCCATATCCTTTTACCATATGAAGGGAAAAATAGATTTTTAAAATTTTCAGGAACACATGGAGAGATTTTACTATTACCCGAATGAAATTTCGAATCACTTTTGTTGTGTATGTTTGTTTTGATTACAAAAAAAACACTTTTGATTGATCTTTAACATAATTCCTCCTCATTCAATGTTGCAACTTGTGAATTAAGGAAAAAAAAATTAAAAAAAGGATAAAATTAAATTAATCTAATTGTGAAGATTGAAATGGAAAGAAAATAAAATGAAATAAATTAGTGTAAATTAATCGATTAATTTAAACTATTAATCTATTAAGTAATGAAATTGATTTATTAATTAATTCGTTAGTCTCAGAATGTTTGCGATTCACGAAACTCGAAAAAAGTCTTATTTATCACTATCGTTTCGCGGCACGTCATATTACATATCGAAACATTGGAAGTGCATAAAAAAATCATGTAAACAACAAATACTTGAAAACTAACGATGCTTCTACGCGATTTGTGTGACTTCATTTGCGGCAAAATTATACTTGAGTACAAGAATATTTCAAAGCATGAGACGATTGAAAAAAGAATTACTTGTCTCAAATAAATGTTTCAGACATGAGAATTTTTTTCTCAGTGTAAATATTCTCAAAATGATACACAGCAAAATCTGGAATTAATTTCTTTTGTCAATTTAGGACTGGATTCTGATGGTAAACTTTCTGTTCATTTTAGGAATTGTTGGACCCCCTACTACTGTGATTACATGCTTGGAAACCGATAAGTATTTATTTGCTTCATTGAGTCAAGAAATGGAGACTGAGAAGGACAGTGAAAATAATTCCGTAAGTTGCAATTCCATTCCATAAAAAGGGTGCACCTCAATACTCCATCAACACTTAATTATATTTGTTACTCATCCCTATTAGGCTCCTGATGGCACAGCAAAAACAAACAAGGATTCTAATAAAGAGGACCTTGAGGAGCGTTATAATAAGGTAAGTAAAGCATGCTCGATCGATCCAGTTGTTTGTTTAACGTAGATATTGATTTTTCAGTTGAAAGGGTTCGCACTCAAGTTGAAAAAGAAAGTGAATGATCTGTCTGAGGAATTAAAAACTTCCGAAGCCGAGAAAATCAAGGCTGTTACTGAGAGAGAGGAAATACAGAAGAAAGTATCTCAAATATCAGACAATGCCAAGAAGTTACAGGTAATGTATTCTCACTTTTAAATTAATAACGAGAATGACAGATGGAAGAACGCTCATTTTTTTTAAGACTAGGAAAGGGGGCACATAATTGGCTAGTGATTTCTGCATATTATTTTTGATCATTATGTATTCATTTATTCATTAAAAATGAGTTGATGTCCCCTTTTATTATGTTCAAGTATGAAAACCTAAACTTTCACGAAGAAGTGTCCACCAATTTTCATGTCAATACTCTATAAATCCTCTATAATAATAATGAAAAATTAAAAATTAAAAAATAAGTGAAGTTTTTGGATGGAAAATGTTTAAATTGCGATATATGGAGAAATTCATGAGAGGATCTCTTTTATAGAGAATTCGTTAAACTGCAAAAAATTGCCTTGGATTGGAAAATTTGCTTGGAAAATTTCCTTTCCTAAACGCAGAGATTTTTTATTTTTTTCAAGAATAATCTATACAAATTTTTTCCACTCGTTTGGTTCCACCACTTAAAAATTCGACTCATGACCTTCAACTTCTTCAATTTCGTTTCTAGACAATTCAACTCGAATACGACAGACTCCAAGATGCCCTCGAGGAGCAGAAGAGCGAAAACCGGAAAATAACGAAAAACCTGGAGACCCTTGTCCTGGAGAACACAACCCTGAAACAATGCCAGTACGAGCAGAGGGACAATGTCGCACACGTAAATTCAGATTTGGAGAATCGTACAAAAGAGTTGACGGAGTTGAAAGCAATCTTCAAGAAGAATCAGAGCTTGATAAAAAAATTGGAGGAGGAGAAGAGGGCAGAGGTGATGATCAGAGAACAGAGGGAGAAGGATTATGAGGACATGAAAAATCAATTGGAGGCGGAAATTCAAGCCCACAGAACGACGAAGGGACAGTTGGACACTGCGAGGCAGGAACGAGCCAGTAATAATGTTTTGTTCCTGGAGGTCGATAATTATGAGGTCAGAATTGGAAGAAACAAATTTACAAACGATCACACGTATGAAAAAATTCAATAGAAAAAATTAGCGAATTCGTTAGAAAATTTTATTAGGATTCTATTAAAATTCAATTGAGGTTTTATTAAAACTCTAGGGAATTCTCGTTAGAATTCTATTTGTTTTTTGCGCTGATTCTATGTGATATTTGATAGGAAAAAGTCGATAGATTACGATTTTTTATATGAATAATCTCTTGGAATTGTTTCTATGAGAATACTTGAGCATGAATTTTTAAAGTTTTTTTTACTCGGATCCTGTAATGCAAAATATTAAAAAATTTAGCGAAAAAAACTTGGGAAATTCGTGACCAAAAAAATCTCATGAGAAAAATTCAAATAGAAAAATCGACATTTATTGACTTTTTCCTATCAAATATCTGACAGAATCTGCACAAAAAACAACTTGAATATTAATGGGAATTCTCCAGAATTTTAATTGAATTGTCATTGAAAACTTCGTGAATTTATCAATTATTCACATGTATGAAAAAATTCAAGAGACTTTCCATTGAGATTTTATTGGAAATCGGTTGGACATTCCATCAATTTTTCTTTTGTCCATTTCTATGAAAAATATTTCTGCGATATATTCATGCATAGAAAATTGATGATAGAACAAAATCAATACATTTCGAGTCTTCTGTTCAACCTGTTGGTCAAATTTTTTAAATAAAAATTTAAGAAAATTTCGATGGAGAAAACTAATAAAATTGATACACACAATATCAGTATCTTGAACTGTATATAAAAATGGAAATCTTCTGTTTTTTATTCACAGAGAAGCATTGAAGACTTGAAATCAAAACTAGCTGACGAGTCTGAGAGATGCAGAGCCCTGGAATCCACGATAGAGGAGCAACGTCAGCTCCTCAGTACCTCAGAGAGTCAATTAGCAGAGCTCAGAGACACATGTTTCGCGAAAACTAATCAATTAACCACTCTAGGCGAGAAAAACGAGAGCCTAAAGTCTGAATTATGCGATTTGCGACAAGAAATCGTGCAGATGACAAAGGAGAAAGAGACTCTGCTGGATGCAATGGAGACAATAAAATCGAATTCCGATAAATTATCGAAGGAATCAGCAGCTCACACTGCGGAGAGGAGTAAACTCCTCTCGGAGATCGAGAATCAGAGCAAAAATCACGTGCAACAGGTGGAGATTTTGAAATTCGACATCTCCAGATTGACTGATGCTCTTCAACACTCGAACAACGAGATCGAGTCCCTGAGGGCAGAATTCGAGGGCTACAAGCTTCGAGCCCAGAGTGTTTTGAGGAATAAACAGAGCCAGAATAAAGAGTCTGGGCTGAATGGTCGGAGCATCAGTGAGATTGAAGCAGAGTTGAATCATCTGCGCAGTCATTCATCCCAACTGCAAGAGAAATTGAAGTCCAGTGATGGAGAGATCAAGTCACTGACAACGGATTTGAGTTTGGTGAGGGAGGAGAGGGACTCGGTGAGGGACAGTGCCAGGGACTTGGGGAAAAAACTGTCTGCGTTGAGCCAGGATTACTCGACACTGAGGGAACAGTATAGAATGCAACTGAGTGTTGTGGATAGAATTAGGGATGAGTTTGAGACGAAGGAAGAGAGTTTGAAGACTAATTATGAGGTGAATCATTTTTTCCATTTTAATGCGTGTAGTTGATTCTATTTTTATTTTTATTTTTTTGAAAAAATAATTGATAATATAAATTTCCAATTGATGATGAATTATTTTATCATATGGAACTGTAATTTTTTTTTGTCAAGTTAATAATACTAAATTTCTTATAAGGGATTTTCGATTATTCAAATAATCGTCAATATTTCTAACTAAATTGCTGATTAATAAATAATTCGGAATTTGAATATTTAAATTGATAATCACTTCAATAATTAAAATTTAAGAGTGATATTAACGAATTTATTAAATACTTAATAATTTAACGGTAATTATCATTTATGGATATGGCTATCCCTAAAAAAATTTAATTAAATAATCTAGCGAATTTGATTTTTCTACACAACTTATTTTTCAAGTTTTTTTGTTTGATTGTCTTGACGAGTAGAACGAAAAAAAAAGAATGAAAAAAACTTGGAAAATTTGAGCCGAGGAAATTCTACAGAAAATATTTCAATAAAATAAGTTATATAGAAAAATCGAATTCTATTGAATATTTCAATGGGATCGACCAAAAACTAATAGAAAGTTTAATACAAATCCAACAAAATTGTTTAGTGAATTCGCTAGGTTTTTTCTATGATATTTTTTCATACGTGCAATTTTTAAAGCATTCGATTTTTCCACAGTAGAAGTGTGAAAAAATCGCAACAGAAAAATATTAATTTAGATAGTGACAATTTGCACAGAACAAATCACAAAAAATCTGACATGAACAATCAATAAGTTTTTGATGGATATCTCTCGAGCTAGAGAGAAACAGAAGAAGTTTCATGAAACCTCTCTGTCGATATGCTTTATGACAATTTCAAAAAATCAAATTTCGTTTCAGATGCAAATTTCCACTCTAGAGCAGAGATATCAACTCGAAATCGAGAAACTCCGCTCTGATCTCAGCAAATTATCCTCCAAAACCGTCGATAAATCGTCAGAATTTAGACACGATGGCGATAGTAACGTATCTAGAAACGATATGCACTTACTGGAACGAGAGGATGGAGAAGGCTCTGAGAGTGTGGATTCATACACAATCGGTGGCTCCTCAGCCGAAAAACAGAGGAGACCATCACTGATGCCCCTGGATGAATTATTAAATTCGTCCGACGACTTTTCGAAATCAAGTGGTCCACCTCTGCCCTCCAAAGTCGATCGCCAGGAGCTGGAAATTTCCGAGAGACGAGTTAAACATTTGACTGTTTTGCTGGCAGACGCTGAGAGGGATGTGGCTAAATTGAATCAGTTGAATCAGATGCTGAAGGAGGACATCCGGAGGCAACAGAGGAGTGTGGAGAGAGAGCATCATGCCAATAATTTTGAGTACTTGAAGAATGTCGTTATGAAGGTAAAGTATTCCACTGGAAAATCTTTTTCATTTCTCTGGAGAACGATTAACGTTTTTTATTTAATTCTTTCCAGTTCGTTACTTTGAGAAATGGAGACGAGAGGAGTCGTCTCATTCCAGTGCTCAATACAATTCTCAAGCTGAGTCCTGAGGAGACTCATCAACTTAATCAAGTAGCTGGAGGTAATTTGAATTTTATGAATGAAAAGGGGGGATTGATGATTCACATTGCATACTTGAAAAAAAGGCGGAATGATCAAGTGTAATCATCATTTCGGCTGTCAGTACTGAGATGAAGAATACTAGATTTAATTAAATCACGTACGAAAGTGATGTTGTGGAGAACCTAACGCATTCGCTGGAAAATTCAATTGGATTTCTATTAAACTTTTATTAGAAATTCATTTAGCTTTTTACCGATTCTATTGAGAAATTCTAGAAATTATTTGAGAAAAAAATCAATGAATCTCGGTCTTTCAGTATAACTTATTCTATTGATATATTTTCTATAGAAAATATAATAACGAAATGTATTATTATTTTTGATTTAATTAATTGATTAATTCATTAAAGAGATAATTAATCAATTAATTATCTCTTAATTATAATTAATTAATTAAAGAGATAGAAAAGTGACTTTAATGCTTGAATTCTTGAAAGATAATCAAATCAATAAATTTTCGTATTTGAAATTCCTAAAAATTATAATTTGGATTTTCTTAATATTCAGTTTCAGGACGAGGATGGCTGCCCTCTCTTCCCATTCCTGGATGGAGTCACGATTAATTGGCCTCATTGTTTCACAAAAAAAAACTCGAAACGTTTACTGGAGAGTATTTTCAAACCCCAAGAATAGCAATAAAGCATATTTTCGATTGAGAAGATTCACTTGCTTACTCGCATAATTGTGTAGAATAAATAAAAAACAGCAATTTTTCTAAAAAGCTTGAGCGCTCACTCTCAAGTGTTGTCTCTCTGCTTTAACAAGCGTCACCGCACCAGGTTTCTCGAATTAGTGTTGTTTGTTTGGGGGATGTGACTGATTAAAATTTTTCGTTTTGAGCCAGCCTCTCATAATTAAAGAAAACATTAGTGGTTGAATACGTATAAAAGAATTGGTCGAGATGCACATAATTGAAGGTGTATTTTTTAGATTTTCTTCATTTTCAATTCAAAAATGATTGATTCACGATTTTATATACTAATAAAATCGTTGTATTTTTTTCGAGTTATTAAGGGGAAGTTATTAGAAAAAGTCGTTCTCATAAACTCGAATTTGTACGAGTATGGTGAGGTGTGATTTCGTCCCAATCTGTGAGCTGCCCTGGGAACAATTTTTACCTCTGTCATCTAAAAGTCCTCCCAAGACCAGTAAATATCCGGAAATTTACCGATAAATTATTGGCTGGGTAGGTTACACAATATAAATTCCATCGCGATGAGTCACCCTCATTTCATCCTCAGTAATAGGTTTTGATTTTTTCATGAGAATTCATAGACACGAATTTTTCAGATTTTTCCCGGTATACTCTGTTTTGTTTATTACAAAACATGTATGAAAAAATGCTATAGAATTTCCTATAAGATATCCTATAGGACTTCCTAGAGAATTCGCACATTTCCTGTAGGAGTTTTCCGATAGGATTTCCCACAGGATTCCCTATAGAATTTTCTATCAGATTTATGACCCTAATCCTGACCCTTGTGATCGATTGGTTTCGAGTCTTAATTTTGTGTTTTACTTCCTATAGACAACTCTATAGTGAATTCTATAGGAAATTTTATAGAAAATCCTATAGGAAATCCCATCAGAAAAATCCTATAGGAAATGTTGGAATTCTCCATACGATTTCCTATATTTCCTATAGGAAATCCTATAGGATTTTTTCATATGTGCCCAAAACAATAGAATTTATAAAAAAAAATCTAGTACAAAATAAAGAAAAAAAAAGATTTTTTATTTTTATTTTTTTCTAATTTTTTGGGACAAGTGAAATTTGCTGAAAAACTCTATCGTGTGCTTCGCAATATTTGTGACAGAGGGCCACAACTGTCTCCACAACGTCATATATAGCAGTGTGCGTCTAACCTGTGCTTCATTGCCATGAAAAGATAACAATTCGAAACGCAAGAGATAAAACCCTGGCTTTGTTCATGTTGACCTTCATCAGTATAAAATAGCAACTGAATCGTAAAAATGCAATCTCCACGTGAGCGCAGCGGTTTTCGTGTCAGAAGATCATGGGAGGGCAACTTTCCGGTATTCAAGAAGCCGAACGTCATTGGATACTGGAGTGTTGATGGATCTAGAGCGTTGTGTCATGATGCGTCTCGTTTACAGTATTATTCGCCCCCACAAACGAGAGACGTTAAATTTGATTTGGATCGAGGGATTGAATTGGTTCACAGGAAGCCTGGGAATCTTGATGAAAGGATTTCACATATCCTGGAGTGGATCAAGTGGAATTATCCGAAAATTCGGGCAAATCCAGAGTCTGGGAGATGGTGATTACGGATGAAAAAATTTAATTGAAAAACCTAGGAAATTCGCTAGAAAAATCCATTCCATTTTTATTGAACTTTCTATCATTTTTGGCCGATTCTATTGAAATGTTGAAAAGAAAATATTCTATAGAAAAAGTTAAAAGAATTAGATTTTTCTGTGCAACTTATTCTATTGAGGTATTTTCTAGAAAAATTTTCAATTTTTTTGCTTGATTTTCTTGATGTGAAGAAGAGAAAAATAGAATGAAAAAAATTTAGAAAATTTCAGCCAAGGAAATTCTATGGAAAAAAATCTGAAAAGAATAAGTTGTATAGAAAAATCGAATTCTATTGGCTTTTTCTATTGAACATTTCAACATCATCGGCCAAAAAATCATAGAAATGCAATAAAATTGTCTAACGAATTCGCTAGGTTTTCCTATTAAATTTTTTCTTGCGTGGTTACATTGATGATTTTAAAAAATGTTGGACTTTTCTATGAAATTTTTTCGAAAGTGGATACATTGTACTGAACGATGTCCCACTCCGCCTCCAGAGTAGAACATTTTTTTTTTCATTCGTTTCCTTCAATTTTTTGCTTCATGGAGGCACAGGCTCCAGCCAAACTTCATTTGTTACCGGGGCTTGCTCACAAAAATCATGAAGACACCGTATGACAACCGAGACGGCTGGATAATTTGTGCTTCAAAATGGAGGGGTAGTATTTATCTCTGCGCTTTCGATACAGAGGCTGATAAGGAGGCCAAAGCTATTGAAACCCCGAGGCAGAAGCAAATGGCATCATGGGGATTCAAATTTGAACAGTATATTCTAGCAGGTATATTACCATTTTTTCATCAACTTTTACTTTACAAAAACAACTTTTACAACAACTTTTAGTTACAAATTTAATACCAAAACCACTTCATTCATGAGACAATAGATACTCCGCAATCTGTTTCAACAATTATTATTTTGTTGAAGATGCACCCGGGGGTTCACCAGATGCCTCTAGACCAGTCGATGAATGTGAGGAATTCAGTTGTGTATTTCAAACTCGCCTGACGCAACATTGGCTGCTCTACGGTGCTGAGATGGATGGGGTATGGTCTGATGAAAAATTGGAAGACCCTCTGCCTCTGGATAAACTGAAATTTGTCGAATTGAAAACGAGCAGGATCGTGGAGAACGATCGTCAGTTGATGTCATTGGAGAGGCATAAATTTCTCAGATGGTGGTGTCAGAGTTTTCTCGTTGGAATTGAGAGCATTCTGTGTGGATTTAGAGATGATGCCGGAGTTGTTCGAGAATTGCAAAATTATAAAATAGCTGATATTGCACGTAATTGCCAGGTAATCAGATGAAAATTTGGACAGAAGATTCTAATGCATTCGTTAGAAAATCCTATTGGAAAGTCATTCATATTTCTTCGATTTCAATTGGAAATTCCGCACGTTTTCGTGATTTTTGTTTCCAAATAAAATAATTTTACATAAAAATATCCAAAAAACAGATGAACAAGCGTATTTTTTTCGTGGTATTGATATTTCAGAAATATTGGAAAGCTGCCTCAGCGATGAACTTCTGTGACCATTTTCTACGACACGTTTCCAGTAATGTGATTAATGATTGTGACAGAACAATTTATAAATTTGAAAGAGTTCCGAACGGTGATATTTTTATGACTGAAGTTCCTCCAACACCGGATTATGCAGTTCTGCCACCTTGGTATATGGCAATTCCCCCTTGAAAGTACATCAGAATGCAATGCGATTTATTCGCATGTTGGATTATCTCATACACATGAACGCTTCTTGTACGGTCTGAGAAGAATTTATATTTTTTTGAAAAAATGCAGATAAAAATAAACCAAAAAATATAAAACAACTGTTGTTGTCAACAATGGTTTTGACTGATTTATTCGACTCCTGCAACCACATATCTTATCGTGATGAAATTATGCAAAAGAAAAGTTGGAAATTTTTTATAATAAATTAGCAATTTGCTTCCGAGCGGAATTTCTATAACCATGTATTTGTAATTTAATTCAATGATTCATTGAATTCAACATTGCCGCAACCTTGGCAACCAACGTTACCCCAATGTTGGCAACCAGCATTGTCCCAACGTTAGAATTTTTTACTTTTCCCTGAATATTGGTGTCAAAATTAATTTTTTTAACTACAGATAATGCAATAAATTTCATAATTGAACTCGGTCAAGATGACATTGGGAAGAATGAAAGATAATGCTGTTGGATTTCTATTGAACTTTTAGTTTTTAGCCGATTCTATGGAAAGGTTCAATAGAAAATATTCTAGAGAAAAAGACAATAGGACTCGATTTTTCTAGACAATTTAATCTATTGAGATAATTTCTATAGAATTTTTTTGACTCAAATTTTCTAAGTTTTTTTCATTCTATTTTTCTCTTTTTTTCATCAAGAAAAGCAAACAATTTTGCCACAGCATATTTTTTATTGAACATTTCAATAGAATCGACCAAACACTAATAGAAAGTTGTCACTAATAAAATCCAATAGAATTGTCTAAAGAATTCGCTAGGTTTTTCTATGAAATTATTCCATAGGTGGAATTTAGAATATTGAATTTCAAACATTTCCGTTAGGACCAATCTTTTCAACCAATGATAAACCCTCATGAACCATAAAGTTGGGGGAATCCCCCACCCCACTTGAAACTGCAATATCGAGCGCGGTATCTTACACGTAGACGATATTTGTCGATTAATCGACAACATCGATTTTTCAGGCCCAAACATACACTCAATCCCTCATCATCACCTGGCGTCCATAATCCCTCGTCCGCCTGACCGGCGCCTGTGACTTCACGACGAAAATTTTTCTCCGCCGGGACCCCCGAGCCAATCACAGCTCACCAGCGGGATTACGTAGTCGCGCTTCGGTTTCAGTCTTACGCTTACGCATATTCGAGATATTTCGCGATCGATTCCTTTCTCCTTTTTACGATAGGATATTTTCAATAGAAACGCCAATAAAAAATATATTTTTAGAACTGTTTGTTTTTTTTCTGTTTAATGAGAAAATATATCGATTTTTAAAAATATTCGATGTTTTTCTCAGAAAAATCGATTATCAACATCGATGTTTAAAAAAAATACCGATTCTTTGATAATCGATGTTTTTAAAAACATCACCCACCTCTCCTTGCTATCCGGTCACAACGGAAATGCAACAGCTATACTGTTGTTGTGTAGACAACAAGTGACAATTAGGGTCCCTAGACAGGTCGCCAAGTTCCCTAGATTTTAGTGGAAATTTGAATATAGAATAATTATTTGGGAGATTTATTGATGTTTTGAAACATCAAATTAAGAGATAATCATGTATTTGTACGTCGTTTAAATTGTCGAGATGTTTAAAGTATTCTTGAGGTGTTCCACGGGGAATTTCCCCGCAGCTGCATTTTTCTAGCCACGTGTTCTTTTCCCGAGTAAATTGTCATCTCTGCGAGATTTACGAGTGTTATAAATCAGTCGAGATTTTTGGAAATATTCCCTCGATCTTTTCTACGGTTTAATATTGTTTGGGGCCTTTCTTAATTGTCGTCGGGTAAATCCGTGTCCTGCCATTGAAATGTTGACCGTTATAAAAAGGATAGTTATAACGGAATACTTGGGTGCACTTTGCTACAGTTTTGCTCGTTATTTTACTTTCCCCAGTTAATCCGCGACCGTCATTTAGTTTACTGAACGTTCGAATATCTCCTTCGGGATTTTTCACCTTCCTTTCCGTTCATTGCTATAATCCTTCGACCCCCAAGGGTCTAGTCGAGGCGCGGGAAATTTTAGGTTTCTTGCAAAATGATTCGTTGAACCCCCTCTTCCCCTAAAATTGGTGACACTTCATGGACACTTGAACGAGTGGAGCGTTGGAGAAGAAACTGAAATTGTGATCACTCCTATCTTAGGTGTTGAGAAGTAAAGATCTAACTAATTGTGAAATTAAAAATTGAGAAGAGACAATATTGTGAAGACTTGAAGAATAATTTGATAGTGAAAATAATGTGAACTCGAGTTTTGGACTACCGAAGAATTAATTAAATACAAGGAATTATTTGTGTGACTTAAATCTGTGTTTAATGTGTTTAAACTTTATTTCAAATATTCCGCACTTACAGAGCAGAGTGGTTTAGCACTCCACGGGCAACTTACCCACGAGCCCTCTGGAATTACTAGACTTGAAAATCCACACACAACACTGTTAAGACGGCGGCAACACTGTTCATTATCAGGTCTATGCTCACAGTCACCCAGCCGGTTACACGACACACGTATTATAAGTGGTTGAGGCCGGCGGCGCAGTATTTCTCTGGTACGTAGTCAGAACACGTCTTCTACTTTTTTCCAACAACTCATCGATGAAGCCATATAAAAATAATATCGAACAAGTCAAGTGGTGTTTATTGTTGTTTATTTTTAATACGGAAAATTTAACGGGTTGAGGTCACCCATGGAGAATTTCTTTTAAGAGATCATGGTACCCCTTGTATGTGTTAAATTTTAAAATCGTCCTCATGTCCAAAGTTATTAATTTTTGGAATTTAAAAAATTTAACTTCAACTTCTGTATTATGATGTTGTGCAGTGCCGAAAATTTTTTGGTTTCCAAAAATTGATAACTATTGATACGCCGATTCGAAAATTCAACACATGCAAGGGGTACTGTTACCTCTTAAGGGAAGACTGCTATGAGTTTAAAAGTCGTGGGTTATTGGAGTGAGACTTTTCATACGTTGAAGATCGATTATATAGATCTGAAAACGAATAATTAGCGCAAAAAAAAATTTGTTTGTTGTTTGTTTGCCCGAAAACGCTTAAAAAGCTAAAAACAGTCCAGGGCCTCCAATTTTTGAGCTACAAAAGATTTTTTTTTTCAAAATTTTCGGAAAAATGTGTGGAACAACAATTACGAGCCAGTTTTTTGGAATTCGACTCCTACACAGCTAATTTCCGTTTTTTCATATAAAAAAATTCACTATTTATGTAAAAAAATACAAAAAAGCAAATTTAACCATGTAAGAGCCCAATTTAAAAAAATTGAATATTTTCTATTGAACATTTCAATAGAATCGGCCAACAACTAATAGAAATCCAATAGAATTGTCTAGCGAATTCGCTAGGTTTTTCTATTAATGTTCTTCGTGCAATTAAAGAACGTTGAACAAAAAACTGAACATTTTCAACGAGCGTTTTCGAACAATATTGGGAAATAAACCCAATAGAAAGAAAATTGCAAATTAATCATTTGCTGTATCTAATGGCCGTTAGGTCGTCATTTGTCACAGTAGCCAATGGCTATCAGATCGTTCGTTGCCGTGATAAATTATCAATTTACAATTTCCTCTCTACCGGACTAATTTCCTTATCTTTATTGAAAACGCTCTTGGAAAATATTCAATTTTTCCTACTATTCTTCATTGTACAATGCATTGTTTTTTCTTTGGAAGAATCATTTCATAAGCAAAGTGATAAAACGGTCCAAGTCGACTTAGCTCTCAGCTGAGTTTTTGAGGAATATCTCCGAATCTAAGGAGATGGACAAATTTTCGTACGTAACTTTTTCGTAGCTCTGAATTCGCTCTTCAAAAAATGTTATAACGATAATTTTGCTATCTGCCTTAGATTCCGAGATATTCATTGAAAACTGGCTAATAGCCAAAATGGAATTGAACCGTTTTACCATTTTGCTCCTGGTTCGTGATATCCGGTTTCCGGTTATTACGAGAAATTCTGCGAAACCGTTTGCATTGTTTCCGTTCGGCATTATTCCAATGTATTGCAAACCGAAGATTTTTTAAATCTTTTTTTACCATCAGTAACCTCATGATGGAAAGCATGAGACCTTTTCATTTCATTTAATTGAACTGGAGATTTTTGAAAAAATAATTGAAAATTTTGATAACTATGTTGAATCACTGATATCAGAATGAAACGGTGTATGAGATACCCCTTGCTTCTGAAAGTTATTTTCTTTCAATTATTCTATTGCATGTGATTCGAAAACAATGAATCAAGACGTTAATCCCATATAATTGACGCCCACTATACAGTATAGACGTTATGAAACAGTTCTCATATTCAAGCTCTACCCTATAAATGCATTCCCTGCCAATTTCCTGCTTCTATATGTGATTTGCAGATAAATGCTTGGAAAGTCTCCTGCAACACTATTCACAAAGCCGAATCGTAGACAACACGAAGGGCTTTATCATCTTTCACTTGTTGAAGATTGCTTTCCAGTCAACGAAATTAACATGAATACCGATAACATAAAACCTGAGGTGAAACCACCAGAAAAAAAGATATCTCCAAAGAAAAATCCGCAGAAGAATAATAAAATTTTCCGTGTGCTGAATAAGTACACGGATAATTTCCCAACTTTCCAAATGCCTAAAGTAACTGGATATTGGAGTATCGATGGAACCAGAACTCAACACCACGACTCGTCTCAACTGCGGTATTACATTCCGTGCAATGGAGATAGTGTAAATATAGACTTGAATGAGGGACTCGAACAAGTCGTCAGAAGACCGGACAGTTTGGATCACGAAAAGATAGACCACCTGTTGAGGTGGATTGAAAAGAACTATCAAAGGATTTTAGCCCATCCTGACAGCCCTAGATGGTGATTTTTTCATACCATTTTTGCATATCAGTTCTTGTTGCTGTGAGCATATAAACAATCCGATAGAGAGTCCTAGTCTACTCGCTGTTATAATTTTCGTTGTAACCTTTTTTTAAATAAGCATTTACAAAAATTTCGCTATCTTCCTTAGATTCGGAGATATTTCTAAAAAAAACTCAGTTGAGAGCTGAGCCGACTAAAACCGTTGTACCGCTTCGCCACTGAATTGTTTCGAAGTCCAGAACCAAAATCAACAGGGCATTTACTTGAATTTAAATTCAATTATGCCACATTTCTGTCAAAATATCTCAGAATTTGAACCAATTTTTCGAGAAAAAATTCTCTTATAATGAGTGAATGTTTATCTTAATCTCTCAAGATTTGCTCCCTAGATATTAGTACGCCGGCTCTAAAATTTATAGATTTTTACTGGAAACTGGAAATTTTCTCAGTGAAGGGTTACATTGAAGAGATAAATTTTGCTCTGCATTCCTTTTTTCTCTACGCGGAGAGAAATTCCTGATAAAAATTATCCTACCGTTCTATAAAAGTGTATCATGAGTCATCGTTTCTTCATTTCTATCCCGAAATTTAGTAAAAATTAATTGATGATGATCAAATTTTATTCTACGTGAGAGGAAAATTTTATTCTGCTAAAAATAAAAATTACCGTGCCAGTGGAGTAAGAATTACTGTACCGGTAGGGTAAAATTTACCAACCGTTTTAGAATTTTCGTTATCTACATAAAAATTATTGGACTGAAAGGGTAAAATTTATTATGCGTCAGGATAAAATTTCTCTAACGTAGAATAAAATTTGATCATTATATATTAATTTTTACTAAATTTCGGGATAGAAATGTGGAAACGATGACTCATGATACACTTTTATAGAGCGGTAAGATAATTTTTATCAAAAATTTCTCTCCGTGTACCATTTCACTCTGTACCGGTCTCCACTGAGACGAAAAAGAATAGTATAAAAAATTCCGGAGATTTATGCCAAAAATAGTCAATGCGATAGGATTCGCGATAGGATACTTTTCTATCCGTGTGCTATCCTAGTAATTTGCAATTCATTTTCATAGGTTGCAGCCGTATTTTATTTGCTTTCGCGGCACATTGAGAAAGATTCTGAAATCACCTTACAACAGATTGGGGTGGAAAATTTGTGCAGCTAAATGGAAAGGTAGTATTTACTTGTTTCATTACGAAACTGAATATGATAAAGAGAAAACCATAAAGGAGAAAAAAAGAAATCATGAGTCGTCGTACTGGGGCGGAAAATTCAGGCAATATATGCTGTCGGGTACGTCCTCGAAACAAACACGCCTTTCCTCTTGTTCTATAATTAGTCCTCAAATTATATTTCCATTTCAGATTCTCCGAATAAGCCTCCAGATGTGTCAAAGCCGGTGAATGAATGTGAGAGATTCTTTTGTGTATTTAAAGGTCGTCTCAATGACCACAGTTTGTTGTACAGAGCAGAAATAGATGCGGTCTGTTCTGACAGAAAATTCAAGGATCCACTGCCCCTCAGACATTTGAAATTCATGAAAATAAGGACTGGCAAACTTTCCGAAAGTCCCGAACAAGAATTAGCGAGAAAAAAGTTGAGATCCTTGGACTTGTGGAGTCAGATGTATCTTAGTGGGGTCAATGAAGTCGTGTATGGTTTGAGAGAAGACTCTGATGGAATTGTCCGCCGTATGGTGAAGGAGTCAGTTTCTGAGCTGATAGAAAAATCGAAGGTATGGTTCGCAAATTCATTGATTTTGCATAATAGTGTATTTCATTACTTGTGCGTAAAGTCAAATTTTGCGCTCGGTCCACTTTCTACACATTTTGATGAAAACTAGAGTTTGACACTCGTCGGAAAAGTGTTATTCAACACTGAGACGTGAGAGTACGCCTTCGGCGAACGCTACCCACCTCCCGCCGGTCAATAAACACTTTTACGCACTCGTATCGAAATATACTATCATGTTACAAGTACGTCAAGTTGTACGTTTCCACAAGCACGTGTAACACATCCTATTTTTTGTGATACCCTGGCAAATTCACTTTCCGGAGGTGCAGTGGGTGTAAAGTGTATAACCGAGGGTTATTTCCTATCAACTCATTCCACGACCAAGCGTTTTCCCACGTTTCGGCATCTTGTAATAGTGTGCGTGAGCAGCTATGCTTCTTTTATGGCGCGCTATCACGCTGACAGTCCCCTAAAGTCGTACTGGAGAGATCAAGGCTTTTGTAGCCCTCGGTTCCTCTTCTCCCACCATTATGTTGTTAGTGATGAATCCCTGGGTTCTGCTATTTGGAGATAAATCTCCCTATAGTAGGTAGATACCGGCATCCGGTATTTTACTGGGTGGGAAAAGAGGTGTTGACTTATTTAAACTAACTCATAATTATGCAGATGGGATAATTATGTAGAAAGTACAAAGATGATACAAAATAAGTATTAAACTTGATTTACGTTGACGAGTGAACTCCCGAATATTCGTGAGTCCAGCTTACATAGTAATTAAGCGTGTCACGTTATGACACTGGTAAACAGTGTTGCACATGAACGCTGATTTAGTAAAACAATGAGTAAAGCAAGTTTAATTCAATTCATCGTTCAACTTCTTCACTTTTGTAAATAATTTATTACTTAATATTACCACATTATTTTAGGGCATAACAATGTTATATGGAACCCAGAGACTAGAATCTCGCCAGTACGCCTGTACTTCTCTCACATGTAAACGATTGTAGATGTTGGTCGTTCAATCGGCTAAATACTAGTGCAGTAGAGTCTCCCTATTATTTTTGCTTTGAGAATGAANTCTCGCCAGTACGCCTGTACTTCTCTCACATGTAAACGATTGTAGATGTTGGTCGTTCAATCGGCTAAATACTAGTGCAGTAGAGTCTCCCTATTATTTTGGCTTTGAGAATGAAAATTCGGCGTACTGAAACGGCCTGGGACCCCCCACTTTTCCGTGGAGGGCGTGACTTGAGAAGAGAGAGACAGAGTAGAATCTGTCTGTTTCACTTCTTCTGTAGTGGGAGCAACCATAACGTCAACCTGTCAAATGAAATGAAATCCAGAGGGTGAAATGATTAGAATGGCTCTTTTGTCTGTTTAATTGTTTTTATTATCAAACACCACAGTGCTCTATCCACCAAGATGTTCACTGGTTTCACCAATCTTTTTCTTGATTGAGGAAGAAAATTTTCGAGCTCGTTTTTCCATTTCTCGTGTTTGTCTTTTTGTTTCATCCACAGACTTTACAGTGGCCTCGTGAACGTTGAGATTTTCAGCAATTGCTGAAACTGGAGTCCCACTTGTTACTTCGTCTACGGCTTTTATTTTAATGTGTAACTTCGCTAAAATTGGAGATTTTTTTTTCAAATTTGTTTTCACCGGGGACATGTTGAGGTTATAAACGACAAAACACGAGGCTATACATAACACATGACGGGTGGCACCGAAGAGTCTCACACTGCGCGTTCCCGTCACGCACTTACCACTGCACGTGAACGGACTCAGTGGTGGGGGAAGGCAACTTCCCCAGCTAAAATCATAGGGAGTAAGAATAATAGGAAGACTCTACTGTATCTGAAAAGGGAATTAGGGGATTCTCCCCGCAAGAATGGCGGGGGGGGGCAGCAGGGGAATGGGGGGGTCAATTCACCTCGATACAGGTGTTTCTTCAAGTTCAAGGTGGTGTGTAAAGTAATTTCCGTAATACTCAAGGGGGTGTGCAAAGTAATTTTCGTATGCGAAGTTTTATGCATGAAAATTTATGGTATAAACGACCTCGACAGTTTACGCGGAAACAAACACAACAACATACGGAAAACAAACACTTTATGCCATTCAGTATTTTGTTCTTTGTACCATTCTATATTTTGTCCAATTAGTGTTCATTCTTCCCGTTTCATTGATTTGATGTTCCAGGAATTCTGGAAGCCGGAGATCTGTATGAAATTTTGCGACGAGTTTCTGAAATTTATACATCGCACTGTCAGGAAAAATTGTGACAAGACTATTTACCAGTTTGAGCGAACACCGTTCCGAGATATCCTTGTGACTGAGCTGCCACCAACGTCGGAGTACGCTTTTATTCCTGATTGGTACCAATTGTTACCAAAGGAATGAACGAACAGTCACAGAAAAGAATTCCGGAATTCCAGAACCAAGTTACTGATTTCAAGAAGCTCATGGTTTCAGAAAGAATTGTATTGACAGCATGAAATGCTTGCTCATTTTTAAAAGATGAATATCTGAAATTCGGTACCAAGTCGAACTCTTTTTTCCTCTATGAACTGGGTGATTGATCCCGTATTGCTTCCGAATGGAAGCATTGAAATCGTTCAGTTTTTAAATTCTCTAATTTCTCTAATTTTAATATGAAATTTGATGACCATGTGTGTATGCGCGAGTGTCCTGCTGATCAACTTTTAGAAAATGAAAGGAATAGAGGACTAAAATAATTCCAAAAAATCTATAATTTTGTCAGATTATAGGTATCAATGAGGATTAACTCTGTGCTCTTTTCCAGACCAATCGATCAAGCCGTTTGTAAGAAACCGCAATTTTTTTAAAAATCGTTTTTCGCAAATATCTCGAAAACTACTGAACCGATTTCAATTTTTTTTAATATTTGCCTTGGTGCCTTCTATCTCAATGAATTAAAATACATATACATACAAAATGCGTGTACGCACTCTCATTTGTGAAGAGGTTGATATATCAACTTGTTTGATCATTGTTTTTATACATTTATAAATAATACTATCTGCAATGGAAAGGCAAGATTTTACGAATTTCATTTGAATGACTCACAAAGCCTTGAGCAAATTTTATTCACATTAACGCATACATTAAGAATAATTTAAAAATATATAAGAAGGATGCAGGGTGTCATGACACATGCAGATATTGTAAAATTTACTCCTTTGATTTTTTCAGAGAGTTGATAATTTTTTTCTCTCAATTTTTAGTTGATACTCTCTCCCTCTGAATTTTTTCAATGTTTTTTTTCGAATATTCTGATTCATTTGGTGCAGAAGGTATATTGTGCATGCAATATGATTTCAAGGAATATTGGATATTTAAGAACATTAACGATGCACCAAAAAATTGCTATATTTTGTATAAACATATAATAAACCGCTATTGGAGATTCAATTGAAGTGTTCTATCATTTATATTCATCCCGCAAATGCTGCAATGTATATCGTGGGCATGAACAGGCCGCGAATATGATTTTCCGTGTCGATAGCGATATCAGATCTAGGCAGGTCATATACTTTAATTTTCCTCTAAATAGTACAAAGCAGAGAAGCGTAGAAATGAGAACAATACCTTATAATCAAACACTTGTGTTTCACATAAGAAATCTTACTCAAATGAACATGAAAAATGGAAATCGTCTAGTTTCTTGTACGAAGAATATCAAATCAAAATATTTTCCGCTCTGAGCGCAAAATAAATGAAGTAAATTGAGGGATACGCAACTCCCGGAATTTCAATCCTCTACAGTCCCTTTGGTATCTTGAACGAAGATTGAACTGTATCATTTTGATAATTCACTATGCAGGAATGATCATTTTAATAAGGTAAAGACTCATTAAATCACTCCTTACTTGACGATTGAAAGAATGATATAAATATATACCTTCGTCCGTATATTGTAGATTCTTGTTGTAAGTACAAAGATGAGTCATGAAGCACATAATATTTCGATATCTAATAAAACAAGGGTATTTCAATTTTCTTTTTAAAACAAGGGTATCTCAAAATTCGCGCTAATTACATATGAATTTTGAGATCCCTTAATCTTGACGCGAATTTTAAGATACCCTTGTTTTAGAAAGAAGATTGAAATACACGTTTTATTAGGAGATGTCGATTTAATCAAGGATATATCAGTAGCGAATTGGTAAAACGGTTCAATTTTACCACAAAATTTTATCTCCCAGTTGAGTTTTTGAGGAGTATTTCCGAATCTAAGAGAGAACGCGAAATTTTCGAAATTACATTTGTTGTAGCTTTCAATCTGTACTAGTACGCGTGCACCTCTCCGAATAAAACTGCGTCATAAATTATCAAAATAAATTCGACGTGAAGATGTGACGTAGAAAACTGCGCTGTAATTGGGCGAACCCTGGAGGGAGGCAATTCTCGTTTCCATACATATCAGTTATAAATAATTCTGTTGATCCGGTCTGTTCGACCAGTCAGAGCAATATTGAAAAACAAAAGACTGAGATATGTCACGCGAATCGTTCCGTCGATCCGCACTGACTCAATCGGTTATCGGACTTCCTGAGGATCATATATCTATTGCGCGCTTTTGTTCAGTCGTCTCGCAGTTTGGAACAAATGACAGTTGAAACATGTCGGGCACGGATACCGGTATAATTTTTTCCATTGAAAGAAAGTCTCCCAACACTTTGTTCAACTTCAAAGTAGCAAAGATCGTCGGATATTGGAGTCTCGATGGATCAAGAAATTTTCACCATAATTCATCTCAATTACGCTATTGGATTCCGTTCAATGAAGAAATTGTGAAGTTCGATTTGAATGACGGGTTTGCACTAATGCAGAGAAGACCTGACAGCTTGGATGATGAAAAACTTGAGAATATTTTGAGGTGGATTGAAGGCAATCATCAGAAAATTTTGGCTGATCAGAGAAACCCTAGATGGTAATTTACTCACGTAATTTTTTAAAGAGCGATGGGTGTGGTTGTGACCGAGTGACGAAAGGGGATGATTAGAAATGGAAACTCAGATTATTCTATAAAAGTGAGATATTTAGCGAAAATCATTGGAGTATTTCTCAGTTTTTTATCTACTGGATTCAGAGATATTCCGAATAAAATTTTCGACTCATCTCGACTTTCGAAAATTTGTAACTGAAATTATCGTTTATTCCCAGTCGTTTCCATTATAACCATCGCGCATCCCGCTCTCCGCGACCTGCTGTCAGAGGTGATAACTCGATAACTATGAGAGATAGGAATAAAAATAATAAAACAAAATCTATGTATTTTTAGATGGGGAACATTTTTTGTTTGAAACTTTTTTCTCTAACTTGGACCGTTTCCGCGAAATAATTAAATTGTCATAAATAAACAAAGCTAACCACACCTCCCAAAAATGGTCAATATATTTGTGTTGAGGGACTCCAAAAAACATAAAGTCTAATGATAAAATTCAATGGCTTTAAAATATAAATATATGCCCCAAAAATGATTTTTTGTGACACCTGCCTCAAAAGTGTACTTTTCGACGCGGTTTAGTGCGCGTAAAGTGGTTGTTTTCCGCACGGCATGCGTGAAGTTCACGAGCATGCATAAAAATAACTACATTACCCCCACTACCGTTCCGAACAGCGAATTCGGCAGGTCCCACAAAAAATAGGATGTCTTGCACGTGCGTGTGAAAAAATTGAACTTTACGCACTAGTAACACAACATACTATTTCGATACCATTTTTAGGCTACGTCCTCACTTCATTTGCTACCGTGGTCCCCTGGCAAAAATCTTGAAATCACCTTATCAAGACAGATACGGCTGGATGATTTGCGCCATGAAATTCAAAGGTACAATTTACATATGTCCATTTGACACAGAAGAGGAGAAGCGACAAAAGACCAAGGAGACTGAACGAGATAAGAGAATGACCTTCTGGGGGAAAAGATTTGAGCACTACATGCTGTCAGGTACATCATCAATTCGTTATCGATGATCGCGTTTTTCCAATAATTGTACTCGTCATCTCCAGATACCCCTTATCATCGTGGAGATTCATCACCGGTGAATGAATCAACAGAGTTCTGTTGTGTATTCGAGAGCCGTCTCAATGATCATCGCTTGCTCTATGCTGCAGAAGTGGATGGACTGTGTTCTGACGAAAAATTCGAAGATCCGCTCCCTCTAGATCGGCTGAAATTCATGGAACTGAAAACGGATAAACTCAATGCGACTCCCGGGCAAGAAATAATGAGGAAGAAAGTAAAATCGCTGAACTGGTGGGCCCAGAGTTATCTGGTTGGGGTAGAGGACATTGTTTGTGGATATCGAGATGATCGCAATGGAGTCGTTCGACGCTTGGAGAACAAATCTGTTTCTGGCTTAGAACGAGACTCACGGGTAGAGCGAAGCAACACATTTTTAGAATCATTAACATTCTTGTTACAAATTCGCTAGAAAATTCTATTACATTTCTATTGAAAAAACTTTAATTGAAAAAAATTGATAGATTCAAATGTCCTAGGGTGATTCATTCTGTGGGGATGCTATGCAGTAGACTCTCGCTAGGTGCACGCCCGTTAGTTGCTCGTTTTCCCCTAATCCCCTTCTCGGACGGCGACGGACGCTCGAGCGCTGCCCCCCACTCTCGGCCGCCTTATCGCTTTCCTTTGTCCGAATATTTTCATTTGAAAATAAAACTATTCATTCCCTCTCATTTTTCTGAGAACTTGGGTCGGCATTGGGTGAGGAGTGCGGACCGGTAGAAAGTTGCCAATTTCTTGGAAATGGAACCCCTACAGCCCTTTCGATGAGCAACTAGCGAGAGTCTACTGTGCTTAGAAATTTAGAGGCCTACACTGAGAGAAAAACGACAGAGTTCTCAACAAGTCTTACTTGCGCCAAAAAATATATATTTTTTCATTATCAAAAGATTTTTTTGTGATAAAAAAAAGATTTTTTTAGGGACAAAATATTTCTTGATAAATTTTCCTTTATGAGAGATTTTGATTCTCAAAAGGCACCCGCTCGAGTGAAGCATGCGTCTCTTGAGTCGAATATTTCGTTGTTGTAGAAAACAGAGTAATTATTCATATTTACGACTTTCAAATTCCAATCAAACAATTATTATTTTTTTGTGATTTTCAACTAGCCATTTTGTTGGCCCAAACAAGACTTGTTTGAGAACTTGTTTGTTTTTCTCTCAGTGTACACTCTCCAATTTTTTTTCACTGCATTTTTTTCCCCTCACAAAAAGTTGAGGAAAAACGTGAAAAATTTAAGTTGGAAAATTCCTATAGGAACAATCTTAGCAGAATGAATTGCACGGAAAGATGAAAATTTGTCGATTTTTCTCTAAAATTTTTTAGATTGAACATTTTTTTAAAATTGAACTATTTGAAAAAATGTCTTCAATTAAAAAAAAAAGTTTTCTAATAGAATTCCTTAGAACCCAATTGAATTTTCGATAGGATCTGTAACAGAAATCCAACAAGCCTTTCTAGCGAATAAGGTAGGTTTGTACATTTTTCCGTATTTACTCACTGGATCTATCGATTTTTATTTCCAGAAATTCTGGAATCCTTCCGTGTGCATGAATTTTTATGATGACTTCCTGACATTCATGAAACGTACTGTGAAGAAGAATTATGATCAGGCTGTTTACAAATTTGAGAGGCTCCCGAATTCCAATAAAATCATTGTGGAGACGTTACCAGCGACATCGGACTATGCTTTTCTCCCTGAGTGGTACATCTCTTTTGCAAAAAAATAAACACATTCTCAGGATTCTTCAGGATTGGTAGTGTCCAGCCTCTGAAATGTGATTTCTGAACTGTGATTAATCATTGTACTGTTAAGAGTATGAGCTGCTGCACCCGGTGGATCGATCAAGATAATTCACAAACAACGCAGCTGCATCCATCGCTTTTGATTATTTAATCATTAGTGTATGTATGTATACTTCCTCTTCAGTACATTCATTATTTCCTTATGTTCATCAATATCAATATTTACATTGTTATTTTTATTACTATGCTCCTTAACTTACATACTGTGTGTATGACTGTTCTTACTATTCACAACATAATTACACAATGAGAGCTACCAAAACCTGGTGAAGTAACTTCAGTCAGTTTCAATGACGATTGTCATCATTATCGCTATTATTCTTATACACATTAAAGATAATTCCAATCCCGCTAAAGTGGCTCTTTTTTCGGTGGATATATTTGATATTTGATATTTCTTTATTCGAGACCCAACAGCCTAGGCCAATTACAGGGTCAAATCACTTTACAAATATTACTTAATTAAATCAAATATACATATGTACATGCATCATACCAATGCTAGACAACATAAGATGGTGGGTGGTGATTCTTACACTATTCCTAATATAGATAACTAAAATAAAGCGATCCCCTTTTTCGACTTCACATATTTATGCGCCATATTCACAACCACAGAGAGTGGCGTTGACACAATGTCCACCGTGCCATCGCAAAATTCGACAAATTCATTCACAGCCTTGCATGCCAAGTGTAGCGGCGAAATCATATTAGCCTTTTTTCCAGGCAAGTAAAAACGGCATTTCCTAGAGTTGAGCGGTGGCACTCTGAATGGATACGGAAATTTGTTCTATGCGGGTTCATTTTTTTTATTAGTGTGTTCTTTGATAATTGATTTCACTAGAATTTTTCATGCCGACGTTTTTTGCATATATACTATGTATTTTAGCGTCATTCTCATCTGTGATTTTTTACGATATCGGAAATACAATACTTTCTCCAAGCCGATCAATATACAATTAATAACGGAAACCAAGATTTTTATGAAAAGTTGCACGAGGGAACTGCTTTCGTTGAAAAGTTATCAGTTGCAGTTTTCCTATTTTTTTATGACGTAACTTGTCCCTTCGACGATGAAGAATTCGCTCCGTCAGGAAAATAATGAGTGCAATGATGAATCCACCAGCTAAGGCAGCCAAGAGCGGTATGACGCCTTCTAGCCGTACAGACGGATAAATGGCCCTAGGTAGTTCTTGTTCCACATGATAGTGTTCTATCCACCGACTAACTAATCCACTGTGTTTGTATCGTTGAATACTTAATTGAAAAAATGTAAGTTCAATTACTCAATTTCCCATTTCACCCCGACATTCCACTTACTAGTAATTGAAAAATGCAGTAAACTCGCTGCGGAATGGCATGACAAGTGGTGAACCTTGAATTCGTGTAGTCTCGATCGCAGTGATTTTACAAGTAGTTGCAGTGTTCAGATACTCTTTTCGATACCCGGTCGTTAGATGGAATGCAACTTTTTCGTTACATACCTATAGATTTAATATCGAATCGTACATTCCTGCATTTGGAGAAAGGGGGAGATTGACAGTAACATGAGGTGCGAAAACAGATATCATTGTGAACAGTGATGATTCTTCCAGAATCATCAAGGTTCAAAATTTTGAAGTTTGAGCAAAAAAAGCTAAGAAAAATCATGAGCATGAAAAATTCGGGGAGTTGTGTTTCTAAATTTTCTTCTCTTGCTTTTCATTTACAAAAGAAAAAATGTTCATTGTCTTGTCTCGTGTGACCATTCCCGTGTTTTGTCTTCTTTATCGCGCTCTCTTGTGTCTGTATCTAGAAGTCTGACATCAAATTAATGAAAATTCAGAATACCTGGTAGAATCCTTGTTCCTCATTTGCGGGGAGGGATTCTTTGGGCTTCATCAGGGACCACATTTTTTGCATGACTGTATCGTTAGAAGACTATAAAGAAGAAATGGATTCATCTTCACCCTTCAGAATAATTACATTACATATACCTTGAACATCAGATACTCTGAACTATCCTTTATCGATGTTAATTTATAAGTGCCAACTTCAACGAATTCTTCCATTGTATGAAATGGTAAGTACGATGACGAGACGGCTAGAAAGCTGGTTAACGACGCAGAGTATGTCGCGCTCACGATTAGCGCTGATAGGAATATTGATATGCATAATATTTTTGATGGTGTCTCAGCGGGAAATACTAGTGGAGCAAATTCTCTATTTAATTTTCTAATAATGACAAATTTTCCTCCATTACCTGGCAATCCTTGTTGACAGTAAATACCCCATACAGATAAATAATTCTCGAAAATCAACGGGACGAAGAATAATGGTTTCCTGTATATGATCAACGTTAAAAAAAGAGGCATTATTAGAATTGACCCTATGATTACCACCCATATATTCACGTGGAAGGCCTGTAAATAAATTATCAATTGTGACAACAGACAAATTACTGTAGGAGAAAAGTAGCGAGAAATAGTGGGAACCTGAAAGTAAGCGTTCCAGTGTAGAACAATTGTATCAGGTTTCTTGATGTATAGTTGTGAAAATCCGTCATAAATGGGAACTGTAAAATCAATTACTTTTAGTCGTTCAGCAGTCATCATGAATGGTGCTAGACCAATGTCAGCTTCGCCTCGTACGAGTCTCCCAATAACACCGGTCCATCTCGAAATATCTGAATCCCAATATCCCTGATTATCTTCGATTATCACTGTTGATATAGTAAAATTCAAGAATTCAGATAGTGCTTCCAGAAGTTTTCCCAAAGGTCCGTGGAAATGACCATCTTTCTCCCAAGCGTCATTTGATCCCTGAGAAATATGATACGTTTCACGGATGTCGTGACAAAAAATATTGTTCAATACTTGTTTTCAAAGAGTCAACCTATAAGTTGATTATTAGTCAACTTAGGGGCTCGTTTCGGTCATTGAACTCGATTCCTTTCATTTGATTATTTCTTTGGAGTTCCGCTTCTTTTTCTCTTCTCATTTTTTTAGTCTTCCATGGCTTCCGTCACTCTTTGCATTATACGCAAAAAATGCAACGAGGAGAGGAAACCATGGAAAACTCTAAAACGTGAATTTTTCCCCAATAAAATTTCTAGTGCGAGCGCTGGAATTTTTTCCTGGCCGTCACTTTGCACTCGTTTTCCCGTGCTAGCACTAGAATTTTTCTAAAAAATTTCTCCGTGTGCAGACATCTGAGTCTCACTCCTTTATAATTATGATCCGAATATTAATACCAGATCCGCTTGGCGCCCAATCCGTGTTTGTGTAGTTAATCGACCTCAGAATAAATATTCAAATATCGCGATAGTCAATATTTGGACAGTGGATAATTAATTATTGGAATTGGAACGTTGATTATTTTCATTCATCGATCTTAACTTTGGGACTTGAAGACCCAGATATTTCAAGTTGAGGTACCCGCGATGAGGAATATAATGGAATTCCTTAGATGAAGAGATTAAGTATTGAAAACAAGCGAAGCAAAACACCAGCAAGGACAGTCTGACAATGTTTACACCGGAATTCTAATACAAGCTACTTATATCAGAATGAAGTAAAGGAATTCTGAAACACCCTTGAAAGCGTAATATTGGAATAAGAGTTTCGTCGCAGGGCCGAAAAAAACTTTTCGGACAAGTGTAAACATTGCAGACTGAGACGAAGCCGAGAAATGCAATCACACGAGTCAGAAAAGTTGTTTTCGGCTGAATGACGACCGTAATTTTTCTTCACAATGTCCGTAAACGGCGTTTGACGGACATGAAGTGTCCATAAAACGACAGAGAAAAATTTTTGGACACTGCTAGCCATAAACTCTTTTCCCTTGTCAGTTTGTATACGAACAGGCACACGACCACCGCTCTTTCCCATTATACGTTTAAAGCCCTCAAGTACCTGCGGTGCCGACTTGTCCTTCAATGGTTCAACCCAGGCAAACTTGCTTAAAACGTCAATGACCACAAGTAAATATGAAATACCATCATTGTATGTCTTTAGTGATCTCAACCCAACCAAATCAGCCTCTCACACATCATTGTTTGTCACTGTATAATGCAACCGTGGAAATTTACGTCTGATGGGTCTGTGAAGTGCATAAGTATTCTGGGCATTAAGCCAGTTTTTTTATTTCATTTTCAGGTATTCCTTTTTTATGCGTTGACAAAATATTTGTAGCCCCCGTATATGCCTCCGGCTCTGGAGGGCTAGTAGCAAGTGTCCATAAAACGTTTTACGAACAATGTAATGAAAAAACTTTTCTGACTCATGTGACTGCAGTCTTCGTTTTCGCCTCAGTCTGCAACCTCATACTTGCCGGGAAAGCCTTTCGCAACCTAGCGCCAAAACATATGATAAACCTTACCTTGACGATGCACACACGGAATGCCCGACCTTCCAAAGATCTTCTACGCTGGAGCAGAGCCTCGCTGGAAAACCACTGAATTCCACGATTTTGGTCAATCCACCGGCCCAGTTGCCCTACGCGTGTGTGATTATTCCCGATCGACCACCACTCTTTGATAATGGTTGAGTCACAGCACGCAATGGCTACTTCGGAATTGAATTTTAAATTTAATAAGTTGCCGAATGGATTGTGGCAAAAGCTACAAGCATTCTCGTCACTATCTCCGGAGAATAGTACCAGCCATGCAATATCGCTCATGTATAAATTCATGGTGATTTTCCCGAAAGTATATATATCTTCCATACTGCCGAGAAGAATCACAACGAGTGGGCGAACACTCTGTGCAGTATAAAATGTGAATCTATCTCTGAATGATTGGGAATCGATGATTGCCGTTGTTATCCCTCTCTTAGACATTTCGTTAGAAATGGCATGCCAGAATGTGAGACTCTCAAAAGCTGAAATTAATTTTTACATAAATTTCAAATTATCAGAATCATTAGACGGGCACCATAAATATGAGTATGTCATCTGGGGCTTATAATTTGTAGTTAGACATTGAATTCAATTTAAAGTCCCCTCATTTCTATTCATTTTCATGGAATAATTGAACTAATCTTCAAAATCTTTATTGATTACTCTTATAAATTTATGAATTCTCCATGATGAAAATTCTATAAATTTCACAGGAACCTTCGCTCAACGAAAATTTCCAAAGAGTGTATCGAAAATTTTCAGCCAAAAATTTCCAACGATGTTGTGGATATTCTAATGACCAAATTTTGATAATTCCTCCCACCCAATTGGGAGGAATTACTCACAATAGTCTTTTTCAGGTGATAAAATGATGACTCCAGAGGGCTTATATCTATGATAAAAGATATCAATTAAAGATCCGTAATAATTAATCTTTCCCTTTTCATTGGTCAGAGGAAACGGCTGCGTAGCAGTAAAACACAGTATCAGTACGATCCAGCACTTCATATTTTTCTTATTGAAGAACAACAATTATAACTTGAAAAAAAACTAATGTGTGAGGAGAACCACAAGCTGAGTCAAATTCAAACCTAATGGTGGAATGGGCCTCTTTTGTACTTCCGAATGCATTCTATATAATAAGAATATAGACTCGGTGTAGCTACATAAACAAATTGGTTGCTTTTTACGAATAATAATTTGCTCATTTTCATATAATATAACAGAGTAAAAATATCACAATGAATACAATACAGAGTTTACTTGTTCCCACAAGACCAATAATTGGTCGCTGTCCATTCCTGTCTCCACCCCATCAGTATTTTCATGATTCTTGTGACCGATTTCTGATTTCTGTGTCATGCTGAAATCCTAAAAGCATTGCACATATACTGTCATTCCTGTAAATGTTCCTCATTTACTGTTACTCTGGCATTTACCCATGCCATCATATACACATACGTCGCGTGTCTGAAAGCAAAAGGTCGTAAACGCCAAAAAGCTACTTTCCGAGTTTCTGAAAGTGAAAAAGTCATATTTCCACTCTTTTTTGTGCAATTCCAGGTAAAAATACTACTAAAAATGATAAATGCTAGAAAAATATTAGTCATTGCGGAAATTATGATTATAATTAAATGAGAACGATAAAACTAAAATACAGAATTTATTTTCAATCCAACACTTTATTCAACTGAATAGCTTTATTGAACAGTTTCAATTATTATATTAACATCTTTATAGATTTTCATGAATGTGTTTCTAGAATCAAGGTTTTTTTTATAATATAACTTTTTTAGTATGAGAACGAATTTCGATCACTGATTCCTATATAAGGGAACTTTAATCGTTGCAAACGACTCGTTTTAATTTTACCCCTCACACTAGCTCTTTTTACCTTTTGTATTAGTCATCCTCTCGTCGTTTTTGTTATCTTGATTCATTATTTAATTTATCTCAATTTCGATTGACGTGATCTTAATGAAAGTAGATTCTCGCTCGATGACAATCAGACGTAAACTGATTTTTTAAATTGAAAATTCACATTTAGAATATGTTATTTTTCGGCTTCCCTGGAATTAAAAGATAATGGCAAATACTGAAGCGTTTACTCCAGAAGCTGCGTGGTAGCAGAATGGGGGAAATGCTCGAGCGATGAGAAAACGATGTGGGGGGAAATGCGACTATATAACTAGAGTCTGCTGTACGCTGGAAATTTCGATGTTCGGTTCTTTCGTACTTGCTTACTTTTCCGATTATGTACTTTCTTCACAGATAAATAAGAATTTCGTTCGATGACTAAAATTACAAAGGCAATCAGACCTCCAATAAACAAGGCAAACACAAATGGAGAGATTTCTTGCAAATGCACTGGTGAAAGACTCTTTTCATTTTGTTGAGACTGCTTCCAGTACTTTTTCTCCAATCGTTGGAACATTCCATTGTATTTGAACTGTTGAATGCTTGAATAAATTCTCTACGTTTAATCATTTAGTCATCGACATGTTGATACCTGAAATGTCGAATTGAAATTTATCTCACTTGTAATTGATTAGGCTCATGAATTCGCTGTGTCTTGGCGTGATCAGTGTCGACGATTCTTTCATTTCAGTCCCTACGGAAGTAATTTCACAGGGTATCAAGTTGTCGTAGATTTTTTTTATTTTTTCACTCGCCCAAAATCCCACTCGACCACTGCATACCTGCAAATTTTTAGGTAAAATTATCGCTAACAACTAAATTCCCAACAAATAATATTGTAGTCTCTTCCTGGTTGCACGCCCGTTAAGGCCACCATACACATGCGCACGGCGTACGCAGACCCGGTCCGTGCGGACACGGTCTGTGGTCTGCACACCCCCATACACGGAACGACCAGAGTGTCTGCGATATTGATACCTTCATATGATTTTAAACAATTCCGCGATGAATCTCTTCGATTAAGAGTATTCCGATCATCGAATGTTTTTGTTTTTACTTCAAAAATGATGAAAAATGATGAAAGATGAAATAAAAGTCTTCATTTTAATATTTCGTATGCATTTCAACAATATTCTCACTGTAAATGGATAATCCCATACATGTATTTCAATGGAAATATTTTATTCAAGAGAAACAAATAATTCCCTTATTCTGGATGAATTCTCTATAAGAATCCAATCGAAGATCTATTCCATAGAAATGAGGAATTACTCTTTGTCGCGTGTAAAATGATTCAATTTCTAATCAATAAATTCATAATTTGGGTCAACAACGTAAATGTGTTTGGGTAAAACCTTTTTTGTAGAGCCGATTGAAAGCTGCAACAGATGTAATTACGAAAATTTCTCCATCTCCCTTAGATTCGGAAATATTCCTCACAAACTCAACTGGGAGATAAGTCGATTTAAACCGTTTTACCACTTCGCTACTAAATTTGTATAATTGGAAATGGAATTCCTCTTTTCCATTTCAGTACACACCTGTTTGAAACCCTCTTCATGGGTTTGAGGGAGGAAATGTGTTGGCTCCATAAGAGCCATCATCTTCTTCATGAGTGTGTTATTAGAAAACTGTAAAATTAAAAACGTGTATTACGCCCTTCAATATATTATATGGACATCCGCTCGAAGGGGCTTCCTTGGTGCAAGCAGAATTGACTATGCTCCCATAGTCGTCAGTCACTTCCGCTCAATTCGAGCCGAAAATGACCCCAAATAAAAAGATGAGTATTGAAAATAAGGAAATATTCAATCGTTCATTGTAGGAAACGTTCTCAACAGTAGACGCGAACATCTTAAAAAGTAGATGTGATAAAGGGCGCCCTTTCCACTCAGACGTCCACATACGTATGATGCAACTAATATTGATCACCTTAAACGTATTATAGAATAGAGTATTGTTCAACACGATGAATTTATAAGTGCCATCATCAGCGAATTCTTCCATCGTAGCGAATGGTACAAATGATGACGACACGGCTAGAATGCTGGTCATCAATGCACCGTACGCGGTGTAAATGACAAGCGTCGATAAGGATAGTGAAACATAAATGATTTTCGAGGATGTTTCGCCGCTCATCTCTATTTGGAATGTCTCAAATGTAAAATAACATACCCATAAGCTACGCATTAAGTGTCGACTTTCATTACCTGCGAAACCTTCTTGACAAAAAATACTCCAAACGAACATATAGTGTTCTAAGAGGAGAGGAAACAGAGGACATTCCCGTTTTCTGTATTCGATGAGAGTTACGAGAATTGGCGTTATGAGAATGAACCCTATAATTACCATCCACACATCCACTGTCAATACCTGTCAATCAATGGTTAACATTTTAAATCACATCCGTAGATTGACAAGCAAAATTAACCCCCTAAGGTGAATTTCAATATCCCCCACTCTACGGCCGTCAAAGCGGAATGCCAGCGTCCCCACTCGAGCGCTCTACTACGCTTTACTACGCTCTTCACCTTAGAGGGTTAACCTGATGCACGCAGAAAAATTTATTGCCCGCTGTAGCATGTCTTTATTTACTAATAACTCATTTTTTACATTACAAAAATTTCGGCAAACATTTTTACTTGTGTAGTAGATGTTCTCAGTCCGAGAAATTATTTAATTCCATCGATTCATTAGCGAACAATTGAAGAAAACTTTTGTCACATCCATACATACGAACACGGTCTAAAAATTATATTTTCGGGCTTTTTGGGTCATAATGGGTCTATATAATACAAAAAAAACGAAATTAACATTTGAACGATCACAAAACTTCCCTTCGGAAGCAAAAAAGTTGGAAAAAATAACTTATTCCTTATTTATAGATAATTTTGAAGCATCAATGAATAGAAACTGGGGATATACAAGAACAACAGTGATCAGATAAAGCAAGAACTCGATCTCATTAGGTGCAAAATTTTGAAATTGGGAAATTAAATACAAAGATTTTCAGCGAGTTCAGTCGAGAAAAAAATTGTTCATGTGTTCAATATATTTGAAAGTAGGAATATGAATTTCTAGTTTAAATTTTCCACTCACGAAGTTTTTGTGTCAAGAGAAAAAATAGAAAAAATGGCGGGGATTCTGTTATTGTGCAACCACTTAAGGGTGACTGGTGGGGAAATGGGAGTTTTGTATACAAGTAAAAATTTAACTTGTGAAGATCAAATTTCCTGACTTTCCAAGTTAATTTCTGTTCTAATCACAATGGAGTCTGTCATGGAGCAACATGTTATGCGAGGCAATTTTTTCCGTGTTCATTAGTAATCTTCAAAACCTTGAAATATGCGTTCCAGGCTACTTGAGCAACTTCAAGTTTTTTCACGTGTACTTGATAAGCTCCATTCATGATGGGGTATGCGAAATTAACTGCATTATATCGTGCGTCCGTTATAAGGAAGTCGGGAACCCCAATATCAGCTTCTTCTCGATGGATTCTTCCAATCACACCAGTCCAATTTAAGGTTTTTCGATTCCAATATCCATAGTCGTTGTCCCAGATTATTTGTGATACAGTAAAATTCATTGCTTCAGACAGTGCTGCCAGGATTTCGCCTATATATCCATAGTATTTCCCATCCCTTTCCAAGAATAAAGCTGTCCCCTAGAAATACAATGATCACGGTTTAAGGTATATCCCTAGAAAACACGTTTTTCTTAGGATTGTCCCCATGTTTTTCATAGACAAAGTTTATAATAGTGCTCAAGTATTAAAAAAATGCTAACTAGCTGTACTACACAGTTTAGGCTTCTAACACGCGGGACATAGGCCGAAAAACTAATCCGCGATAGATTGATAAATTCCGAATGCGGTGAATTTTTCTTGTACAATTTTTACTTGATCCGAAAAATTAATTAACAAATAATTTCTTATTTGATTCAAACAATTCAGTAGCGAAGTGGTCAAACGGTTTATGTCAATTTTGACTATTGACCAGCTTTCAATGAATATCTCGAAGTCTAAGGGAGATAGCAAAATTTTTCTCATAACCTTCTTAGTAGCACTCAATTCGCTCTACAAAAAAGTTTATTATGAAATTTTCGCTATCTCCCTTAAATTCGGAAATATTTCCGGATAACTCAACTAAAGACTAAATTGACGCAAACCGTTTGACCACTTGGCTACTGAATTACTGTTGTCTGTATGAACAACACACGAGTTTTAGAAAAACTCAACTTATAAGAATGGAATAAATTAAGTTACTTATAATTTTTTCTGGAAATCCATAGGGATTCAACTTTTGGGTCCGATTGTCTTGGGATATACCTTGAATTAGTACTATTCGGAAATTTCATGACTTTTTACCTTAACTGCGGCAACGCGTAAGACTAGACCGTGCATTGATTTCCTGCGATCACGGAGCAACTCGTCGGAGACCCAAGTAATTTCTTGATTATTAGTATGGCCAATTTCCTGACTCCAAGTGCGGTTGTCTCTGACGCACCACCATTCTCGAATAATCTTTGAGTCACAGCACAAAACTATTACTTTCGAATTGAATTTCAGATTGAATAAATTTCCACGCGGGTGACAACAAACGTCACAGACATCCTGACCAGCATCTCTACTGAAGAATATCAACCAAACGAAGTACCCCATGTCTAGACCTTTGGCGATTGTTTCGAAGCTGCGCAAAGCGCCGATTGTATCCAGAACAATTACAATGAGTGGAGGATCAGTTTCTTTCATGTAGACATTCAATCTGTTTTCGAATTGGCTGAAGTCGAGAAAAAGTGTTGATACGCCTTCATTAGATAGCTTCCTAGTAGTCTCATGCCGGATTGTGATGCGTTCGAATGCTACAAATTATTTTCGAAGAAGTATTCAACTCGATGTTTAATCATTGGATCAATAGACAATTATTCTAGATACATCGGTCGTAAAAATGATGCGCTGCATATGACTAATGAAAAAGAAAAGATTTAACCCTCGAGTGGTCGCGCCTCTTCACCGAACGAGTCCGGTCGCGCGCTAAACGCTGCGCAGGCCGTCTATTTTCGGGCGCGACGTTGCCAGAACGATTCTCTATCTGCCAGGTCGGAAGAGCACGGAGGCTGGCAACGTCGCTCGTCAAATTTCTACTACGACTGGTCGCGCAACTAACGCAGCGCCGTTTTTCTCTGACCGCACTTCATTGAAAAATTAATAAAAAAAAAGATTTGGTGGCCGCAGAACAATAAAACCGGATTTAATGCCACGAAGACAGATTATTTGAGGAACTCCTAAATTGGAATTTCGTGATTATCGATATTTTTGCAGTTATCATGGAACAAATGAAAAGGACTGCGCTTCGCTCATAGCGCGACCACTCGAGGGTTAAATGAAATAGATTTTCGCGACCATATGTTTTCAAATTATTCGAATTCCTTTGGGCCATGTCCTAGGCTATGCCTGTCTATTTACGTCTCCAGATAACAGCTGAAAATACATTCTCGATGAACTTGTTGTCAATTGTTTCGTAGGTTTGGTAAGAAGTTAGATTTTTACACTCCGGTTTATGTTTCAACAATAGCTTTCCGGTTATGTGATCATTAATTGTGCCGTTGTGATTTCTTTTCAAATAAACACGCACCTAAAGAGGAATACTTTGTGCATTCGAAACGTAGTGCAATATTGAATTAGTTATATGTATATTTTTTTTGTGTCTCATTACTGCTCTTGACCTCAACATGGCCCAAAGGAATTTCAATAAAAAGAAAAGATATTTTTAATTCCCCGCATTTGTCTTCTCCTTCTTTGACTTACGTTGACGATCCATTTCTGATGCAATAATCACTCCTGTACCCTTATATTTATCATGCACATTCTTGATCAAATCTCCGTAATAATTGAAGTCACTGAATTTATCAGAAACTATCGTGGAAATTGCATTGAGAGTGCTTAACAGCAAAACTAAGGTAGGGAAATTCATCTTTCCTTCGCAAAATGAGGGAATCCAATATTCTCTTCAATTAGTTAATTGTTATGGTCAATGTGTGAAAGGCTATCAAATCTTGAATGGTTTGCGATACCAGTAACGTATGGCAACGTTGATCTTGCGTCAACTGATTGAAATTCGTTTTCCCTCCGAGGATCATTCTTCTGTTATATATTTTTCATATACGTCTGATCGAGATCGATAACCATTGAGCGCGGAGCCGTGCCACATATAAATGTTGCAATTTTGACCAATCATACGATGCAACTTATTGTCATGGAATGCGGTGTCACGATGTGCCGAACAGACTATATGCTGTTAGTTTACCATTTTCGTAGAATGAGATATAATACTTTGTTCATATCTTTTTGTTTTTATCTTAATTTACAACTATTTCCCGAGGCGTCACCCATAACAGAATTTACTAGAAAATCTTGGTATTAGTTTCTTGCCAATTTCTATTAAATATCCCATGGGTGTTCCATACGTTTCCCTTTAACACAAAAACAGTCCGTGTCCCGAATGCTTCGAAATTATCGGCAATTTTCCGAAAGGTTCTAATGGGAGCATTCAAGTATTACGTCGTGTGATTGGGGTAGGAGGCATTCTGTGGATGGCGTTTATAACAACTCCCAAATCCAGGAATTTTCGCGGTTTTCTGGAATGAAAGCCTATGTCGAAGTAAAAATTTGGAAAAAAGGAAATTAAAAAAGAAAGAATATCAGAAATATTCCCCTGATATTCCCCTTTATGTATTTTTTCGCCTCGTCCTTCCTTCTTCATCTCTCCATTATTCTTTTTTTAGAGCAAATGATGAAAAAGAAGAAACCCAGAATGACAAAAATATCTCTTTAGTATCCCTTTTTTGTCCTTTTTTGTAACAATATGCGATCATTTGGGAATAAGGAAAGCATAATAAAAGAGCACCAGAAATAACCTTGATATCCTCCTTTATATTAGATGTATAACATAATCTTTCCCTTTTGTTTCATTGAGTGCGGTGTCTTATTTAAAATTTGAATATTTACGCACCCGTTTGCGATTTCGAAGAGTGAACCTTACAGTTTTTAATACGCCATATGTCATGCCTGCAAGAGCTGTATAACTTCACAAAACAGTAGTATATACGATGGCGACTGATACGCAGCACATTCGGCACTGTAGAGAATACTCTACGAGTTCCAACAAGGAAAAAAAGCCATTGAAACCCGAGATTCGATTCTTCTACTCTCAGAAGTAATATGTTCCCTCCCCTTTCTTCTTCATGTCTTTGCACCAAGTCTCATGGCCTGTTCAAATCTCATTTTTTGTTTCTTCTTTCATGAACGAAAAAATTTAATAGAAAAACTTATTAAATGCGTTGAAAAATTCTATTGAATTTCTATTAAACTGTTCTATTATAGTTTGTGGCCGATTCTATTGAAATGTTCAATAGAACATATTCAGTAGAAAAAGTCAATAGAATTCAATTTTTCTATATAACTTATTCTATTGCGATATTTTCTATAGAATTTCCTCGGCTCAAATTTTCTGAGTTTTTTCGTTTGATTTTCTTGATGAAGAGAAAAGAAAAATAGGATGAAAAAAACAAAATTTGAGTCGAGCAAATTTTATAGAAAATATATGAAATGAATAAGTTATATAGAAAAACCGAATTCTGTTGACGTTTTCTATTGAATGTTTTCTATTGAACATATCAATAGAATCGGCCAAAAACTAATAGAAAGTTTCATAGAAATTCAATAGAATTTTTTAACGAATTCGATAGGTTTTTTTATTATACTTTTTCGTGCGTGTTATTCTGAATTTTGGAATAAGGACAATTGAAAAACATAAATTCGAAAGGGTTATGACCGCTGACACCAATTCTATGATTTAGTTCCTATTGATCTTTATATATTGAGGTATTGACAATGTTACAATGGAAACCATGGAAACTACAAATTTTCCGAAACTCAAATATGTCTCCGTCCTACATTAAAAGCATTAAATATTTATTGTGCGCTCAGTTTTCCAGAAAACAATGTTCAAAGTTTATCCTGAAGTTGGCAAATTGATGCCAATTAGAAGCCGTTTCTATAACAGAAATAATTATTCAAGATACAATCAGGGAAGCTAATAACGTGAAATTACCATTTCAGAATCGAAGAAAAACGGAGCCCAATGAGGTGTCAAGCCAAACTTTAACCCTCTAGGTGAAGCCAAATGGATGGCTCAACAACCATGTTGAAGGGTAATGAAGAATATTTTTATTGTGTGCCATGTCATTCTAAAGAAATTAAAAAAAGGAAAAGCGCATGTAAATTGCTGGTAACGCGAGCGTACCCGCCTGGGACGCAATAATTAACTCCATTATGTAGTTCAGGAGAATTTCTTAATTTATATATGAAACACGTAAGCCGCTATTGATTATGCACTACCCATGAAGCTAAATAAGAAAGCGGGAGAATTATTCAAGTCAGTGTAAATTTGACTTCTAAGGTGATGCAACTTCAACTTGAATACGGTGCATTTTTACATTAAAGACGGGACTTCATATAGCGTTCCACATCTTTGTGACGTCATAGGAAATGTTTGGATGGGATTTGGCAAAGAATTCAACAAAAAATTGATCAAAGTAACGGATAGGTTTGGATACTGTATAAAAATTGATATTGATGAGATAAAAATGGATATAGAAATGGATATTGTATAAAAATGATTAACAATTCTCGTAGAAATTTGAATACCCAATGCGGAATGTACTATTTTCTAGACTTGTTCTGTGCCCTAAACTCGCATTTTAGTCCAACTATCTGCACTTTTTTGTGTAATAAATAAATTGAAATGATACGTATAGCGTTTTCTTCGCCAAGCCGTCTCTTAGTCGAAGAACTCTTGTAGCGCGTACCCAGCGTATTTACATCGTGGTTGAGCGCAGGGTTGCCAGATTTTGGCAATTTATAGCCAAAACCTGTACAATTTTACATGGGGTGACGTCACGATCTGGTAACACTGGTTGAGTGTCTCAAATATGACTCTCTAAATAGTACATTCTGTAAAGAGTAACGCTGTAACTACATCTGCTCATGAACTTCAAATTTTTCAACTTTTAAATAACTTTCTTTTTCCAAATTTTATACTGAACAATTTATCGCTAAAGTGTATAGTCGCAATTAATTTTGGACTATTTTTAAATTTTTTTTTGGGACACAGACGCATATTCCTATTCAGCAAGAGGAGAATGTTATCCCTCACCTCATTGATACTATGGACTACTTGCATGGCTAGTCCAATTGTATTTTCTCATGAAGTCACTCATTATGGGTCTCTGATCAAAAATATTTATGATAAATATGGACGTACTGGAGTAATTATAGCATCCGCGACGAGCCATCTTTGTAAGTAAAAACGAGTGAAATTAAAAATTAAAAATTGAAAGCCCTCGACGAAAAGTTGTTAAGGTACTTCCTCAGCGAGTTATACTTGGTGAAAAATTCGCAATTAACTAAAGACCTAAAATTTGGATCGTAGGTTGTTGACGACATGTAAAAACGACTCCCAAAATTTCAAGTATTTTTTCCACGCGAATTTTTGAGAATCTTTTAGAAACATTTTTCGGGCTATTTTACATGAATGGTGCAATTTTTTATTAAAAAAAATCGAAATTAGTTTGGTAGGAGTTGAATTACCAGAAAACTAATTTGTAATTGTTATTGCACACATTTTTTCACAAATATTGAGGAAATTTTTTTGCACTAATTATTCGTTTTTAGACATATATAATTGATATTGAATACATGAGAAATCTCATTCCAACAGCCCACGGTTTTTGTAACTCATAGAAGTCTCTCCTTAAATGACGAAATAATTCAGTTTCCTCGGAAAATTCTTTGGAATAGTTATATGTACAAATTACCAAATATTCAATCGTCAAGAAAATTCACTCATTAACATGATGATTGGACATTATCCAGTGAAACATCTATTTGAAAATGAATTTCAGCGTTTGAAAAGACTTCAACCTGGCATGAGCTAACAGGGATGTTATCTAATGAAGGGATATCAGCACTTATCATTGACTTCCGGCAATTTGAAAACCGACTGAAGGTCTACATCGAAAAGACTTATCCTCCGCTCATTGTGATTGATCTCGATACAGTCGAAGCTTTGCACAGCTTCGAAATCATCACCAAGAATGCAGACATGAGCTATTCCGTTTGGCTGATATTTTTCAGTGGAGACGTTGATCACGATGTGTGTAAATATTGCCGCGAGCCGCACGGGAATTTATTCAATCTGAATTTCGGCTCAAAAGCTCTCATTTCATGCTGCGCCTCGAAGATGATTGAAGAGTGGTGGTCTACCCAGAAAAACCACACCAAGAGGCAGAATGTTGCTCGATTGACAAATGAAAATCCCGGAATTGTTTGGTTCTCTCAAAAATTAATTTCTGACGGCAGGCAGTCAATGGACGGCCAAATATTGCGCGTTACCGCACTTGCGGTAAAAACTAGTGAACTTTCAGTTAATAGTTTGCATTGAATTACGCGAATCATTCCATTTTGTTTCAACTTTGAAATTAAAAATCATCGCACACTATACACTGAGAAGACAAGAGTTTTTTGAGAAGTACGTCTTTACTTGCATCAAGAAAGTCATGGCTTGAAAAAAAAATCTTGCGCCAATAAATTTTATACCTGTCCGAAAGATGAGGGCAATTGGCTCATATCGAGAAAACGAGTTCTGAAATCAATTCAAGTGGTTTTTGCATTAAAATATTTTAGAATTGAGGCCAAAAAACAATTGAATGAATTCAATTTTACTTGGTTTGAGAGATTGCTTTTTTGTCATCAAGAAAGTGTCCTCGTCTTTAGGACAAGTACAAAATTCCTTGACGAAAGTTTTTGTTTCTTAGTGCAAGCAGATTTGCTCTTGAAAATTTTCAAGCCACAACTTTATATAAGTAAATACGTACTTCTCAAAAAAACATTTTTTTCGTAATGCAGGAGTTGTCGTAAACGCCCAATTTGAATAACTTCAGAAAATATATGTACGGTCATGAAATTCTAGGATCTGCAGATCAAAAACAAGAGAAATAAAGATCTTTATGGAGACGCAGGAAAATTTCTCGCGGCATTGTCTACAGTCATGAATTTTACTGTGCCGAACATTATCTGGGAGAAAACATATGGGGCTTGGAACCGAGAAACTTCAAAGTGGACAGGAATCCTGGGAAGAATCCATCGACAAGAAGCAGATTTGTCTATCAATTCTATCGTTATGACCAGCGAACGATCCAATATCATTCGTTTCACTACTCCCATTATGTCTGGAGTTTATCAACTGCACTTTAGAAAACTTGATTCGGCTCGGTTCACGTGGGATGCTTATTTTAAGGTTGTGAAGAGTAACATATAATCTACATTTGTCTTCCTACACAGAAAAAACGAGACATTTTTCAGACACTAAAAACGTCTGAATAAAATGAAAATGTGTCTGAATTCCAGACGAACAGGTGCCCAAACATCTTAATTCATGTTTGAAATTCAGATAAATTTTTTTCTGTACTGCTTCTCACGTTTCTCGTCTGAAAATTGGTTTTGCATACTTCCCAAACTCGAAAACTTGAAAATCACTACAAAAAAATCTTGTCCCGGGCTGCTGCGATGGGTTTCTTTACTCGTGTGGTTGGCCAGTCCTCGCCTTTAGTTCGGACGCCAACGCCACACGTGTAAAAAACCCCATCGCAGCAGCCTGGAAAAATACTACAGTAGGACTCCTATAATTTCAGTATAGAGATCAGTGTACACTCGCTTACTAAAGTTCTGAAATAAAATACATAGGATGCAAGTTCAGATTGTTTCAGAACTTTAGTAAACGAGTGTATAATTTCGACCTGACGGGGGAACAAATTCCGAGAAGTTGACAATACTCAGCCAAGCTCTCATTGGCCAAGCGCGCATAGTGGGGAGGTCAGAGAGAGAATGCATTATGTTGCTCTCTGTCTTCGGCCGTCGGGCAACAGTGAGTACATAACCCTCAAGTACAGTCGTCAAATTAAGTTCTGGGAGTAACTAGACGTTTTCTGGTAAGGTTGGGTTGCATGGGAGAATGGGATCGAAATGAAGGACCCAATCCAACCTCTAGCAACAAACGTCTAGTTACTCCCAGAACTTAATTTGACGACTGTACATTTTTCCCAATGATTGAGGTTAGGGCATTGGGCTATGCGTCCGGGAGATGATGGGACCAAACGGAAGGAGTGGGGACTGAAAGCGCGAAAGTGGGGACGCTGTGACTCGGCCCATCGAAAATAGCCGGCTCGAAATTGCAGGAGTTTTACTGTATATTTTATTATTCAGACGTTTTTTAGTGTCTGAAAAATGTCTACAAAAGATGTATAAAATTCAGATATCAATTTTTGCTGTGTAGTATGTCATTTCGATCATAGATCATTCATTAATAGGTGTTCGCTGCGGATGTGTGGATAGTCATCATTGGGTTAATTTTGACGGCGCCTATTGTTCTAACTCTTATCGAATGGAATGCAAGAAAATCCCATTTTCTTCCTCTTCTCGCGAAGCACTATTCATTTGTTTGGGGTATTTACTGTCAACAAGGGTTGTCAGGTAATCAGGGGCGAGATCTTATTGTTGGGCTAATTTCATATAAGCAACATTTCAGACTTCCCCGATGAAACACCTTTGAGAATTATCTATATATCGCTGATGATGTCGGCGCTGGTCGTCTCAGCCACATACGGTGCATCATTCATGAGCATTCTTGCTGTATCTTCATCATTTTCACCATTTTCTTCGATGGAAGAATTCGCGGGAGATGGACGTTACAAATTTATAGTGCCGAGAAATTCCTCATCTTATTACGAATTCAAGGTAGATGAACAGTATTGTCTTGAATTGAAACATTTTCGACTAATTTGTTATTCACGAACTGTTGTTGTTGACGAACTACTGCAATGCACAGCCGAATACCCATTCATTTTTATGAATTTTTGACTCATGAACTTTTTATGTCAAATGACTTCATGCTAGAGAATATAGTGCTGTTATTAGCCAAAATCTCAATAGCAAAAATAATAAATATCATATTCTCATGTCGACGTTCAATTTTCAAATTCAATTTTTTAATACTTTACTCAATTGCTGAATTTGACTCACCACAATTTCACAGAATTCTAACCTGACACTTATGAAGAAAATGATGTCGCTCATGAAACCAGTAAACTCGCTCCCCCAAACCTTCGTGGAAGGATTTCAGCAGGTATTCTGATTAACCGAGTAATTGTATGTTCAGTGTCTTAGAGGAATGCACATTAAGGGGTGCATGCCCAATTTACCCAATTTACAGGTGTGCAAAGATAGAGTTGCTCTGTATACACATGAATTTAGGAAGCGCCTTCTAAGCAATCTGATACCTTGCGAAATTACTTCCATAAATACTGGAAAAATGGAAACCGTAGCAATGATCGTGCCGCGGAACAGCCCATACATAGAGCCTATTAATCATTTGTAAGATAACTTCCAAGTTAACCCTTCGTTACTCGGGTGAAAATGCCCGATGAAGTTAAATCTGAGTTACATCTGAGCGCGCCGTTGCCACAATTCATTCGGAGAGTGGATGCGCTTATCTCCCGGTAGCCACGAGTGTGGCAACGCCGTGTGAAATATTTTCATTACAGTGGTTACTCCCTAACATTTCAGCCTCTGGGGCCAGAATTCAAGGAATTCTTCTTCTTCTTCAATTCGTTTTGGTTATATCCTCTATCCCATTAGAGGCAAGCACCATCTCTCCTCCAAACTTTTATTAGTTGTGGTTAAACCCAAAAGAGGGCCATACCAATCTTCTTCTCAAGTGACACTAATTTCTTTTCAAACAACACCAATCATCAAACAACACAAATGAAATATGGTTAACAATTTTTATGAAATGACAATCACAGTTTAACATTATTTTCTAATAAGAATTTATCAATACATAGCATTGCCTTGAAATTGTTACTCAGATATATCTTTTGCAAATCATCCCCCATATTTATATTTAACAATCTTAACTCATTTGCTAACTTATTTCTATTTTTAATATATTTTGGACAATCCCATAGAACATGGTCTAAGTCCATCAATTCAAGGAATTAAATGTTCGGGAAGCCCGTACTTTTCCGTTGGAGGCGGAGCTAGGAAAGAGATAAATAGAGAGAAAGAATCTGCCTGTTTCACTCTCACACGCCTAGAGTAATTTTATTGCAGTCCCGTCGCGCAGAGGGACACACAGATGTACCCAAACACATTTTCGTTGTCGATGGTGGGGGAGGTCAACTTCTCCGATTGAAATGTTAGGGAATCGAAATGTTAGGGAGTAACCCTGTGCTCAATCGCTTCGTGACAGGGCGCCCTAATTTTTATTTCCAGTTAGCATAGGCGTGAGTTTTCTCTGACCAGGGGCTTTGATAGTAGTTAGAAATGGCAGAATATGCTTCCAGATAAATTCAGTGAGGCATACGAATTTTTGCATATTTTTTAATGAGTTTTTTCGGAAGTTATACTAAAAAATAGAATTTCACCGGCGCAGTGCCGTAGACCCGAATAACGAAGGGTTAAGAATTTGAATTCAAAAATAGGAGTTGGGAACTGATTAATTAATAAAATTGATTCAAGTATTCAGGAGTTGACCTTCGAAGGGATATTCCGAAAATTAGTGAAGAATTCGAACCCCCAACACTATGAGTATGGTTTTCAACCAGCGCATCTGCAGGGAATAACTCCGCTGATTGTTGTCTGGATTAGTGGAGTCTTGATTGCCTCATTCATTTTCATCTTTGAAAGGACTTCGTATCTGTCTACGCAGGAATCACATATCAGGAACAGACGAGGAACAAAAAACAATGCGAAACATCCCCATTGATTGCCTGCATACAATTACTGTGTTTTATCCTTGCTCAGGACTAAATGAGTCAAGAACGCGGAATTAGTACAACCCCACCTAGACCTAACGTAATACATGATAAGATTCCGAGTGATTAATATGCAATTACCAAAATCGCGAGTTGATTTTAATAAAGGTACATGTGATCCCTATTTCTGCACGAGTGTATTTTGAACTGTAGTTTTTCAATCGGATTTTGGCCAAGCAGAGTTCAGCGGACAATATCAGGAGGTGAATTGGGGAAGATTTTAACAAATTATGTTAATAGAATAAACCGATTTCCAGAGACTATCAAATGTAAGATTCTATCTGAAATGAGCCGAATGGAGAGCTACTGCGAAATATTCAAAAGCTAGGAGGAAACATCCGAAATAAAACTGTCGGGTAGCCTCAAATACTGCGCTCTGATTGTTCGAAATCCGATTGTGAAAAATAATCGAGATAATCGACCAAAAACTAATAGAAAGAATAATATAATTTTCTAGCAAATTCTGTAGGTTTCTCGATGGAATTTTTTCGTACGTGTAAAACCATTTGTGTTGTACGGAATCGTTGTAGAGTGAGGAATGAATAATATATGTAATGGAGGTCGGGATAAAGTGGAACATTTTCTGATCTTCCTCAATTATCAATTTTATTGATAAATAACGTTATCGAGATTTGGAGAAGATCACACTGATCAAACTGATCCACTTTGCCCCGCCTACGTACTATTTGAAATAGAAAACTACGAGTTCTTGTAAGTAGTGTAACTTTAATGTATGTTCATACAGTGGACATAAAATCTCAAATGTTCTCATGTATTTCTCATTAATTTCTACTATTATTGTTCCGCGCATTCACCTGAATAAAAGTTTGTGACAATGACGCAATTTTAATCATCAATTTTAACTTTAATGTTCTTCAATTTTTACTAACAATTATCTCAAACTTAAGACGACTCAACGCGACATTCACCCTAGGCGCCAGCTTATTCTTATTATTTTTTTTTGGACGAACAGACAAAGTCCGAAAGTCACCGAAATTACTCAATTTTACCAACTAAAACTATTACTCAACCCGGAACTCTCAATAACAAGGGAGAGGGGGATCGGTACCCCCTTTCGGATTCTCAGAAGTCCAAGAAATGAATATTACACAGGATTTATGCCCCAACGAATTGATTATATAGTTCAAAAACACAAGAAAATAATGAAATCAATTTGAAGCCAAAAATGATAATTTTAAGTGAAATTATAAGAACATTAGTGGACCAATTTGTCCAGCACAACTGTCATACGAATATTATTTTACAATGTGAAGAAAAATCGCACTTTCCTCACTCTCTCAATACACAAAGATTAATTCTATTTTTTGAATAGTCACCAGCATCCAATCCTCAATTTAAGCAAATCATAGAATGTAGATATACACGTGGCTGGTCGATTAAACACCCAGAGTCACCTAAATCTTACGATCTTTTGTAACTTCCGCCGTTTTCCCTCGGTCAGTCTATCAGCCCTAGCTCTGTGCCCTCACTAGGCTAATAAGGCTGTTGACTGCCACTTCGTTTAAATCAGCTGATTACAGAAAAGCTTGGCCCCAGTTTTTATATCTACGAATAGCTAACAGGGGGCACTCGCATCAACAAACTGTTCCTCCATTTTTTGAATAAAAATAAAATGAAATAAAAATAAATGTCTTCCTGTGTACGCTACTTTGACGTGGATACGTCTATACGTCTATAGTTTCAATATGGGGGGTCATTTTGGGAAACGGTCCTTATGTGCAGCGCCATCTATCGGAAGTCTAGAAAATTCGAGAGAATACAAAGAGTTTCTAGGAAATTCGAGAAAGAAGGAAAGACCATGGACGTATCCACGTACAATTACAGCTGTATCGAAGATAAAGCCTGCAATTTTTTCATTAAATTTTTCGCATTTGTCGACGCCGTAACTTGTTTCTAAAAGAGTAGAAACTCCGTTCAACCAAGAAGATAATCGAAGCAATGATGAATCCAAAAATTAGTATGCCCAAGATTGGTACAATTCCTCGTAGATGCACCGGCGTATGCACCGTTTTAGGAGGTTCATCGTTCCTATTGTATTTTTGCGCTATCCGCCGTATCACCCCGTTTGTTTTGAACCGCTGAAGGCTGGAAGAAATACCATTTCAGTTAGTTCTCTTCTCGTACTCAATTTGAAATTGGACGTACTGGTGGTTGATAAAGGTCCTGTACTCGCTTTGCAATGGCAAAATGATTCCCGACAACTGATTCGATCCAGTTTTAAAGGAAACCATTTCACAAGGCATAACATACATCTCACGTCCTTTTGTAATTTCGTAGTGAGTGTAGAATGCCACTCGCTCTTTGCATGCCTGTAAATATCACATGAATTCCATAAATCGTTGAAGAATTATTTCAACATCTCGGATATTAATATCTTTTTTTCGGCCGTAAGATCGCGAAATGGTCCAAAGCAGGAAGGATTTTGCTAATTCTATGAGAAATAACCAATAGAAAATACTATGAGTTCGGTTAATAGCAATGACATGCACATGGACAGCCGAAAGATGAAGATCAAAAGTACAAAGATGTGCTAGCAGTGGTGAAACGCATAGAAACCATTCATCGCATCTAGATATTTTATATTCTGTCAATAAGTTAACCCTCTAACCCGATTAATGCTTTTGCAGCTGAACTCCCCACGGCTTAAGTGCTCGGGCCCGAGCCCATTTTGGAGGCTTCCCTTGCCATAAGTTCTCCATCTGCTCCCACTCCTGACTCATAACTATGAGACGCATGCGCAATATCATAAAAACGGCTGCGCAGTGCACTGCGTAACGGTCTGAGAATAGTCTATCAACTGAAGTCTGCGCATCAATTGGCCGTGTGGTGGGGACACAGATGGCGAGGGGAACTTAAGCTTGTGGAGTTACAATTCGTGGGGAGCTCGACTGTAATTGCCTTCTCGGCGCTGCACACAGAAAAACTTAAACGTAAATTACGATTACATAAACGTAATTTACGATTTCGCAATGATCTTCATTTCTCTATTATTTTATTTGTTAAAAGGTTGAAAGGTCGAATGTATTCCATCATCGCAACGTCAAAATGATATTTATATCAAAAATTCTTTCCCATGTGAATACCTGGCTGAACCCTTCGAAGTAACTTTTAGGCAATGATCCTTTAGGCTTCATGAATGACATCATCTGGCGCAAGACCGTGTCATTGGAAAACTGTTTAATAATAGACAAGTTACTTTCTTTCGATCTTGCACACTTCATATATTCATTATGAACACTAAGAATTAAATTCGAGTTCACGCAAAGAAAAAAAAGAACTGATTCAAATCGATCTTCGATCTGTTTCCAGTCGAGTGTTTAGAATTTTGTCTAGCCAGATTCCGGGCTTGCTTTAGGTAGAAAAATGAATTACTAATTGTTGTTAATATTTCTGACGCTTTGCAAGTCGAGGAATTGATTTGAATGAATTCGCGGAATTAACTAGATCCGATTAAATTTGAAAGTCTAGGATTATTCGAATCACTATTTCTTGCAGCCCGACCAAGAGGCAACTGTCCAATTCCAATTTGCTGATTCTCTTGTAGACAAACTAGAATCGAAATGCGAGTAGCAGAAGAAAGAAAGGAAGAGTAATAAATCATTTACCTTGAACGTATTATAGTCCTCACTGCCATATACGGCTGTCAACCCATAAGTGCCATCTTTTATAAATTGCTCCATAGTATTGAATGGTAACTGCGAGACGGCGAGAAAACTAGTAAGCGACGCAGAATATGCAGATGATACAACCAATGCTGATATAAATATCGAAACATATAATATTCTCAAGGGCATTCCATCGGGAAATTCTGTTAAAAATCATTTTATTATAAAACGCCATTGATCGTGAAATTAGATTTCATTACCTGGTAAGCCTTGTTGACAGTAGATGCCCCAGACATGTAAATAATGTTCAACGATCAAAGGGAAAAAATTAAATCTTCTGTTGTATTTGATCAATGTCAAAAAAACAGGCATTATTAGGATTACAGCGATAATGACTGCCCAGAGAGTTCTTGTGAATGCCTGTAAATGGATTACCAATTTTGAAAACGTACAAATAACTAACAACAAATTATGCAAAAACACAAATCAATGAACCTGAAAATATGCGTTCCATTGAACATTAGTACCATCAGGTTTTTTTATGTACAGTCGGGAATCGACAGTTATGATCGGAACAGTGAAATCAATTACGCTACGTCGCGCGCTAGTTCTACTGAAGCCATCGACACCTATATCAGTGGCTTGTCTCTGAAGTTGTCCTACAACACCGCGCCAAATGGACGTGCCTGGATCAAGAATGCCATACGTATCTTCTACAGTTGCAGTTGATATGGTGAAATTCATTGATTTAGCAAGTTCTCGAAGAACGTCAGCTAAAAATCCCTGAAGATGGCCGTCTTTTATCCAAATGTAACTGGAATCCTGAGGTGGAAATGTATTATTCCAGAATCACATGCTGAAGCCAATTTTCCAGATGATTTGACGTTACCTGAACAAAACTGATCCGAAATGCCCTGCCTTCCAATGAAGTTCTACGCCTGTGGATAGATTTATGGGCGAACCACTCAATTTCGTTTCTTTCCTCGATCCATCTGCCCAGCTGACCTTTATTCGTTCCATTTCGCGTAACTGACCACCAGTCTTCAATGATATTCGAGTTACAACACATGATCAACACCTCTGAGTTGAACTTCAAATTCAACAAATTTTCATGCGGATCACGACAAAAATTGCAAGCATCTTTATCGGCATCTCCGATGAAGAGTATCAGCCATAAAACGTAGTTCATGGGTAAACTCTTGGTAATTTGTGAAAAAAAATACAGATCTCCCGGTCTATGGAGAATGATCACGACAAATGGACGATTAGGATGTCTTCGGTAGAACTCCATCCTCTCCGTGAATTCTGCGAAATTCACCATTACTGTCGGTATTCCTTGATCAGACAAGGTTGTAGATATCTCATGCCAGTAAATGAGTGTCTGAAATACTAAAATAAAACTTCAAAGAATAATCGAGAAAAATTTTAGTCATTTCAAAATCGTATATTCCGTTACAATGGTGTTCTTCGGGTGCCAAACTGTCTTTCTTGGTTTATAAGGAAACAAAAAGATGTAGCGACTCGCTACATCCTCACGTAACACTCACGCGTTGACCGCGGTAACCGAGGAAAAGATGATTGACGGGTGAACGAAACCCATGCGCTCCCTCTCGCACCTATTGTATCACGCGTATATTTCGGATTTATTTCATTTACAGAATTCGCCGGCTCTGCGAATTGAGATACACCTCACTTTAGACAGTCAGTCACGGAGCGCTTACCGGATCACACCTATCCATTGCTTTTGTATATATCCTTCAACATCTTGTAAATATATTGTGATTAATTAACGTAATCGCATTGTTAGTGAATTGTACCTTCCCACAACCACCTCAATTCCTACAAAGACACATTTCGGCACGAATGTAAACGTAGCAGCAGTGACAAAAATGTGGTTTTGAAAAAAATCAACTGTTTGTATCCTAAAATTATTGAAAAATATTGTTCTCAAAAAATTACTTTATTTGATTCTCCATAAAACAATAAAAGAAAATTGTTCTTTTAATTTTCTTGGATATTCTCACCAAAATATCCGAAATCGCAACTGAAAGGTAAAAAGAAATGAAATAAAAAAATCGTAAAGACCAGCCGGTTGAAGGAATCAAAAAATCTTTTGGACATGATATTTATATAGTCAAAATATACTATACAAATACCGAACCTCACGAGTTGGCATGAAACGCAACCATAACACTTCCGGAGTCACTCGTACTTACAAAGATGGGTTGTTGTCGACGCTACAAGTATTCCAGCGGTGTTATATTCATTATATACTTGTGCAATCAAAGATCCATAGCAATTCACATCGTTACATGTATGAGTTGAAATTATGGGGCGAATGCCAGTGAAGCATAGTAGTAACATGACAGAATTCTTCATCTTTTCCTGACGTTGACTTCTTCTTATTGTGTACTCAGATGAACACTTGTCAAAACTTTATATCCGCGAATTCGTTAGAATAAGTATTCTCCCGTGAGTTTGCATGGAATAGTCCCACGAAATGGTAGGCTGACAAATCGTCAATAATGTTGTTGTTGTCGGAAATTTTGAATGGCTCGAACAAAAAATGCTTTCTAAGGTACAGTGGTGTCAGATAATGAGAGCTTTCTACCTTTAATTCGCACTTTGTTTCATGCAATAGTGCAACACATTGTCAACCAGCAGATTGAATAGTCATCTACGCTGATTCCATTAGCAGTTTTATAGAGGTGTACACGTTTTCTTGGAACAACATATGGGTTTTTCTGCACAAGTATGTTTTTAGATCTTATCCATGGTATTCAACCTGATCACAGTTTTTTATTCGTTCATTAAAAAAAATGCGTAACACCGGCGCCAGCGGCCGAAGTGGTTAAATCGCTCGGCGGGACCCGTGAGGCGCGGGTTCGAGTCCGGCTTGGGGGAATTGGGATTTTTAATCTTTCGGAAATCGTCGAACGGAAGTCCAGACACCAAGAATCATCGGAGAAGTGTTAGGAAACCATTCTCCAATGAAGCTCGGCAGATGGATGCCCGTGTTGACCAAGGTTTTCCATGGTTTCCCTTGGTCACCAGGAGAGCCTGTACGTGGTGTACAGCTCCTGGGGTACAATGCGACACGGTTGGAGAGAAAGTCAGCCCATGAAACCGCAAATATGTAAATACTCAAATAAATTATATATGGCAAAGGAAAAATAAAAAAAATAAAAAAATGCGTGAAGAATGGGATATGAGCGATCTCATTTCTTTACTATTAATGTAAGAATATGAGAAAAAAGATGAAATCTTTATTGATTATTTTATTGTTATTCACGGATTGAAATTCCATTTCAGAAATGATGCAATCCAGAGAAATGAATGGGAGAGAAAGGAAGCCAGAAAAAAGTCGAAGTCAGAATATCCAGTCTTCATTGACATATTTTCTTTACTCTTTACAGCCATGAACATTCGTTTACAGAAATAAACAGTTTCAAGTTATGATATTGATATTTGTTGATGCATCACACAAATAAATTCCGCTCCTCGGAACTCTTTGCGTTCATTGAAATACGGCTCTACAGGATAAATGGCTTTAGATTTTTTTGAATCGCTCTTTTTTTTCTCTGATCATGCAATTTAATTCGATCACGATAATAAATCTGCTCGATGAGAAAAATCATCAGTGCAATGAAGAATCCAGTTGTTGTTAAAAGACACACGATTAGAACAATTCCTTGTTGATTTGTATGTGAATGAAAATATTCCACTGGATTTAATTTCGGAAAATAGGTGTGCTTTAATCGATCTAGCATGCCGTTACTCTTGAAGCGTAGCATACTTGAATGAGAGATATTTTAATGATTCAGCACTCATAGTGCCGCTTTATATGAACAATTTGTTGAAGATTTGACATTTTACTCACTGATAATTAATAAGTTGGGTGTACTCGCTGTGCAATGGCATGATCATGCCCATAGCTCGGACTTCTCCAGTTCTGAAGGAGGAAATCTCACAAGGTATAGAATCCCGCATGTTGGCCTTCCAAATTTCATTACTGTAAAACACCACTCGTTCGTGGCAAACCTGTACGTACAAAAAGGCAAATGCTGATTGGTTGTGCAATTCAGATGAATTATTTAAATACTTGGGCAAATGCATCTTTAATACTTCGAGGTAATTTGTCCGAGGCTTTCATCAAGGACATCATCCCTCGCAGGGGTATCTGTCTAGAAGTCTATGTTAACATATTATAATCCGCACTGTCTTTCAATACTATTACTTTATAAGTGCCATCTTTAATAAACTCTTCGACTGTATCAAATATCGAATATGCTGAGGAAACGGTGAAGAAACTGATGAGACCCAGAATATACGGTTGATATTATCCATGCCGATATGAACGTTGAAAGATATAGAATCCTCAAAGGCATTTTGTTAGGAACTTCTACTTGGACAAATGTCTATTTAAATTTGGGTTCATTACAAAATTCGATTCTTCCGAGGGGCTAGTCACTTAGGAAATCACTGGATCACTCGACTGGAAATCAAGGAAGAAATGACCAGAAATCACTGGAAATCAAGTGATTTCCATTTTCGGTAGTGATTTCTTAAGATTTCTGGAAATCATCGGAAATCAATAGAAATCATAAAGAAATCAGATGATTTACGAAATCATTCGAAATCAATAGAAATCAGATGATTTACGAAATTATTCGAAATCATTGATAAGTGTACAATTGAAATTGATTTTGCAGTTTCAACTCGATCTACAATTTTTGTTATGGAATGTCGAATTCCAGATCTGGAATGTCGGATTCCAAATGTCTTCGGGTCTCTTCACAAATTCAGGACATCATACTAGAGATAATTTCCTTCGCCATTAACTGTTTGAATACTAAACAACAAAAAGAAGATTCTAGGGAGCTTCTGGAATTAACAACAATTTTGAGGGGTGGGGAGCGGGGAAGTTCCACCGCGTGGTGTATCTTATCGCAGGCCAGGTGCCATTCATCGTGCGAGATGAGTGACCAAAGGAATTCACAATTGTAATTTACAATTTGGTCATTTTTCGTGAGAAATTTCTGTTGATTGATTTTGACCGTGGCCAAATCACGCTATCACCCTATGTTACAGTTCCAAACAGTGATCTGCCCTCTTGTGGAGAAAACGCGTGTGCTCAGAAACACATTTACCCACGTGCATGATACGTCGTTTACCCCCATGTATGTTGACAAATTACCGGCATAAGGCATAAATCAACACCAAGAATGAATTTGTATACAAGCACAAAGTCGGCTTACAAACAGTGATCACCACCTAAATATGTTGACTCATTGATAATGTAGACCATGTACCATCGACAATATCATTGACATCATTATCGATACAATATCTGCAATTGTGGTATCCACTTGAGATAATGATGAGAGTAAACCATTTTAAAAATCACCTTCAAACATCGATGGCCCATTAGCTCAGTTGGTTAGAGCGTCGTGCTAAATGATATGAAATTATATTTGGCAATTTCCTGAAAAAAAAAATCAGGATACCCAATATAATAATATAATGAAAAAAAAATTAAGATATCGAAAAATTGGTAACACAATAAATTCAAGATGCGGATACATAAAAGCCCTTTTTTTACTCACAAAATAGCAATATAATGTTTTTCTTTTATTATTTTTAAGGCTATAAAATTAATATTGTTAGCAACAAATACTGCTCAAAAATCATAATATACTGTTATCTAATTGATGAAAATAAGAATAACTAAATTTAAAAAGTTATGCGTCNAAAAAAAAAAAAAAAAAAAAGTTAGAGCGTCGTGCTAATAACGCGAAGGTCGTGGGTTCGATCCCCCCATGGGCCATTATTTTTTCTCCTCAGCAGTAGCGAGTATTTTGACAAATTCTTTTAGAGACATATATTCAAAGGGGATTGGGAAGTCAAAAACTCGAATACACTATCTATCGGACGGGATAGGAGCCCTGGTACACGGAGAAAAAAATACATCGTAATTTTGTGAGAATCCTTCCAAAAATTAGTGTGCTATTCACCAACGCTGGGACATAACAGGGAGTCATCGGAGAATTCGCATGTGGCACACGAATTTTTACGGGAATCCCCCGAAAAAGTGGCCGGAGTCCCACCAAAAATTAGGGTGCCACTTATGAATTTTTCGACGACCCCATGTTATGTCCCGGCGTTGGGGGACAGCACACTAATTCTTGGGAGATTTTTTTCTCAGTCTAAGTGGGTTGCGAGCCCTATCTCTCCCAAGGAGCTGCTGTCAGTGGCGAAATTGTGCATGTAGGTTCCGCGACCTACGCCCCACCCGCATCTGAGTTTCCAATAGTCAAAGTAGATAGACAAGCTAAGTGGGTAAAAATATATTTATGTATAGGAAAAAAAAGTTTCAAGATCTAGAAAATGCGTCAAGAAACTAAGTAGGGATGCCACAAACAAAACGAGAGTAGGTTATCTCTCTTTCTTGATAGAAATTGGCAGACGCGTGGAAAGTTGGTTATGGCGGCAAGGAAACGGACACCAGCCCAGTGTTTAATCTGAAACCTGATGAAACGCCCCGGCTGAGTAGAACGAGAAAAGAAGCAAGGTATGTGGGAAAAATGGAAAGATTTAACGGAATCTGGTGAAAACCGACGATCGCTTGGAAAGCTGAGTGATTGTGGAGAGGGCATGGGCCTACTCAATGTTCGATCTGGAATTCGGGGAATTGTCTCTGCGGAATGAAAATGGCACGCTAAATGGCAAGTAAACAAAACGGAAAGATTTGTGCTGAAACTGGGAAGCTCGGAGGATGATCAGCGGAGAAGATAGTGGAAGGGTTCCTGGTGAGAGTAAGGAGACGCATAGAGGCGGTGGAAGCCGTGGCGGCACGTGAGACGCTTGCAGTGCAGTGATGCCAGATGGGAAATGTACTGGGCTACTGCCGAGTTACCGGCACAGGCAGGTCGCCCACTCGTCAGATTCGACCGTGGCGCCATCCCTCTGTTGGGGTGATACTATTTTTGGCTTGGGGTCATTTGAACCCTGAGATCTGAGCCTCTACTTTAGTCTATCCTCTTTGATGAAAACAATTAAAGGCATTTCCATCCATTTTTTTCATTCTCATTATTTTAATGCCCAATTTTGTGCAACTCGAATAATCATTATGAAGAGGATAAAAGTCAAGAGGATAAGACCCAATATATTATTTGAAACATGGCTGGAAGAGTGGAGAGATGAGGCTAGCCTGCGCAATTCAGAGTTGCAATATCATTTTTCGAAAGCACTCGAGGCACTCAGGAAGTATCCACTGCCATTGCAAAGCGGGAAGGACTGCATTCTGCTTCAGCATTTTGGTAGTAAATTGTGTGCCATGATTGATAAGAGAGTGCAGCAACATCAAGCTGTCCAAGCACCTGATCAACCTGAGGATAATCCTCTGACGATCGAAAAGGGATTGAAAATCAGTGATGATAGCAAGAAACAGCAGGAGAAAAATGGAAATACACCTGTTATGGAAATTTCCGACGATGAAGTCTTGATGGATGAGCCTTGCAGCAGTAAAAATGCTAGGATTGTTCCTCTAGACGAAGATGCTAGGGTTGCTCCCCTAGATGATGAATGCATTATGGTTGATCCCGGTTGCAGTGAAAATTTCAGAATGACTCCTAGAGATGATCAACCCATGATGAGAATTCCAAGTTGTAGTGAAAGGGAGGAAAGAAATGACGAGCCTGAACCTTTAGCTAGACCTTCTAGATTTAGTCTAATGCCCACTTGTTTTGATATCATTTTGCTGATTGATACTCAGGAAGTTAAAGGGTAGGTTTATGTTGAAGAGAGGTAATCATATTTAGGAATCGAGAAAATTGAGTTTTCACGATTGAAAAAATTTAATAGAAAAATAGCGAATTCGCTAGACAATTCTATTGGATTTCTCTTGAACTTTCTAGTAGTTTTTGGCCGATTGTATTGAAGTTTTCTTTAGAAAAAGTCAATAGAATTCGATTTTTGTATACAATTTATTCTATTGAGATATTTTCTAATAGAATTTCTTTGGCTCAAATTTTCTAACTTTTGTTGGTTGATTTTCTTGATGAAAAGAAACCAAGAATGAAAAAAAAATGAAAATTTTTTGAAATCATCTCAATAGAATAAATCATATAGAAAAATCAAATTATTAATTTTTTATATAAAAGATTTTCTATTGAAATAAACGTGCAGATAAGTTGCAGAATTTTTTAAGGATAGCAATATCCGTAAATTATAATAACCGTTGAATTATTGAGTAGACAGTTAGTTAATATCACTCTTCAATTTTAATTTTTGAGGAAATCATCAATTTAAATATTCAAATTCCGAATTATTTATTGATCAGCAATTAAGTTAGGAAGATTGACAATTATTTGGATAATCGAAAATTTACAAATTCATATTATTAAATATTTAATTCACCGTCAATTGGAAATTTCGATGATCCATTATTTTACTATTTTTTAATTTCGATTATTTCAAAAATGAAATACTTTTAATATTGAAGAATCGGAAGATTGACGGCCATCTCCTTCTATTTTCAATGGAATCAGCCAAGGTTTAATAGAAAGTTCAATAGAAATACACTAGAATTTTCTATCGAATTTGCAATGTTTTTCTATGAATGTTTTTTGTCCATTGAATAGTGTTGTATTTAATTAAGAAATAATTCGGAATAAATCGAAGTGGCGTATTTATTAACAGTTCTTCAGAATCAATCATAGAGCAAAAGTGGATCACGCGTGAAGTTATTCCCAAACATTAGAGAATGACATTTAACTTTCTTTTTATTTTACAAAAGAGGGGAAGAGGGTAGATTAAACCATTCGATTCCGTAGCAATAGCAAAACGTTGGAGACAGAAAAAGACAATTTCTTTACCTGTCCAATAACACAAACTTAATATTTCTCTTCCTGAATATTTTCCAGAAAAGATAAGGACGATCCTGTAATCACTCAATTAACCCGTGAAAAAATATCTTTCGAGATTCGTCATCTGAACGTAGGAGATTTCCTCTGGATCGCTCGATGTCGCAGCACGAAACAAGAATTAGTGCTTCCCTACATCGTTGAACGCAAGCGAATCGATGATTTGGCGTCCAGCATCAAGGACGGAAGGTACCACGAGCAAAAGTTTCGACTGAAGCAATCTGGAATTCCTAATGTCGTGTACATGATTGAGAAATTGCCCAACGGTACCATGAATACTTCGATACCCCTGACTACTCTACTCCAGGCAGCAACGAATTCAGCAGTTCAGGACGGTTTCACCATTAGACACACTAGGAATCATCGAGACTCTATGCTGTATCTAGCGACGTTCACGAAAATACTTATAAAATTATTTAAGGTGAATGGGAAATACAGTGAGACTAGCTGGGTGGCCCGGCTTCACCCGGGCAGAATAAGAAAAAATTGGATACTAGAACTTTTGAAAATTCCTGCAATTAAAAAAAAACACCTGAATGCTTGACTTTTTCAGAACACCCGGGAATTTTTTCAATTTTTTGTGGAAATATAGATCGGCATCAATCATTACTTTAGGAATATTATGAGAAGTTGGACCTTACAACAATCAAGTTTTTACTCATCTTCATTAAAATTTGAAAAATAACCACTTGTTTACCTTAGCTATGCCTCGATTTTTTCTCTCTAATTCTTTCTATCCCCTTTGCAACGAATCCATTCTCACTGGAATAATTGTTATTATTAATTCTTAATAATAGTAAGAATTATTAATTCTAATTATTAATCTTTTTACAGGATAAATTATTGATCGAATGTGATAAAAACAGTCTTCCGAAGAAAAGCGATGTTAAAAGTGAAGAAATGACCCTCATGGAATTTGAAACATTCAACAAATCCTCGGCAAAAGTAAAAGTAAGTCAAGAAAGGATCAATAATCCCAGAAAAGTAGACAACAGAAGTATTTCAATCAATCATAGAAACTAATTGTTTTGTGGTATTCATTATTTGCAGACGTTAAGAGTCAAGGACATGTTCGTAAAACAGCTCATCCAAATAAAAGGGCTCTCCCTCGATGGGACCCTGGCCATTGTCGAGCGATATCCGTCCCCCTTAGCCCTGAGGAAAGCTTTCGAGGCTGCGGGAAACGATGGGGAAAAGCTCTTAGCAACTTTACAATTCGGCCGAACCAAGCGGAAATTGGGACCGGTTCTTGCCAAGATAATATACCAACTTTATACGCTGGACGACCTTCGCTGAATGAAAATGTTAGGGCTGATGTTATTTGTTGATCAATTATTATTTTTAAAATAAAATTTTTAACATATACAATATAAACAAATCGATATATATTATTATTTAATTTAGAACGGAAGTGGTGAAGGGAGATAATTCAAGATGCATCGATTATATATTTAAAAAAATGTAATGTATAAGTATGCATTTAAATTCACTCCATATTGTTTATAATCAAAGTCAATTAACGCCATTTTGGGGTATTTTAACCAAATTTTTACGAAACCAACTTGTACGATGGCTCAAAATGTTTGTTTTGATTATGAGAATTACTGAAAAAAAGACGAAAGAAATAAAACATCACATAATTTTGAAAAATCTAGTTTTTCAACTTTTTTTTTTTAAATTCGGTATCATGTTCCCCTAGAGGTGAAAAAAAAAAATTACTCAAAGTATTCTGATAGATGGTAAAAAATCGAACATTTTGACGTGTCATAAATAAAAATCGGATGAATAGAACTGGAGTTATTGAGAAATACCTCCGAAATGGGCTGTTAAAAAAGATCTAAAAAAAACTGAGAGATAGGTTTTCAGGTCCCCCAACCGTAGAAAAAATCGCGATCAATTTCCAAGAGGGTGAGGGTCAGCAGTTGAGTCATTTGAAATGGAATACCTCGTATATTGAGACGGAATACCTCACAACATCTAAAGAACCAGTGAGAAATCTTCGAAATCATCCCCTCTTCACCCTTCCCCTCTAGAATCACCACCTCCATCAATCCCATCAAACAGTAGTAGCTCCAGTGGGCACATTCGTAACAACAGGATGATGCTGCTGCTCCAGGTGTTGATTGCTCGAGTAATTCGACGATGTGTGCGCAAGACTCGAAGAGCTCAGCATAATGGAGACCTGTTCGGGCAGTGGGCAGGCGATCAAAAGTTGCTCCTCACTGCTGTAATTGCTGTGCAGCCACTGGGACAATTGCGTGAACATCGCCACAATATTATTTCTAATCGGTCTAAACAGGATTGACTCAGTCTCTCGATTAGCCAAGTACAGCTGCATCGACTGTTGAATACTGGGCAGTTGAAATTTCATCAGTCTCAGCACTTCGCTCACCACCTGAGCGACTACCTGAGGCTCCACCTTAGCCGGGACAATGCCCTTCTGGGCATTGGGACTCCCTGGAGGACTCGCGACACTGGCATTGCTGCTGATGACAGAGCCCAGTGATTTATCAATAGGATCAACCAGTAACTTCGTGCAGTGCTGAATCAGCATCTGGCAAGCAGCCTTCAGCTTCGAGTCCACATGCTTCCTGGAGTCAATGAGATGCTCCTTCATCCTGGGTGCACCCTCCAGCAAAAACTCAAGCAACGCATTATTTGACAACGCAAAAACCCTGGATCTTCTCTCGAGTAATCCAAAAGCTGCGGTTTTAACTTTCGAAAAATCGAGTGAATACTCTTTCACTGTGAAGTCAACCTGAAAGGGCGCAATCTGCTCTCGCAGGATGAGCAGATGCTTTACTTGGAATAATAGAGCGTCCAGTGTTGTGGCTCGCGCCTCGATCTTCTCCTTCGCCTTTTCAATGCTCTCGATGCAAAAATTGATGGCTTCTCTGCTCAGTGACTGAAATACTGGGCGATCTAGGCATCTGTAGAGTCTCGACAGGCAGACGAGGGTCCTTCGTACTGTTGGATACCACATTCCGTGGAGATCAGCTGGGGAATTGGTGATGAGGTTGAAGGACGAGGAGGATGGGGCTGATAATTTGTGGATTGGGTCGAAGCCAGCGATTGGAATGAACTTGGGGGCTTCTAATTCCAGATTGTTTGAGGTGATCGAGGAGACTGAGGATATTGAGGAGACTGATATCTTCTTGATTTTTGCCTGGCGATTTTCCTCTCGCAGAGACTCAGCTATGTCCTCCATCATTTTGAGTTTATTCGGGTAGGCGAGGTCCCCGGGGGATGGATTGTACCCCAAAATGTCTGATTGGAGGTACAGATGGGTGCGAAAGACTAATCTCTCCTGGGCGTCGTGCAGCAGCTGGAGGCAAAT